CGAGAAGCGAAGTACTTCACCAAGTTCGACGTGCGCTGGGGGTACCACAACGTCCGGATCAAGGAGGGTGACGAATGGAAGGCTGCCTTCGTCACTAACCGAGGGTTGTTCGAACCCAAGGTTATGTTCTTCGGACTCACCAATTCGCCGGCCACCTTCCAAGCGCTGATGAATTCGATCTTCGCGGATCTCATTGCGCAGGGCAAGGTAGCGGTGTACCTGGACGACATCCTCATCTTCACGGACACCCTAGAGGAGCACCGTCGACTGGTTCATGAAGTACTTCAGCGGTTGGAGGAGCACGACCTCTACCTGCGCCCTGAGAAGTGCGAGTTCGAGCGGGAGGAGGTGGAGTACCTGGGGCTGGTGATCCGTCAGGGCTCGGTCAGCATGGACCTGGTGAAGGTCAAAGCCGTGCGCGACTGGCCAGATCCTCGTAACCTGCGAGATCTGCGCGGTTTCCTTGGATTTGCCAACTTCTATCGTCGCTTCATCAAGGACTTTGCTAGGCTGGCTCGTCCCTTGAATGACTTGACGAAGAAGGACGTCGCGTGGACATGGGAGTTCGCGCAGCGTCAGGCATTCCGCGCGCTCAAGGACGCCTTCATCAGCGAACCGGTTCTCGCTACATGGGCACCAGATCGACCCACCAGACTCGAGGTGGACGCTTCTGGATTCGCAACCGGTGGTGTTCTGCTCCAGAAGCTCCCCGACGGCCTATGGCACCCGATCGCGTTCCGCTCAGAGTCCATGTCGGATGCAGAGCGCAACTACGAGATCTACGACCGAGAGCTCTTGGGGATCATCCGAGCATTGGAGGACTGGCGCCACTACCTTGAGGGCCTTCCTGATCCCTTCGAGATCATCACAGATCATCGGAACCTCGAGTACTGGCGTACTGCTCAGCATCTCTCACGGCGGCAAGCGCGATGGTCAATCTGGTTGGCACGCTTCGACTTTGTCCTCACCCACAAGCCTGGGAAGACGAACACGCAGGCAGATCCTCTCTCGCGTCTCCCCACTCATCAGGTCACGGACGCGGAGGACAACCAGGAGCAGGTCGTACTCAAGCCAGAACGGTTCGCTCGGCTAGCTGCAACCATCTGCAGCGACACCGATCTGCTTGAGCAACGCATCCGTGAGTGCACCAAGCGCGAAGTGGAGGTTAGAAGCGCGAAGTGGAGGTTAGAAGCGGGCTTGCAGCGCCGCCTCGCAGGATGGCAAGTGGAGTAGCCGAGTGGGAAGAGCACGGGGGCCTGGTGTATCACGAAGGTCGCCTATACGTGCCGGCCGACCCAGAGCTTAGACGAGAGGTTCTTCGGCGATGCCACGACTCGGTCACAGCTGGACACCCTGGACGCAGCAGCACCCTTGAGCTTGTCAGTCGACACTACTGGTGGCCTGGGATGGCGCTCTTCGTGGCCAAGTACGTTGCAGGCTGCGAGCGCTGTCAGCGCTACAAGCCAGCTCCACATCCACGCTCCACTTGCATCCGCACGACGTCCCTGAGGCCCCCTGGAAGGTGGTGGGAGTAGACCTGGTCACCGGGCTCCCAGAGTGCGAAGGGTTCAACGCCATCGCGGTGTACGTCGACCACTACAGCAAACAGTGTCACGTCCTCCCCACACGCGACAGCGTCGATGCTGCTGGCATTGCCGACCTGCACTACCGCGAGATCTTCCGCCTACATGGTGTCCCTCGGAAGATCGTGTCGGACCGTGGTCCCCAGTTCGCCGCCCGCGTAATGCACGAACTCTACGGCAAGCTCGGCATTGAACATGCACTCACCACCGCGTACCACCCTCAGTCTAACGGACAGACCGAGCGAACGAACCAGGAAGTAGAGCAGCACTTGCGCCTGTTCGTACGCAAACGGCAAGACGACTGGGTACGCTATCTGCCAACGGCCGAGTTCGCGCTGAACAGCCGAATCCACTCTGCGCACAACCACACACCCTTCGAGGTCATGTACGGGTACAAGCCAGACTTCACGGTACCAGTGGGAACAGAGACTCGCTTCCCTCATCTCGAGGATCGTCTAGAGGGCATGCGCCAAGCACAGAAGGACATTGAATCAGTGCTGTGCGCAGGCAAGGCGAAGATGAAGGTCCACTTTGCAGAGGAACACCCTCGTGATCGGAAGGCGTTCGAAGTCGGAGACAAGGTCTGGCTTAGCGCAAAAGACATCAGTGTGCACCAGGCAACGCGCAAGCTTGGTGTCCGGCAGCTGGGACCCTACAAGGTGGTCGAACGCGTGGGTGACCTAGCCTATCGTCTCGAACTCCCACCCACGCTCAAGATCCACCCGGTCGTACATGTGGATCGGCTGTCCAAGTATGGAGGGAATGAGGTGAACGGGCGACGAGCACCACCGCCAGAGCCAGTGGAAGTGGACGGAGAGGAGGAGTACGAGGTGGAGAGGATTCTGGACAGTCGGTTCTTCAACCGCCGGCTTCAGTTCCAGGTGCGGTGGAAGGGATACGGAGAGGGGGACGACTCGTGGGAACCAGCGGCGAATGTCGCCAATGCCCCAGAGAAGGTTGCAGAGTTCTACGAGCGCAATCCCAACGCGCCTCGCAAGATATCTGCGACTCTATTCGCCGCTCTGCCATGGAGGAGGGTCGAGCACCCTGAGCATGCAGAAACGGAGAAGGAAGACTGGCAGGAGGGGAGGATCATGTCCATCCGGGACGGATGGGTTTTAGGAGGGGGGTAATGTCGTGGAACGGACTCTGGACTCACCCTATGTATTATTTTTCGCCATTTCTCTGCCTTTTCTCTGCCTGTTACTATATTGGAAGGTTGTTCCCGCGCTTAAGCGCCCGTATCGCGGACTCTCTTAGCACTTGCACTTCGTGTCCTAGCCCTCATCTCGACCTCTTGGTCTTTGTGGGCTAGGTGAGTATCTCGATTGCCTGTATGTATGTAGAGCTATGTTAACTTGGTCTTTGTGGGCTAGACATCCCTCGCGTGACTCTAGTTTGTGTTTGCTTTGCGCCTAGTGCCGGCGACGCCTCTGCACCACCACATCGAGGTCATCCAACCTCTATCCATACCCATCCACACCTCCCTCTCCTCCGATTGGCGTTCGCGGCCCGCTCCCGCGTCATAAACGTTGCTCCGTGTGCTCTTACATCAGTCCCGAGTGACTCCACTTGTAATCGGGGATGTAAGGAAATGTGGTGGAGGTGTTGCGGCAGCCACTCAGTGGGAGTGCGGTGTACAGGTACGTCTTCAGAACTTCCATACAGGCTGGCAGGTGAGCAGGATGTCAGGACACCGCACGGTTGAGCCCGCGCCTCGTGGGCTTCTGCTGCTAGACCTGCGGGCGACCACTTCCGGCAGGTGTTGCTGAATGCGCGCGAAATGTCCACCCCGAGCACCAGCCCGTTTTGTAGCAGCAGCGGCTCTCCAGGTTGCGTTCCTTTCCCTTTTCCACCGAGATCAGTTCCGCACTGACCGCTCGTCCATAGCTGCCTTGACCAACTTGCAGTACTCACACATCGCTTGAGCGACCTCCCCACGCAAGCAGGGCGGTCTCGGTCCAAACCTCAGGCTCCTGCTCGTCGAACACCGCGACATGTCCATCTCGCCTGATTACGTCGTGCTCGTTGAGGACGAGGGCATCGCCCTCTGTGGGCTCTTCATCATCGACCCATAGGGGATCCTCAGGTGCGTTCGGCGGGGTTGGACAACTGAACCACCGCAATCGACAACGTCCCCGTCGGCCACTCGGTCGAGGAGACGATCCGGTTCGTAAACGTGTCCCAGTTCACCCAGGTGAGTTTCGCTTCCTCCACGTTCTCCGTGGCCACTCCCGCTGACTACTCCCTCCTCGCTTTCCCCTTCCCCGTTCACCACGCTTCCGAACGACGAGCATGTTGAGGAGTTCCCCACAAACTGGAGTGAGGAGGAAAGACGATGAAAACACGGCCATCCATGCTCACCGTCACGACCATCTCCCCGCGCCCCTCCACTGCGCCCCTCGCCGCGCTCGACCAGCCTTTCCGTGCTCTCCACACTGACTGCTCTATCACTGGGCGAGCACTATATATATTCGCATTTTCTACAGGCCGTTACTGACCACTCTCATGGCAGGGACGACCCTATGCATCACAGGAGTACTATGTCGATGTGCTCACTGCTGGTTGAGAGGCCTCAAGGACGCGCCCACATCGCTGACTGTGTAAGTCGTTTATTCTGCTCTTATGTCCATTGTATAGGATACCTGCTGTTTCGTATCTACCCAAATGGATTACTATTGCACAATTGGATTGTACTCTCTGCGTAATATGTGATCCCCAGTGTGCGATGGAAGACCATAATGTTCTGCATGATGCTGTCATCCCCTCCGCTAAATCTGACGTTTTATCATGTAGCGCTATCATCTCATGCGCCGCAGATGACCGGTATATGGTCGCGCGCGCACTCAGAAATGATAGCCCTGTCCGCGAGAATCGATCATCATTTGATAGCGGAAGAAGCAGACGATAATACACTACAAGTTACTGCATTACTTGGATGCTCAGCTACCGTCTATTGTCTTCGCTATCACTAACTATCGTACGCTACGAATGCCCCCGTGCACTATCAGACGTTACCGTTTCCGCGCCTACTTTGCTGATGGAGGCCGTAGGGTACGCCGCCCGTGCCGTCAAATGGATGCTCGACCATCGGACGCCTTCCGTTCCCGCTTCTATGTTCGGTCGTATTTCCCCAACCAACGCCCCCGTATTTCATAGATTCTTCAAAGACCACGAGGTGCCGCTTGCCTTCGACTCCGACATGCTCCTCAGATACATCGACAAGGTATGGATCTCCTCCCTGAACATTTTACCGCTCGCCACAGAACCACTTCTCTCCCGTACATCAGTAACTTCCAAAATCCCTGAATCCCTGGGTCCCTGGATTTCAGAGATTTCAGGAATCCAGGGGAATCGGGACCATACAGGACGCACAGGGCGGCACAGGGATCCAGGGTGCCCGGTGCGCGCAGGGATTCAGGCGGCGGCGGCGGCGGCGGCGGCCTAGGGATGGGAACACAGATAAGAATAGGTATACAAAGTGTTCTAATGTACACGTCAAGCGCAGAAGGTAGTGTTCGCCGTCACGTTCCCGGCGCGGCCACTGCTCAGTGCTCACGACGCTCAACCAGCGCGACAGCTCCTCTCACGAGGGCGTGGACTGCCCGAAGGAGCGTGAGTTGAGCGAGCGACTGACTGGCGTCATACTGCTTCGTGCGCAGGAACGTGGGGGTGACGTCGAGTGCGTCGATCAGGTCGCGGTGCTGGCAGACCCAGAGTGCGGTCGCGTCGAAGTTGACGAGGCACTACTGCACACACTGTTAGCGGGGGCGGGCAGGCGGGACGGGGCGCACGGCAGACCTTGTGGAAATTGGTGCAGAACGAGTTTGCGTGCTCATTGATGGCAGCGAGCTGGCTCTGCTCGCGGTACTCGGGGCAAACAAAGGATATGCCGGCCCACGCGGCGTCGACGTGCAACCAGATGAAGGGGTAGTCTTTCACTGGACGCGGTCGGCATGATCAGCAACCACGGCGCTCTGAGAACCGTAGGCCCCGCACTCACGGATTTGCCCGATTTCGTTGACGCGGTCCATCGCGCCCGTGTTCGTGGTCCCGACGGTCGCGACTGCGCGATTCAGCAGGATCAATAAGAGGTTATGGGAAAGTGCTCACCGACCAGGAACGGACACTTTCACCAGGCGATGTCCTCCTCCACCGCCTCGCGCACCATCGCACCCCCGGGCAGCGCGAACCCATCCTCCGCGCGCACCTACAGGTCGTGCACCTTGAGGCCGAGGACGAGCGCCTCCTTCACGCCGAGCCATGCCAGTCGCCTCATAGTACAGCCAGAAGCGAGCAAGGTCGGCGAGCGAGATGAGCACGGGGCGGCCGTGGATCATGAGCACATCGGGGGAGCGGGCGAGGTGCTCGACGGTCGCGCGGAAGAGAAGTTTGCATTGAAGGGCGAAGATTGTAGGAAGGCGGAGACGTGCGCGCACGCCCAAATCGGGCGTGCGGTGGTGAACTCCCAGTTGACGATGCACGTCTTCAGGGCGGCCAGTGAGTATGACAAGATTGAAGAGAACGGGAGCGACAACACGTACGATCTTCGAGTTGTCATTCTCGAGGTTCAGATCGTAACAGTCGATACCTGCGCGACCCTCACCGGCACCCGTGACCTGCGCGGGTTGGGCATACCTGTGACGATCCCTAGAGGAGGGCTACATCTGCGTGGCTCAAATGGACAACTACAGCGAGGACTTACCTGGCCATACGGAGAGCGTAGCCTTCGCTTGAGGGATGTCGCCTGCAGCAGCCTGCGTGGTAAGCTCGCGGAACAGAGCGTCTTCCAAGTTCCACCTGCTTATCGGAGGCAGCATTAGGTCGGTGTTGCGCGGAGCTGATACTGGAGAAGAGAAGCCTGCCAGCCCTAGGGCGCACAACGGGGAAAAACGCGGGAGTGAAGGAAAGCAGAGTGAGATTGGGTCAAGAAGAAAGATGAGAAAGCCGCGTGCGGTGGGCACCGAAGACGCGAAGGAATAGGGCGCCTAACATGAGTCGCCTCTCACCCTCCTCCCATCTCCACCACTTGACACACCGCCTGAGGACAAGTCATAGCGCTATCAGCGTGCTCACAAACGCGAAACAAGCCACACCAAGCCCATATGAAGGCTTCATGCTATGGATAAGGTGGGTACTATGGATGCCCATATCCAACATATCTCTGATCATCTTTCGACGCTTCGACAGACCTATTACACCCTTCTTTCGGCTGTGTGGGACAGAAAGTGTCAGGTGGATGGGCGTACGATCAATACTGGGTGAGTTGTTTATCTGAAGCGTCCAGTATCCCGCTGTACGTCAGGCTCGAGCATCTCCGCCAGCACTTGTACGCCAAGACCGGACTTCTGTGCAACACCAGGTACGACACCAACCTCCTTGATGAGCTCGCGCCCACCTCCCTCCGCAACCATATAATGGTGTGTCCGCTCCGATATCATACTCGTTTCTCACAACATATCCATAAAACCGTCGTCCAGATCCTCATCTTTGTCAGCCAAGATGTTCCCGCGGCCGAGCGGCCGAGCGACGCACATGAACTTGCAATCGGGCGCAAACCGCGCGCGGTCGCGTGTGGGCTTGCGTCGGTTTCCGTGCTGACTCAAATTCTGTTTTTGTTGACTGCAGCGTTCAAGTCCCCCGCGGTCTGGTTGAACTCGAAGCAGCACCTACACACGCACGGGATCTTCCCCTCGGCGGAGCACGGCTCGAGCTCGCCCCCGCAGTTCACCGTCGGGTTCGAGACCCCGCTCGTGTCTGGGGTGCACGATCCCCCGCTCTCGACCCGGACGAACGCAGGGGTGCTTCCGTGCACGGCCTCCCCAAATCGCTCCCCGCGTACGCCGCCCTTTCCGTCCTCCGCGCACTCGCACTCACGTGTGGCCACCGGGGAGAGCGGGTCCGGATCCGGGAGCGCAGGCGACGGCTCGGACTCGGAGGACAAGTACTTCGTGGTGTCGTGCCTGCTGCTGCCCGTGCCGCTCCCCGCGGTCGCGTCGGCGAAGTGGGACCTGGACCCAGACGCGTATGAGGAGCGGAACTCGGACGTGCAGGCCTGAGCTACTACGTGCCAGGTGTGCTTCTCACCGCCCCGATGGTACGCTGTTACATCGTCGACTACACCCACGCGTCCGACTACTCCGTCGCACGCGGTCTCGTGCGCGCGCGATCATGGGCAAGCGGCTTTGCTTCGGCGCGTGCACCTTACGTTGACGCCTGCTCGACGTACGCGATCTGTATCTTGATGTACTCCGTGAGGAGAACCCTCGCGGGGCGGGGCGGCGCTCGTCAGTTGTACCTCGTCTGTATGCCTAAATGTACGATAGTGTGTCGGCGAAAATGAATGCAATTATATGCCTCCCACCTTCCGGATCCCTGAATCCCTGACTGAACTGGCCGACCTGGCACCCTAAACGCCCGGAAACGGCCTGGGCGCAAGGACGCCCGGAACGAAATCCCTGGATTCCTGGGAACCCTGGTCAGGCCCCCCAGGACCCCACAGGAGTTTTGGAAATTACTGATGTAGGCATTCAGGCGCCGCCCGGGGCGTGCACCACTAGATCAGACGCTGCAGACTCGGCTAGAGGCCTCCTTCAAGGCGCGCTCCATTTGCCATTCCGACATCCACGACGAGAACTTCCTCCTCGGCGAGGACAAGAAGATTTGGACAATTGATTTCCAGCACGGCGTCAGCGTGCTGCCCCCCGCCTTCCTGACGTTCGCGCTCTTCAATACCGGCGAGGAATTCGCCTCGGCCGTCGGCAAGCGACTGGGGTATCAGCCTTCCAACGTTTCCAACGCGATAGTGAAGGCCGCCTGCCTGCTTTACCAGCTTGGCGGGGACGCCTCACTGGGTTAGCGTTCGTCCAGCGCTGTCGCACTTCAGGCCAGCTAACGTTCTACCGCAGGATTTTAGTTGGGCAGCTTTCTGGCCGGGTGCCAGGCGTACGCCGCGAGAGCGAAGCCACGGTCTGGTAGGAAGTTGTACGACATGTTGCTTCATCCCATTTGCCTGTCACCGTGTACAGTGGCGGCCTCGGACGCGTGTGCTATAAATAAGGGTCTTTTCGGTAATACTATGATGAATTCGTGCTATAATACATCGCGGATCGGAGTCCCGCACTCCATGACTCGAAGGGTGCCCGCTTGCCACGACGCCGGGCTTCGCCGAAATAATCTCTTTCATCCGAGTGTGTGACGTCTGTACTATACAGATCCCATAGGTCGTGGTCCTTGTGTTTGGGGCGTACCACGGCCTAGCTCCGATGGCGACATAATTCCACGGCGACGTGTTGTGACTTGTGGTCTTGTTCTTCGGAGATGTCGCCTGAGTAGATGCAGTGTTAAACTTTTTGCATCCTCCGAGGTGGCAAACGAGAACGGTGTCTACCCATTTTGTTGACGGGTTCGCTTCATTAATTTTAAAGCTTTTGAGACAATAGATTGGGAGACGAGTACTGACAGTGCAGCGTCTGGCATCGGTGGTAGTCCGGTTTGGAGGGGCTCAGAGGCAGAGCCGTTGCGCAATGCATATGCTGGCAGTGCGAAGAATGTCGCAGGGCCTGTCGTGGCAAAAGGGCTCGCCAACTCATCGAGCGCCTCGAGCGCCGCTCCCACTCCCACTCCCTCATCCCACCTCAACGAGTCGACCCGGACCTTTCCGTCGCACAATGTCCAACGTGCTCCTCCTCACCCTCGCACAACCGGGCGCCGCGACCCCCGAGCCCGACTTCCGCGACTGGTACGACACCGCGCACGTCTCCCTCCAACCCGCCCTCCCTGGCTTCGCCCCCTGCTCGCGCTGGGTCGCCGTCGACGGCCTCCCGACTACCTCGCGCTCCACGTGCTCTCCTCCGCCTCCGCACTATCCTCCCCGGCGTACACCGCGCTCGCGGCGCGTCCGAGCGGACGATGCGAGCCCACGACGAATCCACTCGCGTCACCGGCGGCCGCAGCCGCACTTGAGCCAGAGGAACAGCGCGAGCCCAGCCGCGAGGAGGAGGACGGCGACTAGCGGCGTGTTCACGGCCGACGTCTCGTGCTCGACCTGCCCCACGTCCGAGTCAAGCTGAGTGCGAGCGCAGAATCGGCGGGACGGACGGACGCACCACGGACGCGAACGGGGAGAGCACTGGGATCGTGAAGTGCATCGGCCCCGTCGACGGCGCGGGCGGTGGAGGAGCCGAGAGCCGGAGCGCGAGGTAGAGTGCCGCGAGGATGGAGAGCGCGGCGGCGGCGAGGATCGTCCACTGGGAGTCGAGGCCGGCGTCGAGGCGGGGCGCAGTAGAGGCGAGTGGACCGGTGCGAGATCCACGGAGATCGAGAGCGTGAGCGTGAGTGGGAGGGAGGGAGGAAGAGAGGGAAGAAAGAAGGAGACGCACCACCATCCGCGCGATATGTGTGAAGCGGGTGTCGAGATCGGCCAGCTCGCGCTGCGCGGGGAAGACGTGAGCCCGGGATGAGCGTGCGAGTGTGCGGGCCGCGCACCAGTCTGCGCTCCTCGTGCGCATGAGCCGCGGCGGTCAGCTCGGTCTTGTGCGCCGCGTGCGCCTCGAGGAGCTTCTCCGCGACCGCGGCGCGCATCGCCCAGTAGTGCTCGATCGTGGAGACCGGGTGCAGGAGGGAGTGTGTCGGGTGGCTGAAGTAGTCGTAGATCGCGACGTAGGGCGCGACCACCGCACTCGAGTCCTCCGACTTGGTGGGGAGCGGCCGCGCCACGGCCTTGCTGGTGCTGGGCATCGAGGTCGAGGCGAGGTGGAAGCCGGTGCGCTGCAGCGTCTGTATGGCATGAGGTCGCTGCTGGAGGGCGGCGTTATCCTGTGCGGAGGTTGTGCGTTTGAACGGCCGCCATTTCGTGCTCGTGCTCGTGGAGGTCGCGGTGGCAACGGTGGCGACGGCGGAGGTCGAAAAGCCGGAGGATATGGACAGTGGTGGTCTGGGGTCGACGATTTGGCGCGCAAAGGACATTGTCCGGCTTCCTGTAGTTGAGCGGGGGATGTCAGCACGACTCCTGCCGTCAACAAAGGGCTTACGTGGCGAGGGCTTTTTGAGTTTGCCCGGTGAGTTCGGTGGCGTTCGATACTCGGGCTGGCCTAGCGGTGCGCTAGGATCTGTGTACATATTGTTATCGAGTACCGAGTTTGACTGTCGTTGTTGAATAGCAGGCAGGCGAGTAGTAGTAGTTCGCGTTTTCACGGATATCAACCGATAACCTGTTGAGAAGTGAGCCTGAGTCTATGCATGACGATCAGCTGCACCGAGATACGACACGTAACTTACTGGGGCTTTTGCTCGTCTAACGTGGGATCAAAGAAGCACGGTTGAACGAACGGCCTGGCCGCCTGGAGGCTGGTGGTCGTCAAGGTCATTGCAAGCACGTGATCGAATTACATCAGCCAATATCCACCTCCCAGACACCGTCGCCGCATCAATATTCTGGCTTGACCTCCGTCATCTTCGTTCTAACCTCCCACGCTGCAAACCACCAGCAATGCACTCCAAGAATCACGACAGGGACGATGATCTATCGTTGGCGCGTCTAGAGCGGCGCACTGGAGGTCGGTTTTCGTCGCCGTGCGCGGCGGAGTCGTGCGGCCCGTAACCAACCAGTTCAAGTGCCTTCGCGTCTTCCCAACTTCTTCGGAGGGCCGATCGGTCTATGTCTGGGAGCTTTCGCACACATCTTAGTCAGGTGCTCGGTACTTCGGCGACATGTGGGTCAGTCCTCTCCATTGGGGCTTGATTGCGTCACGCGAGGCCGCGGAGAGGATAAATACCGCACACCGTGGAGGGTGCGAGCACCACGGTTGGTGTGGCCTATCAGACTCAATACCCGTCATCCGCCATGGCTCCGAAGATGCAGTATGGTGAGCGACACGTCCTGTCTCTCTCATTTGTGTCCTCATCGCTCTCACCTAGTCCGGCTCGGCAACTCGGGTCTCAAAGTCTCGAAGATCATCTTGGGGTGCATGTCCTACGGCTCTCCCAACTGGCAGGGCTGGGTCTTGCCTGAAGAAGAGGCCATCCAACACATCAAATTCGCGTGAGCGTCCCTTCATGAGATGTGGATTTTGTGAGGCCCTAACCTAAGGACCCAGGTATGACAACGGTATCACGTCGTTCGACACGGCGAATGCAAGTCCGATTAAAAGTTCATTGGAGTTCTCCAGCTCACGCTCTGTAACCTGCAGGTCTACTCCAACGGTCTCTCCGAGGTCATCCTGGGAAACGCGATCAAAAAGCTCAACCTTCCGCGCGATGAGCTCGTGATCATGACCAAGGTCTGCTCTTATCTCAGCGCATTGTCGTCGCGCTTACCGGAGGGCCCGCAGGTATACGCCCCTATCCGCAAGAGCTACGACACCAGCCCCCACACTGCCGGCCCTCCAGAGGAAGAGGGCATTATCAATCAGAAGGGTCTGAGCCGCAAGGTACATGGCAGAACCATCGAACTTATCGTTGTACCAACATCCCTCCCACGCCCTGCAGCACATTTTCGACTCAGTTCAAGCCAGTTTGAAGCGCCTGCAGCTGGACCACATTGATCTTCTGCAGTGTAGGCATCAATCAACCTATGTTGATCATGGCCTCTCGCTTATGACATTGTATGGCAGGCCACCGTTTCGACTACGATACGTCTATCGAGGAAACCGTACGTCTCCAACGCCTGTTCATGAACTTATAAAGCTAACATGTCAAAAACAGATGCAAGCTCTGCACGACGTCGTGCAGGCGGGTTGGGTGCGATACGTCGGTATGAGTTCATGCTGGGCATACCAATGTCGGTGAAGCTTGCCTCTGCTCTGCATTCCAGAGTTCTAAACTGTTGTTTTCACAGTCCACCAGATGCAAAGTGCGCTCTTGATGCTTTCGTTCTCTAAGTTTGGCTTATTGTGTCACTCAGACTACGCCATCACGCACAACCTTACACCATTCATCTCGATGCAGAACCATTACAGCCTCCTCTATCGCGAGGAAGAACGCGAGATGTTCCCCACGCTCAAGGTATGGCTCCCAATCATCGCCTCCCTTATGACGTCACTAACGCACCAGTACAGATGTTCGGCGTCGGGTCCATCCCCTGGTCCCCACTTGGCCGCGGCGTCCTCACGCACCCCATAGACGTTAAGACGACGCGCTCAGGCACAGACAAGTAGCTCTCTCCTCGCGCGGATCGACCGTGGCTTGTCGGACTAATACCATGCGCGCAGGTTCCTAGGCATGTACAACGCCGCCTGGCTCCCGGACCTCGTCGGCCGCGTCGAGGAGATCGCGAAGAAGAAGAGCGCCAGCATGGCTCAGATCGCGCTTGCGTGGACGTTCGCCAAGCCGGGGGTCACAGCGCCCATCATCGGGACGACCAGTCTGGCGAATCTCGAGGACATCCTTGGTAAGGATTTTCTCCTCTGGCGTCGTGAACACATCTCTGACGTCCGTTTCATCTACATAGGGTCTTTGGAGGTCAATCTGACTGAGGAAGAGGTCAAGTATCTCGAAGAGCCGTACAAGCCCATCGCGACGACCGGGCATACTTGATCCAACACATAGTACGCCAGCTGCTAACTGGCTACTGGAGGTCATGGATGTAGTCGATAAAGCAGCACAAATTAACTGTATTTTCTTACCAACACGGGAGCTGGACAGAAGCACGACTTCACGTCAGATCGCTACATACTCAAGTGGACAAGGGTCGACCTCTTTCGCTTCCGAAGGTAGGAAAGGGGACGGCGTCGACGGTGGACATGATGTGCCCTGTTCACTGTAGACATTCGTTAACTGGACGAAAGTGGTTGAACAGCTCACCGTATCATCACTAAACGCAATGAGTGTCACGATCGAGTTCTCTGACCGTTGTTAATTGTTCCGTGCACCTCAAACAGAGGTCCAAGCGTCTTGGTTGTACAATGCACGTCTACGTGCGTGCAGTAAATAAAGACAACGGTGCGGCTAGAGATGCTACGATCGAGGCGATAGTGATGAGGCTGTGGTGTTGGGTATGCTAAAGGACACCAGCGGAGAGCGGAGAGCGAGGACAGTGCGAGAGAGCGAAAACGAAAACAACAGCATAATGTCATGGTACGACGTAGTCCTGGGAGCAGCAAACGGTCGACGACGATCGCCTCCGACAGCGAACACGCTATCAGAGTCGCGAACGACGATCCCCTCAAACCCAAACAGTCCGTGAAGGGGCGTGAGGCACGCGCCCCGCACCAACGGAAGGTAATGGCCCCTACAAAGTCCCATAAAGCGCGGCCTGAGGCCTGAGCCAAGACTCACCCTAACCCAAACTCGACGTCGGCCTGCGCGTACGCCGCGGGCGGCGCGAGCTCCCGCTTGAGGAACGACGCCCAGCTCTCCTGCAGGCTCCCTCCCGCCGCATCTGGGTGGGAGCGTGCGTGTTCAAAATCGGACCCATCCGACTCCGACTGGCTCTGGCTCTGGCTCTGGCTCTGGCTCTGACTTTGATGCTGCGTCCCAAACGCGAGCACATCCTGCCCGAACGCCCGCCCCGGGACGGCACCCATCCCGTCGTCGACGTCGAGCAGCATGGCGAACGGGCCGCCCTGTTGCGCCTGGCCTCGCGCCTCAGCCGGGTCCACCGCGCCCCACGCCCCCCGTCCGCCGGCGGCCCGCGCCTCGCCCCAGTTGGCGCCCATCCCGCTCCCCGACCTCACGCGCCCGCTTGCGGGCGCCCTCGAGAACCCGCCGAACACGGGGAGCAAGTGCGGGGGGAGGAGCAGCGCCGCGGCGGCGCCCATCCCGTGGCTGATCCCCGCGCTGACCGCCGGGTCCGTGTGGTGGCTGGGGTCGAGGTCGAGGTCGAGGTCCGTCGGAGGGTGCATGCGCGGCGTCGGCGGCTGCGAGCGCGGCCGGCCCGCGTTTGCGTATGGGTGGTGGCGCGTTCCGGGGACCGTGAAGGACGCGGGGCGTTGGAGGGCGGGCATGGGGGAAGACGACGAAGACGGGAGTGGAGCGTCGCCGTTGAACCAGTTGTTGAGCCCGTCGTGCTGCACGGCTTGGGAGTGGCGGCGGTCGGCACGGTCCATGGACGCAGGGACGGAGAGCCCAGATGGGAGGCTCAGCCCGGAGGGATCAGCGGTGACGATACTGTAGAAGGGCGTCGAGGCGGGAGCGAAGGAGGACGGAGATGTAGAGGCAGTGATCTGCGCGTTGAGGTGGTTGTCGAACGCGTCGAACTCTGCGACGAGTCCCGGGTGGACGCCGGCGCGGAAAGCAGAGTCGAGCCCAGGGAAGGGCTCGCCGTGGTTGTTTGTGCCGGTCGAGGTCGGCCGCCGTGTCAGCGCGTGGGTGTGCGTGTTGAACATCACATCGGCGTCGGTGGGGTCGAACATCGAGGGCATGTCCGAGGGTGTGCCGGCGGCAAATACCGAAACCAGGGACTGGGTACTGCCCGCTTGAGAGAGCCGGAGGGGCTCGCGTCCGGACTTGGTCATGATAGTGCGCGGGGTCCGACCGCTGAAGATGGCAAGCTCGTCAAGCGTCTGCGCGTCCATGTGCGTCTGGAAGATGTTCGGTGGGAGAGGCTGTAGGTCTTGGAAGTACGCCATTTGCGCCTTATCATGCATCTTCCTGAGAACAGACTGTCAAAAGTTCACCACAGATCAAAGGAAGAGAAAAAGAAGCCCAAGACGTCGAGAATTGAGTTGAAAAAAAAAAAGAATCGTCAGCCACTGGATAGAACGCAGGCACCACGTCGAGAGACCTACCAGGAACTTGCTCGCCGTTCCCCCCAGCGTGGCCGCGCTCTCGAACATCTCGCACGCCACCCGAAGTTCCCCGAGAGCGGCTTGGGCAGTTTTCGTCGTGCCACCCCGAGTAATGACCGAAGCGAGCATGATCTACGGGAGGCGGATTCAACCGGCGTTAGTACGAACCCGCAACGCCGAAGCCTATTGAATATGAAGGATCGACACGTACGCTCGCAGAAAACGCGTGAGCCCATAGAAACGGGAAGCGAGAAATCGCCGCAGGGAATAGAACGAATTGCTCGCGAAGCGTGTTAAGGAGGGTTGTCGCACTGCAGTAGCCGGCCAAAAAAGACGGGGCATGCTGGCTGCGCATGGGGTCAGTAGGACAGTCCGTCAAAGCGTGGGCGAAGAAGCATCGGTGGATGTAGAGCAGGGCTGTGTCGACACGGATCCTCAATTAGCTAGCGCGCGTTGCCGGACTGACAGGTCCGATTGGGCCCGGAAGAAATAGACGCACAGGTGTGTAGGTAGTATATCGGCATGTAATATGTCATCATCTCACCGAAAGTCGGGTTGCGTGGAGGCGGACCTTGTGATGCACATGGTAGAGAGACGTCGCGGAGGCGGCGGTCGAGGTCGAGGATAACTGAGTACTTGGGCGCCTCAGCGGTGAGAGTGCCCATCACTACGCTGTGCAGGCACTCCTTCCCCCATCGGATCTTCCATGCCGCGACTGAGGGATGCGGGACGGTACCTCAGCGGACAGCTTATGGGCGGACGTGGTGGTGGCTGAACTCACAGCTTGGACTGGGGTTACCCTCTTCATCCAATGTCTCATCTAGATCGGCTGGGAACTCGGTATCCACAAACTGAAGCTGGAACGACGGCAATCGTCCTGTGGCTAAAGCCTGCCACAATTTTAAAACGGGGGCTATGAAAAATGTGGTTGAAACAAGCACTAACCTGCCAGCAATCAAGGATGAAAACCTCCCAGAATAGCCCGCGGCGCTTCTGGATCTCTGCAGGAGAGAGCTTAAACCTCGAGCAGTCGTGATCTATACGCGATAAGCCGGAGTATGGACTTCAAAAGAGCCCAGGAAAGACGTACGAAGTCCGGCCTGTGAGAGATAAGTTAGCGCAACAATAGCGTGGATCAGATTAAGAACTCACGCTCTGAGCGAGCCTCGCGCTGAGCCCTGAAAGTGCCCATATGGACTCCACGCTGTGCTCATTGGAAACAAACGACTACCACACGCACAGCACGTGTTAGCAATCATAGTCGGATAGACGCGGCAGGACAGATGGAAAATGAGGCGTAGAAGCGCACAGCGCTGTGGTACGATTGCGCGTCCTAAAAGGTCCCGCAGCGACAACAACGGTCGCGTGCGAGCATCACTAAAATGCAAATGAATAGAGGCGACGGTACATTCCATCGCGAAGCTATCCCTGGCATGACAGGTGCAGAGCCGCACACGGGAATGGGGCACGGGCAGCCGATACCGCGCGCAGCGAGAACTCATGATGCTCACCTGGTGCACGCCCATCAAGACGAGAACTTGAACGGTGGCGATCCCGGGCGGCCGGTCCATAACGGGCTCCAGCGCCAGGGCCGCGCGCGCTAGCTGATAGTACCGGCCAGCTTCGACATTGTTTGCCGCCGCAGGGAGCGTGGGGTCCATGAGCGCGCCAAAACAGAACACAGCACAAACGAGGGCGAGTTCGTGCGCGCTTGCGACCGTACATCCGCCCTCGGCGGAGAAGTGACCGTAAACGTGCGCGGAGGTGCTTGCGGTGGGATGCGTGAGGGCCTCTTCCGCAGCTTCTGCGTAGAAGAAGGGGAGGAGCTCGGAGCAGAGTTGGTGCCGGGAGATGGCACCAGAAAACCAAGGCGCCTGGTCGAGGTAAAAATCGCGCAGCTGGGCGGCGCGCGACCAGGGTGGGATGTACGACTGAATGATGTCCTTCATGTCGAATACGGGGATATCGGGGGCCCGTGAGGGAACGACGCCGCATACCGGTTGATGTCGGGTGGCAGATCGGGATGTCCAGAAGATATGCTGGCCAGCGTGGAGAGCGCTGGGTTCGATTTCTCGACCTGGAGAAAATGTGTCGTAAGTCTTCAACAGAGCTGTATGCATTGCTGCCGCCGGGAAGCCTGGATCACAGGATGAGAAAGAAGAGACGCGCCGCCGAATCAGCACATCAGCCCTGATGACAGGCAAGAAGTGTGTTGGGTCGAGGGATTCCCCGCTTAGGACTCGCCGAAGCTCTGGGGAGTACGAGCGGAGCAGGTCCCCGAGCTGTCGCGGGGATAGGATGAGCGCGGACAGGAAAAGACGATCTGGGACGATCGTGAGGTGCCCCGTTGTCGTGGGCGGGCATTGCCACGAAAACTATATGGGGTAGCCGCCACAATCTCTAAAGCGGTGCTGAATAGATGATATCACTCACCAGCAGCAAGCTCTGTGAGCATGAGAGAGACCACGAGGGCGAAGAAGAGACAAGTTAGCGCCAAAGATATCAGACACGAGGCCGGAGTGACCGGAGAGTGGACCTGAAGGTGCGCGACGCACCTCGGAGCAAGCTGAGCGGCCGTAGAAAGTCGCCGCACCGTCGTCACGCAGAGCGAGCGTACCGAACGCGTCGATGATCGGTGGATCGTGCTCCTCGCCCGAGACCTCATCGCAGGTAGTGGAGAACTCGCGCTGGAGGGCCTCGAGGGCGCTAAGTTCGGCAGCAGAGTGAAGCTCGAGTGAGGACTTAATCTTGAGGAGCTCCTTCGATAGCAAGGGATGGGGTTCCCGCGAGACTGTCGATTGCAAAATAGAGAGGCCATCCTCGAGCTGGCGGATGCGATCGCTCATGTCTATGATCTTCTGGTGGAGACGATCGGTGTCGGCGAGGATGAATCTGCAGACGGCGGAGGCGCGCGCAACGCGTCGGACCGAGGACCATGTCGGTATATGCGCCCTTCCGTGACAGATAGAAGACGGAGGACGGACCTGGTGCCTTGCCCAGTGGTGAGGGAGCCATTCGGGCAGATGGAGGCGCACCCTCTGCGTTTGCAGGACGTGCAGGGGACAGTCTTGTCGCACTTGAGCTTGAGCCGTCGACACTCCGCGCAGGAGATAGCACCGCGTGCGCGCTTGAGCTCTTGCTCCTGCGCTTTTGAAGACCGTTTGGAAGTATTGGGTTCGTCGCCGTCGCCGTCGCCGGCGGGGCGATTCCGGGTGGAGGGGGTCATGCGAGCCAGGGGTGGGTACATGCGTCCAAAAGGGCGGAGAGGGGACGTAAAGCAGCAACTGGGATGGCGACGAAGCCGGTGTCTTCAAGGTGGACGGCTGCGCGAGAGAGACTAGCAAGAAGGGACGGACGGCGGCATTGGGGAGAGGAGGTCAAGATCGGCCTCTGAGTTCTAATACCCATCCCATGTCCAGCCATGACGTGAATCCCTCCAGACCCGAATCGGGACCGAGCGCTGTGGGCGTGGGGGGAAACACACATGCGACGCGCCCGTAACGCGCCCGCAAGTCGTGAGCCACTTGCGCCCGGGTCCCGGGAGGTCCCGGCTCTCCTTCGTGGCTGTGACAAGCGCTCGTATCACTCCCTCTCCGACTCGTGCCGCTCCTTTCGGACATCCTGAGTCTCTTTGCTCATCTTCCGCCGTTCGCGCGGGCATAGGGTCCATCTGCGCGCCAAGGACTGGCCAACGCAGCGCCACAGTGTAGGACGAACCGGCGACGTCGACCGGAAGTCCGCTGTCGCCGTGCCGGTCGTATATCTGCGCGCTGTAAGCATCTGTCGACGCTGACGTCGCAGACCTCGTGCGCTCGCCAATACCCGCAGATCCTTGGTCAGACATGCGCGAACGTCCACGAAGAATCGGAAGCAGGCGGTGCCCCCAAGAACACCGCTCACAAACCCCGAGGGTGCAACGTCAGCCAAACCGCACTGACCATAGCCATCGCGAACTGCGCGGGACCGCCAATACCGACGACGCCAAACCATACAACAGCCTTTCGGACTGATGCTTGGGCGGCAGCGCATGTGAGCGCGAGCATCACAGATTCCGTCACTGATCTCTCACCTCCCAGACACCACTGGAGGTACAGCCCACTTATCGATGAATAACCCCACTGAGGCATGCCACGCGAACGGCAAACAACTGCTGTGTTTCCTGTGTCCCGTCGTTGTTCTGGCGCCGCGTCCACAGAGCTATGGCCCTTGCTTGATCGATCCCCTGTCGAGAAACGAAAATAGTACTTAGTTCGACAGAGCACAAAAGCCTGGGAAACTCGGAGGAAATCCGAAAGACACGCATTCATGCATTCCTTGCTTCGCTCAAGTCTCGGCTAAAGCCAAACCGAGGCTGGCTGTCGAGACTGCGCAACAGTGAGGGAAACGATAGCAATGCGTACATGGAATGTTCGTCTCGAGCTAGGGTGTACATCGGCAGTATCCTAGATAATCCCCTTCATCCGGCGTAGATCTTCCAGCAGCAGCGGCAACGCGGGGCCCTCTAAAGCTTCGACTTCTGGTCCGCAAGCTTCTCCTTGAGCTTCTCCTGTGCACAGGACACGAAACCGGCGTTAGCGTTATCGAACCCGTGAGCAACGAAATGTCCGAAGGGGAATTGAGAATGAAGAGGACGCGCAGGTGGCGTGCCTAGCGCGATCTGCCCGCGTATGCACGCGCGTAACCAGCGGGCCGAAAGCTCACGATGGTGCCTCAACGACGTGACCACACGATGCAGAAGCGCCAAACTGTGAACCTCAGAGAGTGAAACGGAAGCACTCACGTTGACCTTGTCCATGTACACGTCCGTGACGACCCAGTGCTCGCGCTTCATGTCCTTCCCGTGGATCGCGAGCGCGAGGTCCTTGGTCATGATCCCGTCCTGGTCGATGACCTCGACGCACGCCGCCTCGAGGTTGCGGCAGAACTTCGCGAGCGGCTCGTTCCCGTCGAGCTTCGCGCGGTGCAGGAGCCCGCGCGTCCACGCGAAGATGCTCGCGACCGGGTTCGTCGACGTCTCCCGGCCCTTCTGGTACTCGCGGTAGTGGCGCGTCACGGTCCCGTGCGCGGCCTCGGACTCGATCACGTCCCCGTCGGGCGTGATGAGCTCGGAGGTCATCATCCCGAGCGAGCCGAAGCCCTGGGCGAGGATGTCGGACTGCACGTCGCCGTCGTAGTTCTTGCACGCCCAGACGAAGCCGCCCGAGGACTTGATCGCCTGCGCGACCATGTCGTCGATGAGGCGGTGCTCGTAGTAGATCCCGGCGGCGTCAAACGCGGCCTTGTATTCGCTGTCCGTCGCCAAGGGTAAGGCACTCAGTATGGGGACTTGAAAAATAGAAGCGCCGAGTCTGCGTACCTATCGTAGATCTCCTGGAAAATATCCTTGAAACGACCATCGTACTTTTTTAGGATCGTGTTCTTGGTCGACATGAACTGTGCGAACCCAATCACGTCAGTAAAAGATCACACCTCGGCGTGGGCAAATATCGCGGGCGGTCACTGACACCGACGCGATGCTTCAAACGGTACTCACCAGAGGGAGCTTCTTCTGCAGCGCCATCTTGAACGACGAGTGCGCAAAACCACGAATGGACTGCGGCGCACAAGCGAGGCGGTGGTGATAGGAGTTCGTACAATGCAGTCAGCGCAAGTCTTAGCAGCAAGCGAACAGGCGGTGGCTCCGTACCTCTTCGGTGTTGTACATGGCAAGGGCGACGCCCGGGCCCTTGAAATCGTACACATGAATCTTGGTCGGCGCGCCGCCGTCTGACGGAGTGTAGACGAGCTCGAGCGATCCAGCGCCCGGAGCTACAAAGTCCGACGCGCGATACTTCCCAAACAATTAGCGATGTGTGACCCCACAATTGGCGACGACGCGAGACTTACCTGGTCACCGAAGGCGTGGCGACCGATGACAATCGGGTTCGTCCAGCCGGGCACGGGGCGCGGGATGCGCTCCAGAATGATGGGCTCGCGGAAGACGGTCCCTCCGAGGATGTTTCGGATGGTCCCGTTAGGGCTCTTCCACATCGACTTGAGGTTGAACTCCGTCACTCGCGCCTCGTCGGGCGTGATGGTCGCGCACTTGATGCCGACCTTGTACTTCTGGATCGCCTCGGCCGCGTCGACGGTGACTTTGTCGGAAGTCTGTGTCGACAAAATCAATTGCGACGCGAACCACGTCAGATCTGCGAAGGATAAGGACGGCAGGCTGGACGTACGGCATCACGGTGCTCCAGCCCAAGGTCGTAGTACTTAATGTCAAGTTGAACATATGGGAGGATAAGCTGTAAAAGGTGTCGTCAACATATGCAAATTGCGTATGCAGCTCGTTCAAAAACGCGTGGAACTGGCGCGACCTCCAATGATGACAACCGCAGCCCGAAAGCAGTGGGTGCGTCTCCAGTGCCGCGACCCGAGACATCCGAGGATCCTGATCCCCTAGCACTGGTCAACAGTAGTCCAAGTTGATGACGGAGAAAGTAGTAGTACGCATTGGCCGCGCGCTCCAGTGGAGCACAACTCCAGCCCAGCACGTCTCTCAATCTGGCGACCAAATGCGCAGTCAGAATCCAACTCCATGCTTCTACGACCAACGCGAGTCCACCCAGAGGCACGCGTGTGTCGAACATCTCCGCCGACTCTCACACGACCACGTAACGTGCGCATATCACATTGAGTCGTCCGCGAGGGCGGACGGCACGATGTTGTTTGCAGATGGATTTCCCGCGCGAGACGTTTCGCCTCGTCTTCCACATACACAGATGGCCTCACGCCAGCAGACACTGACCAAGACCACACATGCATGCTTCCGCCTCAAGGCACGCCTGGACTTCAAATTCCCATTCACTCCGAGGAGACGCCACAAGAAGCAAGAAAACGCGCGGAAAGGGCGACTTTCGGCCCAGCAGAACGACGCAAGTGGAAAAGACAGAAAGGAGGGGATGCGTGGACGGAAAGGGGCCGCTGAATACTCACCTCTTCCCTGATCTTCTTCCATATGATCCTCGTCATCTCGTCGCCATCCAGCTCGACGACCGGGTTGGAGACCACAATCTTGCCGCCTGCGCGCCCACCGTCGAATTCCCCCCACACAAGCGCCCCGGCACGATCAGCCCTCGCGCCAGACATCTGCATAATAAAAGCCGGGGACTCACTCATCCTGATGGGGCTGGTCGCGAAGCCACGATGGAGCGAGGTAACGGTGGGGGAAAAGGCGCGGGGCCTGCTGGGACCGTGCAGAGAACGGGCGACGAAGCGCGTGCGCGAGAGCATGGCGGGGAGGTGGTGGTGATCAGGACGAAGAGGCGGCGAGAGTAGGCCAGGCGCGAATGCAGGGCGATTTAAATACCTTGCTGGGCGGGCTTGATGGAAGAAGGAAGGCTGGCGACGATGACAGCGAGAACCTCGGTGGAATCACAGGTGGCAGCAAGCGTGGTCGAGGGCGTGAGGAGCGGCGGTCAGCTGCCCCCACGGTGACCGACTCCCAGCCTGCGCCGCGACCCGGCGACTAGTGCGACGGCTGGCGCGGACTTGAGTCAGCTGCCATCTGATCTTATCGGATAAGTCCACAAATGAGGTTCAAAAGCTATGGCGATAACGTGGGGTAAAAGGACTTACCCGCCCGAAATTCCGGGGCTCCTTGCTACCGGCGTCACCGCACGAGCTTGCGCATCCTCCTCGACCTCGACGCTCATTATGTTCCCCTCTATACCTGTCTTCGGGGTGCCCGCCGCAATTGCGGGCATGCCCTTCAAGCGTGCCCAGCTCGGTCTATACCACGGCAAGACCAAGCTGTTCGGCAACAACGTCCCCCACTCGATGCACAAGACCCGCCGGACGTGGATGCCCAACGCGCACAAGCAACGGCTCTTCTCCGACGTGATGCAGAACTTCATTCGCGTCGACGTCCCGGCGCGAACGCTGCGCACAATCAAAAAGGTAAACCGTCGGCGCGCTCTGCAGAGTTCTACAACTGACCTGGATATATGCGCAGAACGGCGGGCTGGACAACTACCTGCTCATGACGAAGGCGGATTTGCTGGGATGGGAGGGCATGCGGTTGCGGATGATGATCATGGACAAGCAGGCGGAGCAGGGTGTGGTGCCGGGGACGCTATCACGACCTGTCCCTAGCAAGACGGCGGCGGCGGCGGAGGCGGGAGGGGAAGAGGCAAGAGCAGCGACCGCGGTGGCGAGCTCATGACGGCCGTCTATGGGATCAGGGTGCGTCGTGCCATGACCTGATCTCGTGGCATCAGCTCACTCTTCCCCACCAGGACTTCTGCCCGAGCTCTGAATCAGCCTAGAGAAGGGAGCATACTTCCTCGTACAGTACACTTCCAGCTCTCGTGGCTGTAATACATAATACACCCACGTAGATGGGCCGACACTCCCCGTCCGCACTCCCAGCATGCAGTGACCACGCTTGCACCAAACATTCCGGTACGAAATCCCTCACTTCGCGCATTCACCCATCACCACTGCAACCACGACACCCAGTCCTCGCTCCATAACGAGACGTTGTACAACCCAAGACTTCCGTCCATATCCACCGCTATATTCACATGCATATCTTGCGACTAGAATCGCCAAAGCTTCCTATGCCGACACGTCCACGCGACCGCGCCGATCCCAAAGCTATACGCAGTCAAGACCATCATCGCCGCCCAATCCGACATGTACATCGTCTGCATCGAGAGATTGACCAGCCCCGTCGTTACGTTCGCCTGTCGCACGCACGCACGCAGCCATCAGCTCACACCCCCAGCCCATCGAAACCAAGCATACGCACCAGCAAAAACAGCACCAGCCCGTTCTTGTTCACCGCCTCCAGCAGCGGCGGCGCGCTCGGCGCCCCGCCCGCCCCATCCCCGCCCCTCCCCGCACGTCCGCGGGGCACGTCCGGGCCGGGGTGCACCTTCAACTTCGAGTGAGGCGAGTACACGCTCGTGCTCATCGGGCTCGGGAAGAAGGCGATGTCGAGGACGAGGTAGCCGAGGAGAAACGTGCTGTTGAACGCCGCGATCCAAACGACGTACGGCAGGTTCGCCATACGCCGCGACACGCCGCGCCCAGTGCCCGCGAGCCAAAGCGCGCCGACGAGGACCCACCAGAGCACGGCGTAGGAGCAGAGCTCCGTCGCCGTCTTGTCATTCTCGCGCCGCAGCGAGGACGAGGACGGGGGCGAGGGTGCGGAGGCGTGCGGGGAGGTGGGGGAGAGCGTGGAGGATGAGGAAGCGGGCGAGCGTGGGGGGAAGGATGTGGAGGTGGGCGAGGGCCCGTCGGAGTCAGTCTCGGAGTCGTCTGGAGCGGGGCGGCCGTCGCCGTCTCGTCTGCGCAGTTGTTGCTGGCGACGACGGAAATAAGAGGGAGATGGCGCAAGGACTAGGGTTCCGGTGGAGAGTCCGAGAAGGTGGATTGCAAGGTATCCTGTGGCTGGTGTGAGATGTGTGACCGAGCATATACACGATGGGACTGGCCAGATGGGAACCACCCGAGTAGGACATTTGCCAGGCTAAAACCATGTTCCCTGACCAGTTAACATGACCGTGACAGGAAATGTGGTCTCAGCCTGGCGAACGTCCAACTCGGGCGGTTCCCACCTGTCCGGTCCCGTCGTAATACGAGCATATAGCTCACCTGGGAGGGATATGAGCCCTTCTTTGTTGGCTGAGATCATGCTTTCCCGAGGGGCGTGTAGAATGAACTCATCCAGCTGTCCGGACGACAATGCGAGTTGATGTGCTAATGCGCTCGAATGAGCCGAGACGTAAGATGCGCGCATACAGGCACATGCACTCACATACGGCAACGACGACGCCCATAAGCGATATTGGAACGTACACCATCAAGGGGTGCAGCAAGACCTGCAGAATCGGGAGCATGGCCAGTGTGACAAAGAAGTTCCAGTGTACGCCATACTCCGTGACGTGTTCCTGTCCGGCATTGAAGGACGAATGGATGCAAGAAGGGCAAACAACTCACTGGGTATTCCGTGCCCTTCACCGACATCGTCCGGAGAAGCCCGAGAAGGAGGAGGGGAGAGCACTTGCGTAGCACATTCGTGACTTTCGGGAGCAGCGGAGCGGTGAGATGTGTCGGGTTCTTCACCAGGGGTATCGCAGACACAATCCCCTGGGAGAAGACGAAGGAGCCCACTCCAATGTCCATCTGTCCAGACGCATGAATGCGCATGCGCGGAGAGACTCGAACGAGGGAGACGCACCAAAGACACCCCGTATGTCTCGCACTTCGCCAGAAACCGCGGGAAGACTTCGAAGTCGACCGCAAGAATGCAGATGAACGTGAGGAGAAGCATGTGCGCTCGGTACGTTGTCAAAGCCGGCAGTGGGGGTATCCGGGTGACCAGCGTGTCTCGTCGAGAAGGACTTGGTTCCCGCGACGGGTTCGATGAGCGCGAGCGGGAAGATTGACGACTCGGGGTCAATGAGGAGGGGAGGTAGGTTCCAGACTCGCGCGCTGGGAGAAAGAGGAGGAGAGCGGTAGGGACAGCGAGAAGGATGCATAGCGAGCCTGGCGAGTCTGCGAAGAGAGTCACGGAGAGCAGGATGGGGAGGATGAGGAGGGTGGCCTCGGAGAGGAATTGGAAGCGGGAGGCGGGGATACGTGTTCGGGCGGCGGAGTGAAGGGCTATTGAAGCCTGGGGAGTCTCTCGTTAAGCTTGAACCCGACCTCGAGGACGGCACGGACTTACGAGCGAGACTAGCGAGACCATGTTAATGTGCCCAATACTCGACCCCGTCATTCCTGACACGAACGCTTCCTTCTCGGCCTTGTAGTCGCCGCTCATCGTGCGCCTGAAAGTCTAGGTCTATATAAAAGAATGTGGGGTCCAAAGACAAATAATGGTCGAGATGGATTGCCTTGGGCAGCGACAGCAGATGGTGGATGAGACAACAGAAGCAACTTTACGAGTTCAACCTTAATCAGACGGCAAGCATGGCCAACGGGCCGAAGGGCGCTAATAACCAAGCGCAGTTGGCCAACACAAAACAAAGTGGGTGAAGATCCATAACGTCCACAAGCAGCTACAGTGAGACTAAAACGAGTGTTTTAATATACAAGAGACCCAAAGTACAGCATGTGGCAATTTCCTAACGTGAAAATGTATAAGCACAATCGAATCCCGGAAATCCTAGAACGAGTTTATGATATGTTTAAGGAATGGATACCTATGTGAATCAATGATTAGCGACTGACGTGGCAGCGTCCCGCAAAGGATGACTCGAGCACACGTACTCGTGATCCCCCAAGAACCCCTTCTCACGTACGACTGCACTTGCGTATTGCGTCAGCGAGAGTCCTGACGTCAGAGCCAGCTCCTGGTAGTGCTCATACGCCACCTCCAGGTGGTACTGGTCGGCCGGTATTCTGACCAAAGCCATCAGCACAAGAGTCGTCTGCCCGATGCGCCGAGGGAAGACTTACAGCTGCACGAGCGCGCGGTTCACATCCAGGATGGTGCACCCCTCAGTGTTCTCGACGATCATGAAGACGTCCCCATCGGCGTTCTCGAACTCGAGGCGATCCACAGGGGGGAACGTCGCGAACGCGCACGAGGCATTTGGGTGTCGGCACAGCGGGCCGTACTGCGCGTAGCGGCATTCCGGGAACGTCGGCATGTGCGTGAGCAGGATCGAGACCGCGTCAGGGATCGAGACAGGTGGCGGCGGAGACGGTGAAGGAGAGAGGGTGGGGAAGTGCGCGGAGATGGACCTCCTGTGGCCGCCGCCTTGCGAAGCGTGCGCTGATTGCGAGAAGTGGAGGTAGAAGTACAGCGGGTGGAATTCGACGAGCTGGTAGGGGTGGAGGGTCCGCAGGCCAGTGTATGGGAGGTGCTTGTATTGCTGTGCTGTTCAAAGAGTGAGCTGACCGATACGAAGAGAACAGTCTGGAAGACCCGATTCGCAGCGAAAAAGCGTGGTTATCCTGTTAACCCCTTGGGCAGGGTTACAAGATCTGGGAAGAGTGGTCTACCTTGTCGTCAGCTGATGAGCAAATCCGGCCGGCTGATAGTAAGCGCCTGACGGGTCGTGCCAGAATCACAAGACTCTCCGAGCTCCGGCCACACAGCCAAAGACAGTCATTTTGTGCGCCACAACTGCTGTGGGCCTCTATGTATCCAAGAACTGGCCAGTCAACTCTCGCTGGTAGTTCGGATCACCTGTTTCGGTGAAAGAAGCATTGGCGTCAACGTGAAAACATCTCGCCGGGACGCACGTTGAATGCGTCCGGACGAGACCAGCAAGGACGAGAAAGCCGGATAGATACGGCAGGTTATGAAATATCACCTGCGTATCATCAAGGAGCATTGAGTGCATATATGCGCTCTGTCAATCATCGCGATTGTCTAGTAACCACTTATCGGTTCTTTCAGTGCGCATACAATGGGCGAATGGGCGACGTGTCAAGGATACGGAGAGGGCACTCACCAAAGCATGCATTCGCCCGCATGCAACTCCCGATCTCGCAGTCAGAAGCGTGTTTGACGATTGCGCAAGCAAGGGCTTTCCAGCTGGGCGGCTCCTCGTCCGCGAAGGCCACTGGAGAGCGTTGGGGCCGGCCAAAGCCAGCGGTGAAGCACGCGGCGCGCCAGAGATCGTCGTGCCGGTTGCAAAAATCCCGTAGTCTTCTGCATGTCTGAGCGACGGCGACATGGGCATGGAGGTCGCCCAGGAGGTGTGCCCAGACGGCGTGTAGGGCGACGTCAGAGAGAGAGGAGAGAGAGGGCATGGGTGCTCGCCGGCCGAAGATGGGCCAGATAAGCTGCCCGGGGGCAGGGGCGGAAACTGTTGGGGCGGGGAGAGAGGGAGGAACAGAGCTGGAGCCGGAGGGAGAGTGTTGGGAGGGTGGTGGCAACCTGCATGTCACTGCGGTGATATCGCTCGGAGAGGGAGAGGGTGCGTATCCGAGAGCCAGAAGAAGAGCATGGAAAGCTGCATGCGTTTAGGCGAACAGAGCGGTCGGTCACGGTGCCCTCGCGAGAAGATGGGCATATGTGACTGGGGAGTTCCGTGATCTCCGCGGGCTCACGCTAACGTGTCCGGTGACCAGCGTGGCCCCCGTCGTGGAGGATGTGGCCCCAGCAGACGAGTGCAGCGCGTCCGGTGAAGGCGCGGATGTGTGAGTGGCTCTGACTTTGAAGTTGCGCCCATCGCCAGGGGTCTGGCCAGCCTGAGATGCTTGTGGCCAGATGCCGTCACTCGAGGGCGGTGCCTGTTTTCGAGCGCCGACTGAAATTTCGACGATGGCCAATCACACGGATGACAAGACCGAGGGTCGCCGCCCGAAGCGTGAGACGCACACGTACACGCATGCTCCGGCGGTCGTCAATCGCCTTCCGTTGCGCCCGGACATCTACTTATACGTTCGCCAACATCACCTCGGGCATGTCTCTTCCCCTGCGTCCCTCATGATCCTCCGCTCTCCACCCTCATGAAGCACTCCTCCAACACTACCGCCTCCACCTCCAGCTCGGGGGCCTCGTCCGCAGCCCCCAACCCCACACCCCACGGCTTCCGCACCCAGCTCGGCCACCTCCTCCCCCGCCACGCCCTCTTTCAGGTCCACGTTTACATCGACCAGTTGTCCAATGTTCCTCTCATCGCCGGCGAGTTTGGGGCTCGGTGGAAGTTCAAGAATGTCCAGTCTGGTTCCGGCGTGCTCCAGAAGATGAAAGGCGCTCGGAGCTCTTCCGGCAAGGGCAAGGGCAAGGGCAAGGGCAAGGCGGTCGAGAGTGAGACGAGTTCTACTGGTGGTGCGGACGACGGAGGGCCCGACGAAGCACATTCAATGGGCAGCGACAGCGCGCACAACGCCACCGAGGACGACCACTACGTGGATTCCCCACGGAGTCCCCGAGAATTCGATGATGCGCGCGCCCTCGACCTGTTGCACCCACCGGGGTTCCCGACGCCGGTCATCAACAGTTCGGACAATCCCTCATCACACTCGGCGCCGTTGCAAAAGGAGGCGCGCGGGATGACCCCTTGGGCCGACCTCCACAGCTACACCGTCAAGTGGGGGCACTCCGTCAACGCCGTGGTGCAGCTGGATGTCCACAGGGAAACGGGCGATCTTCTTCCCAGTGAGCTCAAGCTCGTTGTCATGCAGGTGCGCGTTTTCCGCACCCCACTGCTTCTCCGAACCCTCTGCCACACCCTACCACAATGCTCCCGCATCAGACGCCCCTATTTGCGGTGGATGTTATCGGCGCGTTACTCAAACACGTCGATAACATCTACAGCGCGCCCGGAGAACAGTCTGATTCAGGTGCACCATGTACGACCTACGGGGCGTCCGCGTCCTTCTCCGTTCTCACTGCGACACACGCCGCGGGCTACCTACTGTATGCGGGCGGAGCTTCACCGTGAACATATTGCTGACTACCCTGTGACCGTCTAGCGCGTCATCCACGGCGACCCAAATGCGCCTCAGCAACCGCGCCTAGGCGCAGTGTACTTGAACCTCGCCGAATACGCGGATGCCGGCCCCATCACGCGCCGATACCTTCTGCGACAGAGTAAAACAAATGCCACGCTAAAGGTGCGAACATTTCTCCGACCTTACGCTCCGCTCTGGCTGATATCCGTGGTAGCTCACGATCGAGCTGGAGCACATCGGTGGGGAAAAACATTACAAGCCTCCGCCACTGCGCAAAGGGGAGATCCTCGCATCCGTCTCTGGGATCCTTTCGAACAACGGTCTCTTCAGCACCCGCTTCGCCCGCGAACTCGACCTCTACGTCGGTGCGGACAAACCGGAACAAGCGGAGTCGTTCCCGTACGCGGACCGAGCCGGACACGTACAAGTCGATCGCCTTGCCGAGTCGTTCGGCCTCCGAACGACCGAACACCTTATCGAGGCCCTCTTCAACCCCCTTCCCTCTGACGAGCCAGCACAGACACCGTTCACGTACTACGCCCCACCCCAGGTCGAGCCTGAGCCTGAGCGCTGCGAATCCCCACTGGAGTCCTACGACCTCGACTCGAACTCTGTCAACTCTTCCGATCGAAGATCGAACGGACGGAGATCAGTAGACAGTAGCGCGAGTCTCTCTATCGCCAGCACAAGTGAGCATTCACTCCCATACAACAGTCACGACCCCGGGATGGCAAGCGATGCGGCGAATATGGTCGCAAATCGGCATTGGTGGCAGAAGATGAAGAGCCGGCCCAGTACACCGGCAACCTCGTCCCGCGACCTGTTCCGACCCGCGACGCCAGCACCACCCGTGCCCGTACGAAACGGTTAGGTGGACTTCGGCACGCATCCACGTCCTGTGCCCCGCCCCCGGTTCTGGCCCCCCGTGCATATGTGTTCATACCCGTGGACTTTCACAGGTTGCTCTCCATTAGTCTTGGGCCCACATTCACATCATCCGTCACCTGGCTCTCCATCTCGTCTTGTCTCGCAACACACGCACCTGCCCATCACGCACATACTGAGACATTTCCCCTGTAACGACTGTCACGACCCCTTCGCTTCCGGCCACTCCTTTCGCCACGGCCGTCGCCGTCGGCTGTAGATGCTGCGCTTATACCGCACCGTAACTTATGTGCTTTTTAAGTCCTCCGCGACCACTTCCCCTCGCTTCCGGCTTCGGCGTCCCGGCTCCTTCAGGTCCAGGACACTCTTATTCGCCAGTCCTCTCGATTAGTCCGTCCCTCATGTAGAGCAAACTTACGGTACTCGGTATTCACTGTCGATCTTACGCTACTTGGTCTGGTAATTAACATTCGCTCTCGTTAAATCTCGTGGGTGCTTTGATTCGTTGGAACACATGACTGGTGCCATGTGCAAGGGGACCAATTGGAGCGTAGAGAGAAGAGCGCGGCACGGGTGTGAGCGTCGTGCGCCTTTAGATGCAATTCGAAGTGTTTTCGATGAGACTACGAATTGCAATGTGACAGTGGAGGACAGGGTCCCCCACACGAATGTACGCTCATGCCCTTAAGCCTGTACTGCCGCGCTATGAACATAGCTCGGGCAAAACTGTGTGATGTCATGATAAAGCACAGGGTCCGAAGAGGATCGCATTCAAGACGTGGGAAGGGGAAGGGGGCGATTCGTACTACGTTCGCCGCCGAAGCATTTGAGACATACCACGATGTCTGACGGAAAGCGTCTTGGGCTCTTAGAAGTTTGAATGAATGGCCGGCCGGGTATCACGCAATTGACGATGACGTGCAGACTGAGAGCAGTGATAGCAGAGAGAAGTAGTACGCTATTATACCATGACGTATCATATAACCTGGAGGAAAGCCAGTCACCACACGCCCCCGAGCCAGCGCACAGAACGGCGACGCACCTTCGGAGCCAGCGAGACGATCTTCCCCCACCCCTTCATGCGCAGGTCCGCGCTGACGACGCCGCCGATGCGTGTCCCGAGCATCTCGCGCTTGTTGTTTAGGAGCACTGCGGCGTTGTCGTCGAAGCGGATGTAGGTGCCGTCCGCGCGGCGGACGGCCTTCCGGGTGCGGACGATGACCGCACGGCGGACGTCGCCCTGGCGGACGCGGGGCGCGTTCGCGGCGGCGCCGGGGATGTTGCGCGCGCGCTTGACGACGCAGACGATCTCGTCGCCGACGGAGCCCCAGCCGTTGTTAACCTTTTGCTTGAGGACGTTGACGCACTCGATGATGAGCGCGCCGGAGTTGTCTATGACCTGGCGGAGTGGGGGTAAGGTGAGCGGAAAGAAGGGGGGAGGTGACGAGGCGTACATTGAGAGTGCCCTTGAGGCCGATCATGCCTCGTCTATGGTGCTTTTGGTGGAAGTGGAGGAGGCTCGCGAAGAGAGACGGGCTTGAAGTGTGGCGCCAGCCGGCGACCAGCTGCTTCAAGCGCCATTAATGCTGGCCATACAGGGCTTATCGGGGCTGATAAGCCAACTAAAGCCTCGAATTAAGTGGGGTGGGAGGCGCTTGAGTGGGGCGACCAAGACTCCGGTCGCTCGGCGCGCAACTCTCGAGACTCGTCTCTCACCTGCACATCCATCCTTCTTCCTCCTTTCAGTCTGCCAAAATGTCCAGCCGTCGCGGCAGCTCGACAGTGCTCTTGCCCTCGGGGCAGACGCTGACGACGTTCACCAAGCACAGTCAGGATGAGGAAGGGCTCCCGCACGCTACCAAGAAGTACGTCCAGTCTCGACGCAGTCCCCCGTACGCTCGTATGCGATCGGAGCACATCACAGGACGATGGCGGACCATCTCCGCAAGTATGAGGCCCTGTGAGTACATGGCACGGTGTTCTGTCGTTCTGCGAGGGGTAGGACCTCATGCGCGCGATAGGTTCAACCTCACCCCGCAGCGCATGCGGATGGTCGTGGAGGCGTTCAAGGAGTCGCTGGAGCTTGGTCTGAGCAAGCCCAATCAGGTCGTGGTGAGTTCCGTGCCGTCGATTCTCTCCAACGTTCACCCGACGGCAGATCTTGTGCTATGGACCTTAGCCTATGATCCCGACATACGTTTTTGGATGGCCATCCAGTAAAGAGAAGGGGAACTACCTCGCGGTAGACCTCGGTAAGTTTGTTCTTGGCCGTTTCCCGTTGTCCCCGATGCCTCTGCAGAGTCTCCACTCGCGCGTCATGTGACGCATGCATCTGGGCTAGTCGGTCGCATCTGCCCGTCTAGGGTTGCGGGATCTGACTCGCGCATATAGTCGGGCAGATGGTCTGTCCTTGCTCGTCATCTCGCTGCCGTCTCGTGGACGGAGCTCAGCGGTGATGAAGGCCTTCCATTTTAGTCTTCGCCCACTGATAAACCCGTGTACTCACACGAATCTGTTTTAAGGTGGAACCAATCTCCGCGTCTGTCTTGTGACCCTGGAGGGCGAGGGCAAGTTCCAGATCACACAGGCCAAGTACCGTCTCACGGAAGAGCAGAAGCAGGACGAAGGCCAGAAGCTGTTCGACTTCTGCGGCGAGTGCCTGAAGGCGTTCGTCGACACTCACCGCGCAGAGGGTCACATTGGCAAGGACGAGGTTCTCCCTCTCGGCTTCACGGTCCGCATCTCTATTCTGTCCCGATCGTCGCTGGTCTGACGCGCGTACGCAGTTCTCGTACCCCTGCGCGTAGGTGCTGGATGTGTCTAGCCCACACGCACGCTCATGGTCCGCACAGGCAGGAGCGTATTGACCACGGTGTCCTCATCCGGTGGACGAAGGGCTTCGGCGCGCCGAACACCGAAGGCCATGACGTTGTCGCCATGTTCCGCGAATCACTTGCGAAAATGGTACGAATTTTGATGTGCTGATGCGCCGCAGCTGACGGATTGCGTTACAGTCTGTGCCCGCGGAAGTTGTCGCGCTGACATGTGATACTACGGGGACGCTCATTGCGTCTCACTACGTGAACCCGAAGACACGCATCGCGTGCATCTTCGGGACGGGTTGCAATGCCGCTTACATGGAGCACGTACGTGACATCCCCAAGATCGCTCAGCTGGGCATCGACCCCGACATGGAGATGGCTATTAACTGTGAATGGGTGCGTCGGACTTCGTCTTCCAGTCCCACACCTGTGACCAATCTTGGTTATAGGGTGCCTTTGACTCCTTCGAGCACGAGAACCTCCCTCGCACCAAGTACGACCAGATCATCGACGAGACCTCAAACAAGCCCGGCGAGCAAGCCTTCGAGAAGCTCATCTCCGGTCGCTACCTGGGCGAGATCCTCCGTCTCATCATCTGCGAGCTCATCGACGAGGGCGTTCTTTTCCTCGGTCAGAACACGTACAAGCTTGAAATCCCCTATTGTTTCGACACCGCCTTCCTCTCCCTCATGGAGATGGATCCCACCGACGAGCTTCTTATGATCATCGGCATCTTCAACCACTTCTTCGCCGTCGAGACCACTCTGGCCGAACGCCAATTCTTCCGCGCGCTAGCCAAGCTCGTTGCCCGTCGTGCCGCGCGTCTGTCCGCCTGCGGTATCGCTGCGATCGTCAGCAAGATGGGCTATTTGGATGAGGGATGCTCCGTTGGCGCCGACGGCTCCCTGTACAACGTCAGTCCTTGCGAAACGGGCAGGGGAAAGCCACTGAGGTCCGCTCTTTGCAGAAATACCCCAACTTCGCCGAGCGGATACACGAGGGTCTCCATGACATCTTCGGCGAGAAGGGAAAGTGAGTGGCAGTCAAACGCACGTTTTCCCCTGGCGAATGCTGACCGGCGCCCCCATCAGGAACATCGTCACCTACCACGCCGAGGATGGCAGTGGCATCGGTAGTGCGATCGTCGCAGCAATGACCAAAGATCGGAAAACCGCGAACATCTATCCCAACCTATAAGTGCCTTTTCTTTCGGGGTGCGTCGCTGTCTCCGGAACGGACATTGTACGAGAATGGATGGGAAGCGAAGAAGGAAGAAGCTGCTTTTAGGTGTATCCGTATCGGAGTTGCGGGGCATCGCCTGTTGTACGAAGATCGTGTAAGTACTACCTATGGCTCATACATAGACGGATGGTCCACAGTCCTAGGTTTGGTCGTGCACACACGCATGGCACCGAAGAAGAGGGCCTCTGGCGCTGCGGAGTCGTGTTATCCGGACTAGAAAGTGGTTCGAGTCAGAGTTGCACTCGATCACCGTGGTATTTGTCTCTGAGCCCGGCGGTGAACAGCTCAGCTACACTTCTACTCGGCTACGTGAGTCATCTGGACGCTTTATTTCCCAAATATTCAAGAGTGGCGCGATGAACGTTGAATACCGAAGGGTTTGTGCACCACCTGCGCTCATTTCTGCGCTCACGGTGTGCGACTTTTCCCAGCTAATCTAGGTCGCGAAGGCTCTCACTTCGTGAGTCTCTCCTCTCGTCCCCCCAAATTCCAAGCTGCTATAACAAGATCGGAAATCGCCGAGACACATGCGGGTACGTCTTACGTCTTTAGGCTACTCGGGGCAGGCAATGAACTCATTCCGGGACTTGGCGGAGATAAGAGAAGTATGCATCGGCTCTGGCGCGCATACAAGTAGGGCAAGGTTTGCGGGGGAGAGCCCCCCAACCTGTGTTCACCTGCGAATTCCACCCATGCCTGCGACTACACTCCCGGCCATTCCCCACTTTATACCAGCATCTCCCACTCAGGAATCTCGTAAGAGACGCGATTTTCTCCACATTGTCGCTCCTCTCTTACACTTTCGTCGGCAGTGGAATGGGCAGATCTCCCGATCATCGACCTTTATAAAGCCGGCACTGAGGAAGGCCTCGCGGAGCTTACGTCCGTCGCGCGGGACGCAATGCACACCCATGGGTTCATGTACATCGTCAACCATGGACTCTCTCAAGCCCAGGTACGCCTCTCTTACGGCATCTCACATCTCACCGCAACACACTGACATCCTACAGAATGACAGGATCGTCGACATAGCCGATGTCCCATTCTCTCAGGTTTCGGAGAACGAGAAGAAGTTGTACGCCAGCAACATGAAGGAGACAGGGAAATGCGGCGGATACAAGCCGCGCGAGTACTGGGTATGTTTCTACCGGTCCGCGCCCCACACCATCATTGACGTGTCCCTGTTCTTAGCACATCGACAATGGCGTGAGGGACCAGATCGACAACATTCACAGTACGTCTCGCGTCATTCACGCTGTGCGATCTAATTTGCGCGGTGGCCCTCAGTGTATCGATCAGTCGACGGTCTCCAGGAGTACCCTAAGGCCCTTCATCCTCTCCTTCCGGAGATTCGCGCTTTCTGCGAGCACAACCACTACAAGATCTTGCATCCAATCCTGCGGTATGTACCGATAACGCCACTATTTCATCTGCATGGTACTCACGTCCCAAGGCTGCTCGCTCGCGGAATGGAGCTCCCCGAAGATACTTTCGTGAACATGCACAACTTTGAGGCCTTAGGGGAGACAGGAGGTAAGTCTTCTCAGAATGGGTCGGGACCGATTGCTCATACTCACGCTCATTGGCAATTGCCAGTGCGCTTCATAAAGTAGTAAGTTGAACCTCTCCACATCTGGGTGTGCTCGCAGGCATACTGACGCGCCGTCCAGCTATCCACGATCAGAAGAGGATGAGGTCAAAGCCAAGAACGTTTGGCTGAAAGGTCACACCGGTGAGTGTTTGACTGCAACTCCAAGCCGGCATGAGCGCTCTGACGGTGCATTCACAGACATAGGCTCCATCACGATACTTTGGAGCCAGCCCGTCAGCGGGCTCCAAATCCTCTCGCCCGACGGCAAGTGGCGCTGGGTGAAGCACACGGACAACGCCCTTGTACGTGCGCGTTCGCTTCCACGCAGAATAGAGACTCCCTTGCGCTGACTTCCCGGTGTGCGCCCCACAGGTCGTGAACGTTGGTGACGCACTCGAGATGCTTTCCGGGGGCTTCTACAAGGCAACGATCCACCGCGTCGTACAGCCGCCCGCGGACCAGCGCACCGCGCTGCGCCTCGGGACGTTTTACTTCGCGCTCACTGATGAAGTTGTGAAACTCTCCCCGCTCATTGAAAGCCCCGTCCTCAACCGGCCGGGGGCGGAGGTCAAACGGCGGTGCGCCGACGCAGATGCGCCGACGATGTCGGAATGGCGGCAGGCGCGCGTTCTGGCGTACGGGCAAACGGTGTTGACGAAGGGCGAGGGGAACGTCGAGGAGGAGGTCTTGAACGGGCTAGTGGTGAAGCACTACAACTGAATGCTGATGCACGAGTGTTGGGGTCGCCACGGTGATCCGTAATGTCAGCTTCTGGTCGTGCTGCTGGACAAAGTCCTCCAAGGTCGTGTGTGCTTGTGCAAAGCGAAGGGTAGTCAATATTCAATACTAACGCTGGCTTCAAGTTCTAGATCGTGATGAAACAAGCCGGAGAAACATGTGTTTTCAGGGGAGGGCTGACCGGGGCTTGGCTTCCGGCCAATTTCATTCCGTAGACTGCAGAGGTCCTAACGGCTTGGTTGCTTGCAAGTTGCATCTTGTTGCGCTGAGGAGACATGTGGAAGATGCTCTCCCAGACGTTGCCACTGCGGCGAACTCTCTTGCCTGGGAAGCGCTTCTTCTCTTCCTCCATCCACCACCATGTTCCCCTCACTTCCTTTTCCTCTGTCTGGCTTCGCGACTCTTGCCAATGTCCGCTCTGCATCCATCCATCCACCAAGCAGAAGCTCCATCAATCGTCGGATGTCTCCCCGGATATCAAGCCCGTAGAGGGCAGCGCCGAGTCCACCCCGGACGGCACGTACGTAACCTGGAGCGACGGCCACGAGAGCTTCTTTCCATCCGGCTTCCTCGAAAGGCACTCTTCGCCCCAAAACCTTCGCAATTTCCACCGCGACGTTGACTGGGTCGAGTGGGACGTCCCGATACTGGAGAAAAGCGCGAACCTCTTCCTTCCCTACGACGTCGTGAAGACCTCCACCGGCCTCCACCAAGCCATCACACAGCTTACGCGCTACGGGCTTCTCTTTGTCAAGGATGTTCCAAACGAGAAGAAGTCGGACGAGGAGTGTGAGCTGCGGACTCTGGGCGAGAGGTTCGGGGAGCTGCGGAGGACGTTCTACGGCGAGGTGTGGGATGTGAAGGCGGTCAAGAACAGTCGGAACATCGCGTACACCAACGTGGACCTGGGGCTACACATGGATCTTCTGTGAGTGTTTTCACCCGACTAAATGCGCGTTTTCCCCGAGCCCCAAGCGTTGACGAGGCGTTGTCGGCGCAGGTACTTCCAGCACCCTCCGCGGTATCAGATCTTGCACTGTCTCCGCAACCGCGTTGAAGGCGGCACGTCGATTTTCGTCGATGCCGCTCGCGTCGCATCGGACCTGCGCAAGAGTGACCCGGAGGTGTTCAAGACGCTCTCGACGACCCCCGTCGGGTTCCACTACATCAACGACGGGCACCATCTTCACTTCTCCCACCCAACGATACAGCTCTCGCGCTTCCCAAATCCGTTAACTGGGGAGCATGATGTCGAGTTTATCAATTATTCCCCTCCCTTCCAGGCCCCTCTCGCGGCCAATACCCCTCCCCATTTCTACAGCGCGCTGCGCAAGTTCGCGACGATGCTTGCAGCTCCGCAGGTGCAGTACAAGTATTTGCTGAAGGAGGGCGATGCGGTCTTGTTCGACAACCGACGGGTCTTGCACGCACGAACCGAGTTCAAGGAACGGGAGGTGGAGAGCAGCAAGGAGGAGACCAACCGGTGGTTGAAAGGGTGTTATATTGAGGCGGACGCTGTGTTGGACAGGGGTAGGGTATTGGATGCTCAGCTTAAGCAATGATTAAGTGCGTAACCTGCTCCATGTCCCTAGGACTCAAGTACTCATGGCACACTCCCAGGATCTCTATCAATGTATCACTTATCTTCGAGGATGACCAACGAGCGTTTTCACAAGTTGTGATTGAGCACGCGAGCACCCGTGGGGACGGTGTCTAGTGGGAAGTATATGCTTGGGAACGAAGAACCACTCGCTGAAATGGCCCCTCCGCGTCTTGATCGCCCCCCGAGGTGTGCGTGGGACGCCGGGTGAGCTACTCCATTGGCTGTATCGCTCCCTTCCACGCCCTCCATGCGCGTCGGGTGCTACTGAACGCCTGGAAAACATCCGTCGTTTTGCCTGTGGTTTCTCCGTATGCAGACAGATTCCCATGCGAACCCTCCGCTCTCGATGACATCGGAACGGGGCGGTGTTTCGTGGGATAACTGTTGTAAGTGCCACCGGTCTTGCCCACGATACTCGTCGTACAACCTTCTGATAACGCATGGTTTCTTCCCGGTATCGTAACGTTACGTCCAGCCTCCGAAAACTTGGCCGGGCCAATGCCTATCCCACGGGGCCATGGGAGCTTACCGTATGGTCGGTATAGTCGCGCCATTGCGCAAGCGAAGCATCGTGAGCTTCTTATTTTACTTGCATGATCTTCTGCTGAGGACCTGACTATTACGCAAGAGACTCTCACATCCTCACGCGGTGACAGGTTCCTTGGCTCTCATCGCACACTTTTGCATGCTGTAGCACCAGTATATGAGCCCTTCTCGGCAAGCACTATGTCAACACGTCGCGTCCACCTCGACGTTCGATCCGTGCTCCAAGACGATGTTCGGCGACATGACTTCCCTCGCTCTCTGCGCGGTCGTCCTTGCCCTCGCAGGGGATTCTGTCATCGCTAAGCCTGTCCAGCGCGCCACATCCTCTCACATTTCGCTCCCCTTCGCCCGCCGAATGAACACCACAGGCATCCCCAACCTCCTTGCGGTGGACCAGGCCCGCGCCAAGGCGCTGAAGAACCGCTCGTCGTCCAAGGGTACGAAGACTTCGGCTCGCTCCCCGCTGGCCCCGGCTATCAACGTACCTGCGGACAACCAGGTCGTGGACTACGTCGCGACCGTGCTTGTTGGCAACCCGCCGACTGAGTGTGAGTATCTTCGATGTTACCATCGAACAATGGACTTACGCACAATTTTAGTCTTTTTGCTGATCGACACCGGAAGTTCGAACACCTGGGTCGGGGCGACGACGCCGTTCACGGTGACCAGCACGACGGTGGACACGGGGAACGAGGTCGAAGTCATCTACGGCTCCGGGTTCTTTTTTGGTAAATGACTTTCTGCCTTGTCCGTGTTATGTCCTTGTCGGCCAACATTCCCCCAGGCGAGGAGGTCACCGATCAAGTTCAGCTGGCGAACGGTCTCACGATCACGAACCAATCCATCGGTGTCGCTGAACTCGCCTTCGGGTTCGACGGCGTCGACGGTATCCTGGGGTATGTGCCCTCATGGCCGTATGCGACCTGTCATTCGCTGATAGTCATCTCTTCGAAGGATCGGACCCGTCGACCTCACCGTCGACACGCTCTTCCCCGACGACACGGACACAGTCCCGACGGTCATTGACAATGCCTTTGCACAGGGCCTAATCGATGAGCGTCTCATCGGCATCTCGTTTGAACCCACCGATACGATCGAAGCCCTCAACGGAGAGCTGACGTTCGGCGGAATCAACACGAACAAGTTCACCGGGGAGATGACCTTCGTGTTCGTTATCTGCGCTCTTCAGTCTTGATCCTGTACACTCACACGATGCGCAGACCGATCACGAGCACGGCGCCTGCGAGCGAGTTCGTCGGTATCGACCAGACTGTCACCTATGGCGCGGCCGGCACTCCCATCCTTGCGACCACTGCCGGCATCACTGACACCGGTACCACCCTCCTGCTGCTCGCCACCGATGCCATCGAGGCCTACCAGACCGCGACTGGCGCTGTCCTCGATGACACGGTCGGCCTCCTCCGCCTCACCCCCGACCAGTTCGCCAGCCTCGAGAGCCTTTTCTTCCAAATCGGCGACGTGAGTCCATTCCTGTCCATCCCGATGTTTCTCTCAGACTTGGCGCTCACACGATCCCTTCTCGCCCCGTCGGCGCCCCCGTTTGCAGACGACGTTCGAGTTCACGCCCAACGCGCAGATCTTCCCCCGCGCGCTCAACACCGCGATCGGCGGCACGGACGACTTCGTGTACCTCATCGCGGCCGACCTCGGCTCCCCAAGCGGGGAGGGCTTCGACTTTGTCGACGGCATGACCTTCCTAGAGCGCTTCTACTACGTGTTCGACTCCGCGAACAGCCAGGTCGGCTTTGCGACCACGGAGTTCACCGACTCGACGATCAACTAGACCCCGGTTTTGGGAGCATCTTGCACGGACAGTTGCGGACTTTTCGCGGGGGTTTTCTGGTTGATTCGGGGTTCGCGTTCTCTGTTGTATTACTCCAAATTGCGTGGAATGGACAAGGTCCGCGTTCGTTCCGACGTTGTGTGCCGTTCCGTGAGTGCGCATCCAACCGTCCCGGGTTTCCCTCTCTGAAGCCGAAGCAGATATAGCACGTCTTATCGCCCTATCCCGTATGGGGTGCAGATGCGGTACTTACGGCTCCGAAGTCGCCTGTGGGAGCGTACCGGTCCTGAGAACACGACACGGGAACGGCCGCGCTGTTGCGTCATTCCGACGCGGTTACCGCAAACGGGCGTTCGCGCTCCCGGTGAGTGCTTACCGACCGTTCGTCTTCAAACGCAGTCCACTTACTCAACGCCGTGGGCCCCTCGTGATGTCATCCGCTTCCGGAGAGCAGGGCTTCTGCTGCACCCGAGCTGAGTTCTTGCTATCGCGTGGCATGGGTGACATATTTGAAGCACATCGCGATTCTCCTGCCGGTCGTTTCCATGTCCTGATATGTCCAGGTCATTGGTGTGGAGTCACCCCCGGCAGCAATCCATCCATGCAAGCGTACTGGACTGCCAATCCGTGACTCTCTTCGACTCCGGCCGCCTTCACCACCCAGATATCCCAGCAGATTTTGACGAGATCGGCAAACCCCGAACGATGCACCCTCTGAAGATGCGCAGCGCGAATGGCTTCACCGCGCTCGCGTAATGTCACGCTCGCCCTTTGTCGTCACACGTGGATCTAGATTCCCTCCTCCACTCGTTAAATGGACCTCATCACGACACTCCTCCGCACGACGCTCCTACGGCCCAGCCGCTCGAGCCTAGCGCACACATCTCTGCCCCCCCGCCTCAACTCCACTTACTGCACAGGCACGATGCTCGCTGGCCTCACCGCCCTCGTATTCGCCGCCCTCGCCATCTCCGGCGCCGACACGCTCCACATCCGGCGCGACTCCACGCCCATGTCGCTGCCGTTCGTCCGGCGGGTGAACATGACAGGCGTTCCGAGCATCGTCAAGCAGGACCAGGCGCGCGCGAAGGCCCTCAAGGCGAACCGGGCGGACACGCGCGGGTTCCGGCAGGCGGCCGTGTTCGACGTCCCGGCGACGAACCAGGCGGTCGACTACACGACGACGGTGAGTGCACCCCCAATGTGCAGGGTATCGTCCGCCGGTAAAGCTGACAACGCGTCTGCTTCTGATAAGGTCACGATCGGCTCGAAGACGTGTGAGCATAACTCAGCTGTCCCTGTAGTTTGGGGCGTGGTGCTGACGACGCTGTGGTTTTGGATAGTCACGTTGCTCATCGACACGGGAAGCTCCAACACTTGGGTTGGGGCTCAACTCAACAACCCCTTCGTCGGGAGCGGCACGACGAAGTCAACCGGACAGCTCGTGGCAAGCATGTCGCGGATTGCATTTGATGGCAGTTGCTCACCCCGAGCCGTTTTTAGTCCGTTCAATATGGCTCAGGATCCTTCACTGGTAGGTGAAGTGCAAGACACTTTGATTTTCACAGGCTATAGATGTTGCTCGTAGGCACCGAGGTCATCGACACTGTGACACTCTCCAACGGTCTCGCCATAGAGAACCAGTCCTTCGGCTCTGCCTTGGTCTCTCAAGGTTTCGATGGCGTCGACGGGATCATCGGGTAAGTGGTTGAATGGTTCGGCATGCCTCCTCTATCGTCGCGAATATTGATCGATGCACGGTTTGCAGCATTGGTCCCGTGGACCTGACATGCGGTGAGTTGGAAGTGGAAATACTTGTGGGGATTCAATACTCACCTCCTCCTCTTTGCCTCCTCTTGCCCAGGCACTCTCCTTCCTGCCATCAACCAGTGCATCCCTACAGTGACCGACAACGCGTTCTCTCAGGGGCTCATCTCCGCCCACGAGATCGGCATTTCCTTCGAGCCAACGACGACGCTCGGGAACACCAACGGCGAGCTCACGTTCGGCGGCGTCGACACAACCAAGTTCACGGGCACGCTCAACTTCGTCCCCATCACTTCTACCTCTCCGGCGAACGAGTTCGTGGGCATCGACCAATCGATCACGTATGGGGCCGCGGACGGGACCACGGTGCTCGCTGCGACGAGCGGGATCACCGACACTGGAACGACGCTCCTTCTCCTCGCCACCGGTGCGTGTTTGTGAGGTCGGCGGGCCACGGGTGTTCTGACTGAGTGCTGCAGACGCGTTTGATACATACCAGGCCCTCGCGGGCGCTGTGCTGGACAGCACGACGGGCCTCCTTCGCCTCACGTCCGACCAGTTCGACAGCCTCCAGAGTCTTTTATTCCATATCGGCGACGTGAGCCTCCATTTTCACTTTCGCGGCGCCCGCCACTGAATGATATCTTCGCAGAGCACGCTGGAGTTCACACCCAACGCCCAGGCGTGGCCGCGCGCGGTACGTGCAACCTTCTCGTTCCCAAGGGTTCTCGAGCACCAACCCGTCGCACACGCAGCTCAATAGCGCCATCGGCGGTACGAGCGACTTCGTCTACCTGATCGTGAACGACCTCGGTAGCCTGAGCGGCGAAGGCCTCGACTTCATCGACGGCATGACGTTCCTGGAACGCTTCTATTACGTTTTCGACATCGCCAACAGCCAGGTCGGGTTCGCGACCACGGCGTTCACGGATGCGACCACCAACTGAGAGGCGTCGAATAGAGGGAGCACATGGGTGCGACTTAATCAAAGTATCTTCGTGATATCGGTTCTCCAAAACAGCGAGAGTCAGCTTCGCTCCTCGTCCGCACGCGTGACCAGCGCGAGGTGACTCACCTCGCAGCAGCCGTCGTTCACACCCGATACCCTAGAGCCCTCCAGTCCGCCCTGCTGGACGGAGAGCCATGCACGACGTACCGCCCCACGCGCTCGCGCGCCGCCTCGAACATCTCCGCCGGCATCCACCCCGTCCCCTTTTTGACCGCGCTGCCCCGCTGCACCACGATCACTAGGAGCTGGTCCACGTCGCGGGCGTCCGTGTACTGCTTCGGGACCTCGTGCGGCCGGCTCGACGCCCGGTGGTCCGACCACGCCTGTAGCTTCAGGAAGAGCTGTGCGACCAGCGGCATCATTGGCAGCTTCGGCAGCCCCGGCAGTCCCGGGCGCTCGATCCGCGCAGTCGGGACGGAGGGGATGTTCATGACGCCCGGGACGAGGATGTCGACCTTGCAGCGGTGAGCGTAGCTGGAGTGGCCCAACACGCCGCCGCCGCGGCCCTTCTGGTGCCAGAGGACCTTGTAGGTCGCGGCCCAGGAGCGCGGGTTCACGAGGTAGAAGTCGGAGCTGGCGGCGACGAGCAGCCGCTTGAGCTCCTCCTGCGTGTACGTGGCGGTGAGGACGACGAGGTCGACGTCCTGCGGGCGCGCGGCGACTGTCAGAGTTTGGACGTTCGTGCCAGTCCGCGTCCGGGCGCGCGGCCGCGGGTTATATACTCACGTTAGGAGTACGGTCGACGCCGTAGAGGAAACTGGCGGCGCTGCCCATCAAGCAGGACTGCAGACCGTAAGTGGAGAAGATCGTGATAGCTTCTTTGGCGATGTCCAGTATCCGGGTCTCTGACTGTAGCGGGGCGGTGGGAGACATGGCGGCCAAAGGAGAGTGCGCGGGAATGACGCTCCGACACCAGCGCGCGATATACTCGGCACGGCGTAGGCACTCCCACGGCGCTGTCGGACCGGGGGATCCTGTGGACTAGGGCTGGTTGATGGTAAGTATACGGACGGCGACGACGATCTCCTCAGAGAGGGAGCGCTGCGTGGGTGTCGCTCGTCGGCACCTATGCTTCGCCGTGTCGCCAATATCTTGGCTTACTCCAGGCCTGGCCTCCCCGGCCCACATCGGAGGGCCAACATCTTGCTCTCCTCCCCTACACCACTTAGACTTAGACCTCCTGCATGTACCGCCTACTATGGGGTCCGGCGTTAAATGGAATATAAACAACCAAACAAAAACTCCGACAACGTTTTCGGCAACAGGCAATAACGACTGAGACGCGAAAAAGCCTTACGACTAGTCCGTCAGAGGGGAAACGCCCAGCAATTCGCTTCCATTAAACACAGGATGCTATGCGAGGGCGGAGTGGGACGCGGTATATTATCAGGAATCCCGACGGGCGCGACCGAAAGCACTCGTAACGTTCTTCAGTCGGACTGCACCACCTCACGTTCGCCAAGACCCAGCCTCCTCCATTTGTGGGGCCCACGTCGAGACGCGGTTTCTACGAAGTCCGCCACTTGCCTCTTCAGCTGAAGTGCCACCTCCTCCGAAAACCACTCCTGCAGTCCGCTTTCTCCCAGCTTCGCCTTCTCCCTCACCGCGACGTCGACGAGCGAGTCGACGTCTTTGATGTCGACCGGCACCTTCGCCCGCATGTCCATCCGATGCGACCGCCTGTGGTCCTCCCATCCCTGGACCTTGAGGAGGAGCTGGGGGATGAGCGGCATGACCGGGAGGCCCTGCCGCAGCCCGACGCTCTCGAGGGGCACGTCGGGGATGTTGAGCGTCCCCGGGGTCAAGATGTCGACCTTGCAGTCTTCGAAGGGCCGCGCGATCTGGTACTCGGACTTGGAGAGGCGGTACCAGAGGACGCGGTAGGGGGCGGCGAGGTTCTCGGAGACGACGAGGTAGAAGGTGGGGTCGGTCCCGACGAGGAGCTCCTTGAGCTCCTCTTGGGAGTAGACGGAGGTGAGGACCACGATGTCCGCGTCCTGTACGTGCGCGGTTAGCTTGCTAGCGCTCTGACTGTGTGCGGGCTCACGTTTGGGGGACGGGCGACGCCGTAGATATAGCTGGCGACGCTACCGAAGAGACAGCATGAGAGGCCGAGGCCCTGGAAGATGGAGACGGCTGTTTGGGTGACTTGAAGGACTTCGTCTGCGGTAGGAGGCATATGATGTGGTGATTGTGCAACGGGGGACGTTCAAGGATGGATGATGGGTTGGGCGGCGGAGGGAGAGAGCGGGAACTACCGCAGCACTCACTACCGCAGCACAGGATAAACAGCGGGCGTAGAAAGGGCCCAGACAAAGCTGCCTCGAGGGGGGGCTTCGAGGGATCGTGAGGATGTCATATGATCTGTCTATAGTCGGCAAATGCAGATGAAGGAAAGCGCTGACTGTGATTCGAGGATGGCGCCCGCGGCCTTCGCTTCCAGGACCGCTCATTATCATTTCTGCAGCTGAACCACGGCTTCGTCTTTGCGCGACTTTGAGCAAGAGCGGAGCCATGTCCCTATTGGGACACAGTGGCTAGTCTGATCCCTGAGTGACTTGTTAGGCAACTTCGATCAACCGTGTTGAATCTCTTGCTCTTGCTGGTATACTAAGATGTGCCGTAGGCGTAGACATCATGTCCAAGCGAAATGCGAAGTTCGCCCAGCAATAACGTTGTGTGGAGGACAAGAGGAGGACGCGGGTGAAAGGCGCTCTCGGGGGTTCGGCCGACCACGTGCGCCACGTGGAGTCCCCTTGTCCCGACTCCCGGCTGTCTCCGTTCTCGCCTTTGCCTGCCCCGGTTGCTCACATCCCAGCATCCCAGTCTTTGCCATCGCCAGGCCTAAAGCGTCCGGTGGTCCACCACACTCGTTTACACGCCGCGTTTGCAAGCTCAATTCCGCCTTCGTAAAGCCTTCCAATCACCATACAAGACTTGTTCGGGGCCTTCTTGAAGGGAACAACTCATCTCGCTCTTCCCCTCCCCTTCATAAAAGAGCCTCACCATGCCCCTCCACTGCGCATCGCTGCCCCAGCACAGTTTCTCGGACTCGGCGTGTTTATCCCTCCCTCCCCTCCCCGATCCACCCGGCACCATGCTCGCTGCTCATCTCGCATCCTTCATCTTGGCTGCCGTCACCTTCTCCGGTGCAGACGCGCTCCACATCCGGCGCGACTCTGCGCCCATGTCGCTGCCGTTCGTCCGGCGGGTGAACGTGACGGGCGTGCCGAGCATCATCCAGCATGACCAGGCGCGCGCGAAGGTCCTCAAGGCGAACCGGGCGGAGATGCGCGGGTTTCAGTAGGCGGCCGTGTTCAACGTCCCGGCGATGAACCAGGGGGTCGACTACACGACGACGGTGTGTGCGCCCACGGTGCAGAGTGGTGTTCGTCGGGGAAGCTGACAGTGCGTCTGCTCCTGATAAGGTCACCATCGGTTCGCAGACCTGTACGTGGGGCTCCCGCAGGATCTTGAGAACACGCCAAGACCAACTTATTCCTGCCTCTGGACAGTCGCATTGCTCATTGACACGGGAAGCTCCAACACTTGGGTTGGTGCGCAGTCCAACAACTCCCTCCAAGGTGCTAAGTCCGCCGGAGACCTTGTGGTGTGTATTTATGATCATGATACTTGGGTGTTGCTTACTCTAGGCATCCATTAGTCTGTTTCATACGGCTCTGGCTTCTTCACCGGTACGTAGTTGGCCACTCCCTTAGTCAACGCATACTAAATACGTTCCACACAGGCGCGGAGGTCTTCGCCACGGTGAAGTTTCCTAACGGCCTCACCATAGCGAATCAGTCCCTCGGTTCTGCGTTCGTGACTCAAGGCATCACCGGGGTCGACGGAATCCTTGGGTCAGCACGTCTGCGTGGCTCTCCTTCGCCCCAACTTCTCACCAGTGCCATTTTACAGCATCGGTCCCGTAGATCTGACGTGCGGTGAGTCGAAACGAAACGGGGCTACGGACAGGCGACGCTTAACTTCTCCCCCAGGCACGCTCCGGTTCAACAAGAGCGCGTGCATCCCCACAGTGACCGACAACGCATTCTCTCAGGGACTCATCTCCGCCCACGCGGTCGGCATCTCCTTCCAGCCCACCACGACGACTGGGAACACCAACGGCGAGCTCACGTTCGGTGGGGTCGACACAAGTAAGTTCACCGGTGCGCTCAACTACGTGCCCATCACATCAACGTCTCCTTCCACCCAATACGTGGGCATCGATCAGTCGATCACGTACGGGACCGCCGACGGAACCACTGTGCTCCCGGCGACGAGTGGGATCACCGACACTGGGACGACGCTGCTGCTCCTTGCCACTGGTTAGTGGTGCAGTTCAGGCGCGACCCGGGAAGTCACCGCACCTCTGTTGACTCCGTACTCTTCAGACGCGTACAAGACGTACATGAACCTCACCGGCGCGGTGCCGGACAGCTCGACGGGCCTGCTTTCGCTCACACCGGCCCAGTTCGGGAACCTCCAGAGCCTCTTCTTCCACATCGGCGACGTGAGTCACCTTGCCATGCCCGCGGCGCCCAACCCGTCACTGACACACCCCGCGCCCGCAGAACACGCTCGAATTCACGGCCAACGCGCAGGCGTGACCGCGTGCGGTACGTGACACTGGCTTCTTCCTGACTGCACCGAGGAACAGACGCTGATAGGTCGCGCGTCGTCCGCCCAGCTCAATGCCGCAATCAACGGCACGAGCAGCCTCGTGTACCTCGTCGTGGCCGATATGGGGAGCTCGAGCGGTGACGGCCTCGACTTCATCGACGGCCAGACGTTCCTGGAGCGCTTCTACCACGTCTACGACATCGCGAACAGCAGAGTCGGGTTCGCGACCACGCCGTTCACGTACGCGACCACGAACTGATCAAAACCCGAGCGATGAGCGCGAGCGCGGTCGAATGCTGTGCGAGCCATGTACGAATACATAGGTCATCGTCTCTTGGAGGCGACGATGGAAGAAGGGCAGTTGTGCGGGGCCGAGAAGCGTCAGTTTCGTTGCTGTGCTGCCATCTTGTCGTGACACTCGCCTCTCAGTACGTATGTACGTTGCAATCAGACCTGGTCACCGATCGCCCTCCAGTGCGCCTCGTTCGAACCTGAAGCTAACCCGCGTACCGCGTACCACCCCGCGCCGCCACGACCGTCGCCCTGGGCACCCGCGCCGTCGCGCCCACGATCTCCAACAGTTCGTCCCCACCCTTCCCCATCGCGCACGTCCACCGTCCAGCGACCGCCCGCTTCTCGCGCTCGTACGTCCTCTTCGACCGCCCGTGGCTCGACCGCCCCTGCGGCTTCAGGAGCGGCTGCGGGACGAGCGGCGTCGCCGGCAGCCCCTCGGGTCATTCGACGCGCGCCGCGGGGATGTCGGGGATGGCGGTGGGCCTCCCGAGAACGAGGACTCAGGAGAACGACTTTACAGCGTCGGGCGGCGGCTGGTCCTGCGGGCCTTCTGGTACCAGAGGAGCTTGCAGGTCGGGGTGGCGAGGCGCGGGTACGCGGCGGAGTTGGCGCTCAGGCTGAGGAGGTAGGAGTCGGAGTCGGTGGGGACGAGAGTCGTAGGGTACGCGTTCAGTCGGGCAAGGCACTCGTCGACTCACGTTCGGGCCCACCGGGCCGCTCTTCCACTCCGAACCTCCCACCCAAATTCCAGACACGGTCCAAACATAGATAGATCGGCCCCCCGGCGCACTACACGCTCACAGACCCGCATGCACAAAAGACGACCAGACACGCACAGAAACGCCCGAGCGCCTGAGCTCTGCGACGGTGTCGCGCACCGCCTCGGCCGCGCTCCCCGCGTCGAGGTTCGACCCGTCGAGCGCCTGGAGTCGCGCATAGACCCCGTCAACCGCGCGCGCGGCACCCGCCTCCTCTTCCGCCGCGTCGCACTCCCACAGCCGCGCGACGACGCCTTGCACGCCCGCGAGCTGCAGGGCGACCGCGAGGGGCGGGCGCGCCCACTCGATGCTGTCGCCAAGTTGGTGCTCCGTGACGGACGACGGGGGGCTGCTGGAAGAGACGAACGCGAGGCGCACGTGGGACAGCGGGAGCCGTCGCAGGGACCCCACGTCGGAGAAGAGGGGGGACGGGGACGGGGACGCGAGGTGGAGCCACGAGCGGGAGGGGAGCGCGCGCGCGACGGCGTCGGCAGCCGGGACGACGCAGCGGGGGACGGAGGCGACGCGGGCGCACGCGCGCTCGACGGCGGCGCGCTCGCGCTGGCCGAGGTCCCCGATAGTGAGGAGGGAGAAGGCGGAGGGAGGCGCGGCGCTCGCGCGGAGGAGGGAGCGGAGGGTGGGGATGTACGAGGAGACGACGAGGTCGAGGAGCCCGGGGTGGTCGTCGACGTACGGACCGGCGGCGTGGATGGGCAGGCGCGAAAGCGGGCCTGACAGGCACCACCACACGCGGGCAGACGAGGTTGATGGAGGCAGGTGGGGGAGGATTGGGGAGACGACGGCCCGCCAGAGAGTCCGTAAGAGTGGAATGAGGACGCCGTCTTCGAATTCGCGCGCGGAGGTGCTCTTGTCCTGAAGGCGCTGCTTGCCGGACTGGAGCGCCGCGGCCCAAGAGCGTGCGGCGTCCAGGCTGGTGTCGGGGAGCGGAACGTGCGACACGGTCGCTTGTTGTGCTCCACGGGAGCGGGAAACGACGAAGGCATCGGCGCGGGAGGAGTGGGCGCTGACGTAGACCACGCAGCCCTTCTCGAAGACACCCCGCGCGCTGCGGCCGTCGAGGTCGCGAAGACTGAAGGCGTCGTTGCTGGCCACTCCGTCCGACCGCGAAAACGGGAGGGTCCCGCAGAAGTGGGGAAGCCGCGACAGACCCGCGCCAGACTGGGACGCCGAACGTTCCCTCTGAGCACGCGCCATGTCGTCCTGCACTTCGATGAGGCCGTCGACGATGTTTTGCAGCTGCGACGTCCTACGCGCGGATCCACCTGACGCCAAGGGCCGCCGGGGAGAGTCGTCCAAAGAAGTCGCAGCGACATAAGCCGCGAGGTCGCCGATCTCCGATCCTCCGCTCGGTGGCTCCCCGGTGTCCGCGCGCGCACGGGAGCCGCCGAGCGAGCCACCGCGGACGTGATCTGGACGCAGTCGCGTCACTCGGTGCGCGAGCGCGTGCGCCGCGCGCTCCAGGCACTCGACCGCGTCCTCCGCGTGCCCGCACTCGACGGCGCAGGCCGCCGCCCACGGCCCCACGTCCTCCGCGAGCGCGACGAGCTCGCGATACTGCGCCGGCATCCGGCTCCCCGCCCAGACCAGCAGCGGCAGCACGTCGAGCGCGACCCTGAGCGCACCGAGCACCGCCGCGGGACCGAGCACCGCCACCGTGCGCGCCCACGCCATCGCCGCGCGCAGGCGGACTGCCGGCGGGGCGGCGGCGGACGTGGCGGCGGCGCGCAGCTGGTCGAGCGCGCAGGCGATGTAGCCGGGCGACGGCTTGAGCGCGTGGCGGGCGAGCAGCATCTGCGCGAGCTGCAGCGCGAGCGGGGGGCGGAGGGCGTCTTCGGCGGGCACGCGCTCGAGCGCGGACTCGGTGTGGAGGATGGCCTCGTCGATGTCCTGCTGGGCGTGTTGGCGCTGGAAGCGCAGGAAATGCGCCGAGGCGAGGTCCCGGAAGAGTTGGGCGTGCAGGTCCGCGCGGCCGGAAAAGGTGCGGCGGGCGCCGGAAAGGAGGCGGATGCCTTCGTCCACTTCGGCGGCGCTGTTGACGGCGGCGTGCGCGCCGTGGTGTGCGAGCGCAAGGCCGAGGACCGCATCTGGAGGAATCCGGGTGTGAGGGCCAGGAGCAGCGGGCGACGGGTGTGCCGTGCGTTGCAGAGTCTGGATGGCTTCGTCCAAGTCCGCCAGTTTGCCGTTGGCCGAGTACCGTCGAAACAGGGCGGATGCGAGTTCGGTCGACGTAGTCGAGCGGAGCGAAGGCCCCGAGCGGCATTGTGCGACCGCGGCGCGGGCGTAGGAAACGGCCCGGTCGAGCTCGTCGAGGTTCATGACGGCGTTGAACCGTTCGGCCACCGCCAAGGAAAGCAGCCGCGCCGCTCGCAACGAATCGGGGTGCGCCGCGGCCGTCGCGAGGCTTTGAGCCCGCGCGCCGAAGCCCAGCGCCCTCGTGAGGTCTTCACGGTCGCCTAATCTGTAGAAACGCTCGAGACATAGTTCCCCGCGAAGGCATAGGGACTGGGTGTCGTCCTGGGGCTCCGAGATGAGGTCGAGGGCGTCATCCAAGATCTCGATCTCTCCCGCGACGCGATACTGGTCCAACAGGGTCTCCGCGAGCTCCACCGACAGCATACGCCGGCCAGTGGCGTCCTCAGCGAACCGGTCCGCGGAGTAGGCGAGGACCATCTTGCCTGCGTCGAGCGCGCGCCTGATGTCCTCCGCTCCGACCCCGTGCCTGGACAGCAGGCGCTGGGCGTACACCCACGTCCGCACGAAGAACGTCGCCGACGGCGGGAGCTCCGCGGCCTCGAGCGCGCCCACGGCCATCGCGGCGGCGCCGAGGGCGGCGTCGAGCTGCGCGACGTCGCATGTGATCTCGTGGAGGTGGAGGAGGGTGAGCCCGAACGCGCACTGTTCGGTGCGGTACTCGAGCGAGGCGGTGTCCCGGGCGGCGTGGAGGCCGACCGCGAGCTTGTGTGCCACGGCGCGCAGGAACGGCTCGTCGCCTTGCCGAGCGCGGGGGATGTCTTCCGGCGCACGAGTGCCCAGGAGGCGTGTGATCGCCCCGTCCACGAGGGCCTCGAAGCCCGCTAGCGCGGCGGGAGCGCGTACCGAGGCCGCCCGAGTGGCAGCGAAGGTGGCGTGCAGGGAAGCGGGGTCGGAGGTTTGGCTGGATGCCGCGCGAACACGGTCTTGCACGATCCCGACGAGCCCAGAGGCGCAGGCGATGAAGTCGACGCTGCTCGAGCCTTCGTGCAGTTCTGGGTAGTCCTCGGGAGGGAGATGCAAGGATGGAAAAGGAGGCGATGGAGAAGGTGAGATGAGGCCCTATGGGGGGATCAGACTCGGCGGATCGCCTTGCATGCGCAGTTGTGACTCACCGTTATGTGCTGGAGCAGCATGAGGAGCGGCTGCAAGGCCACCGCCGAGCCGCTCGACGCTTTCCCCTCTCCCAGCAGCGGCGCCAGAACATTGTCGACGGTGTTCAGCATAGACTGACATGTCTGGCTGGAGGAAAGTGAGCACGACGCATTTCTTCAGCGGTTGAGCTCACCTCGTAGACGTCGTGCAAGCGAGGTCTCCGGACTGGGTTGCCAATAGAAGAGACAGCAACGCCTCCCTGAGATGTTGCAAACTTGCAGGCTCGATGGAGGCTGCTTCTGCCATCTAGGAGGAATGTCAGGGACACGGAGGGCGGAGGTCATCTCCTGGACTTCTTACCTGGAGGGAGAGACCTGGGCCGAAGGGAAGTGCAAGGAACTAGTGCGGCTCATATGTTGCGCTGGACAACAGCGGCTGCAGACTAGCGCACCGGCTCGCATAGGCACCAAATCTGTCCAACATGGGGATAGCACAGCGGCTGGCCACGAGAACCCGGTGTTGACACTTGCCGCCGCTGTGGCCCGTGATCTCGGGTGTGCGCGCCCCGTGGAGGCCGGGACGTCGACACATGTGGGCTGGTATGTATGGACAGCACCAGCTAGCCGAGACTGACACCAGCCCGGCGACCAGACGAAGAGCGGCAGGTGCAGCGGTGGTGACGGTGCTGTCCAAGACTCGGATCCGTCGCCCAGGATCGGGCGCCTCAAGCACCCTTGCCACGGTAGGCCACGTGAGCTGAGTCATCATTAAGCCACGCGACGATCATAACAGGGCCAGCGTGCACGGGAGCGACCTAAACGGCCTTGCGTCCTGACGTATGACAGTGTCATTGACAGTCGCAGTCGGTATGTCAGATAAACACTGGATTAATCGCTGATTGATTTTCCTTGGTTACATTGAAGTCAGGTGATCATGGTGAACCTCGTTTCCCCAAAGCCGTAGACGGTACGTAGTACACGAATCCACGATGGCATTGGATGCATTGCGTAGAAGTGCCTGCTTCGTCTGAGGCTATCTTATCGACTTCGCGCAGAAATAAAGCGGCTGAATCCTGAGATTAAGGGTCTCCATATCTCGGCTGCTACGTCACCTGTGCCTCGCAGATAATGCAGGTACCGTCTCCAACCCACTTGCGATTCAACACCCCATGAGTCCTGACCTGTACGTGTTCAAACGATATCGCCCACACCCATGAAACAGTTTTGTCTCTTATATTCCCAATTGTGCTGTGGCAGGCATCTAGCTTGTTTATGCAAGCCCTACGCCGGTCCAGACGCTTGTTGTTTTTTGATCGGCGAACCCCCGCGTTCGTCATGCCACCCCTCGCTCCGTCTGACTCAGATATATCAGACGTCGCCAAACAAGCCGTCGCGTTCTTCTTCGGACGTGGCATGCAATGTTATCTCTACGGCGTGAAGCGGGCCCCGAACACGAGTCGACGAGAGCCTCGCCCCCACACGCTACGCCCCCGCGACTGAACGCCTCGCCTACGACTCGCGCGCACAGGAGCGGCGACGTCCTCGTCGTCCTCGCATCCGCCCACGATCAAGAAGAACTCCAGCGCCCCCTCGTCGCCACCGAATCTGACTTGCACCTCATGAGCCCGCGCGCGGACTCCGCCGCATACCCGCGCCTCGCCACCCCGACCTGCAAGGTCCACTAAAACCAGAAGGCCCGCGGGACCAGCCGCAGCCTGGGGCTACGAAGTCAGCCTCCTGAGCACTCGAGTCCCCGTCCCCGGGCTCATCGACATCCCCGCCATCCCCGCGGCACGCGTCACTCGGACGACTCGGGGGGCGACCGGCGATGCCGCTCGTCCCTGAAGTCGCAGGGGCGGTCGAACCACGGGCGGTCGAAGAGGACGTACGAGCGCGAGATGCGGGTGGTCGCCGGACGTTGGACGTGCACGATGGGGAAGGGCGGGAACGAGCTGCTGGATATCGTGGGCACGACGGCGCGGGTACCCAGGGCGACGCCGTCGCGGCGCGCGCGGTACGCGGTGGACGGATCCGCGTCAAGTAAGGCGCACTGGAGGGAGATCGGTGTCCAGGTCTGATTGGAACGTATATACGTACTAAAAGGCGAGTATCACGACAAGATGGCAGCAGAGCAACGAAACAAACGCTCCTCGGTTCCGCACAACTGCCCTGCTCCTTCCGTCAGGCGTCGCGCTCTGCTGAGCGCATTTCCAAGCGACGATGGCCCATTCGTACGTGGCCCTGCTTGCGCTCATCGCTCAGGTTCAGTTCGTCCTCGCGTACGTGAACGGCGTGGTTGCGAACCCGACTCTGCTGTTCGCGATATCGTAGACGTGATAGAAGCGCTCCAGGAACGTCTGGCCGTCGATGAAGTCGAGGCCCTCGCCGCTCGGGCTCCCCATGTCGGCCACGACGAGATACACGAGGTCGGCCTTGCCGTTGATTGCGGAATTGAGCTGGGCGGACGACGCGCGACCCGTCAGTGTCTGTTCCTCGGTGCAGCCAGCAAGAGGCCAGCGTCACGTACCGCACGCGGCCACGCCTGCGCGTTGGCCGTGAATTCGAGCGTGTTCTGTGGGCGCGGCGCGTGTCAGTGACGGCTTGGGCGCCGCGAGCGTGGCGGGGTGACTCACGTTGCCGATGTGGAAGAAGAGGCTCTGGAGGTTCCCGAACTGGGCTGGTGTGAGCGAAAGTAGGCCCGTCGATTTGTCTGGCACCGCGCCGGTGAGGTTCATGTACGTGTTGTACGCGTCTGAAGAGTACAGAGTCAACGAACGTGCGATAATTTCGATCGCGCATGAACTGCACCAGTGGCAAGAAGGAGCAGCGTCGTCCCAGTATCCGTGATCCCACTCGTCGCGGGGAGCACAGTGGTTCCGTCGGTGGTCCCGTACGTGATCGACTGATCGATGCCCACGTAGTGGCTGGAAGGAGACGTTGATGTGATGGGCACGTAGTTGAGCGTGCCGGTGAACTTGCTCGTGTCGACCCCACCGAACGTGAGCTCGCCGTTGATGCTCCCGATCGTCGTGGTGGGATTGAAGGAGATGCCGACCACGTGGGTGGAGATCAGCCCCTGCGAGAATGCGTTGTCGGTCACTGTGGGGATGCACGCGCTCTTGTCGGACTCGAGCGTTCCTGGGGTAGAAGTTAAGCGTCGCCTGTCCGTAGCCCCGTTTCGTTTCGACTTACCGCACGTCAGATCTACGGGGCCGATGCTGTAAAATCGCACTAGTGAGAATCTGCGACGAGGGACTACGCAGACGTGCTGACCCGAGGATTCCGTCAACGCCATGGAAACCTTGGGAGGCTGACGCTGAACCGATGGACTGATTGGCTATGGTGATGCCATTAGAAAACTTCACCGTGGCAAAGACCTCCTCGCCTTTGAGGAACACATTTAGTATGTCTTGACTAAAAGAGGGGCTAACCACGTACCGGTGAAGGAGCCAGAGCCGTATTTAACAGACTAATGGACGCCCAGATGAGGCGACACTCAAGTATCATGATACTAAATACACACCACAGTGTCTCCAGTGGTCCGACCACCTTGGAGGGCGTTATCTGACTGCGCACCAACCCAAGTGTTGGAGCTTCCCGTGTCAATGAGCAATTCGACTGTTCAGAGGCAGGAAGAAGTTAGTCTTGGCGTGTTCTCAAGATCCTGGAGGAGCAGCCCCACGTACAGGTCTGCGAACCGATGGTAACCTTATCAGGAGCAAACGCACTGTCAGCTTTCCCGACGAATACCACTCTGCACCGTGGGAGCACACACCGTCGTCGTGTAGTCGACTCCCTGGTTCGTCGCCGGGACGTTGAACACGGGCCCGGGCGCGCGCCGGAACTCGCGCGCTCCCGCCCGGTTCGCCTTGAGGGCCTTCGCGCGCGCCTGGTCATGCTGGATGATGCTCGGCACGCCCGTCGCGTTCACCCGCCGGACGAACGGCAGCGACATCGGCGTAGAATCGCGCCGGATGTGGAGAGCGTCTGCACTGGAGAAGGCGACGGCGGCGAGGATGAAGGAGGCGAGATGAGCAGCGAGCATGGTGCCGGTTGGATTGGGGAGGGGGATGGAGGGATAAACACGCCGACTCCGAGCAACTGTGCCGGGGGAGCGATGTGCAGTGGAGGAGCATGGTGAGGCTCTTTTAAGAAGGGGAGGGGAAGGGCGAGATGAGTCGTTCCCTTGAAGGCCCCGAACACGACCTATAGATGAGTTTTAAAATATGGTGTGCATACATGAGTGTGGTGACACTAGGGCGAGCGCAGAGACTAGGATGCGAGCAAGGACAAGCAAGGGCGCGAACTAGACTTCGGGGACAGCCGGGACACGGGCTCTGCCTATTGGGGACTCCACGTGGCACACGGTCGGCCGAACCTCCGTGGGCGCCTTTCCCCCCTCGCGTCCTCCTCCTTGCTTGCCCTCCACATAACATTCCAGGTTGAACTTCCCATCCGGCATGAAGCGGACCCCAAAATTGTGGAAGAAGCGCGCTCCGTCTTCGGGTGCTACAGAGTGGGTGCGTCTTGTTCCACAACTTCCATCATCGCGATGTACTTTGTCGGTTGCGCGTACGTGACGCAAGACTATGCTTGCTTTTGGTGGAACATTTCCAGCTCCCACCATACATCATTAATTGTACAAACGCGATAACGCTTCAATGATCAATCCTTCCACCTCCACATGCTTCCGCGCCCGTACAGGACCCAGTCTACCTGGTGCGGCGGCTTCACCTCGACGCCCAGCTGCTCCGCAAACTCAAGAACGAACGCCGGATTCTTCAACGACGCCGTCCCGACCATCACCGCGTCCGCCTGGCCCTTCTGGAGCACGTCCTCCGCAATGTGCCCATCCCTGATCCCTCCGACCGCAGTGACGAAGAGACGGTCGCCAACGGCCTTCTTCACCGCCTCCGAGAAGTGCGCCTGGTAGGCGGCGCTCACCACCTCGATCTTCTGGCGGTGGTCCATACCGCCAGACGACACGTCGAGGACGTCCACGCCGTGGTCAGGCAGAAGCTTCGCGAGGCGGACGGTGTCCTCGACCGTCCACGACATCTTTTCCGGGAGCACCTCCTCGAGCCAGTCCGTCGCAGACACCCTGTGTCCACGTCAGTATCAACGCTCCGTTCGTCCGTCGCGCCAAGCACTCACCTCACAAACAGCGGCATGGCCTCCGGAATGACCGCGCGGATGGCGTCCACGACCTCGAGGAGCAGCCGCACCCGGTTCTCGAAGCTCCCGCCGTACTCGTCCGTGCGCGCGTTCGCCACCGGGCTCATGAAGCCGTGCAGCAAGAACCCGTGCGCGGCGTGGACCTCGACGACGTCGACCCCCGCCGCGACCGCGCGCCGCGCCGCCGCCGCCCACGTCCGCACCACCTCCTTGATCTCCGGCACGGTGAGCGCGTGCGGGACCGCGCGCTCCCCGCCGTGGCCCGGGTCGTAGGCGAGCGCCGAGGGCGCGACGAACTCGTCCGTCCACCCGCCGCGCGCGGGCGGGATGAGCTCGTGCGCGGCGTGCCAGAACGGCGCCTGCGAGCCCTTGCGGCCGCAGTGCGCGAGCTGGGCGCCGATCTTTTGGCCCTGGCTGTGCGCGAAGTCGACGAGGGCGCGGAACCCGGCGATGTGCGCGTCCGACCAGAGCCCGAGGTCGTGCGGAGTGCCTCGGCCCTCGGGCGAGACGAGGGTGCCCTCGATGAAGGTCAGGCCGGGGCCGTGGATGAACTTGGCGCCGACTGCACGTAGGAGGGGATCCGAGGGAGGTGAGTGCCTGGGTTTGTTTCGGTCGAGTGGAAGAGGGGCTTACGCATCGCGCTGTGGAAGGGCGTCATCTCGCCGTCGGCGGTGGCGGACATCATCACCATTGGGGAGACCTGCGCGATGCCAGGAGTGAGCTGTGTGCGGGAGAGTACGACGACTCCCTGCGGACATGGCACGCACCCAGAGGCGGTTCTGGAATTCGACTCCGCGGATCTTGATAGGCTGGAATAGCTTCGGGAGGGCCTTCTTCTGGACAGAAGCCGGCGCTGTACCGGCGACGGGAACCTGGGCATGGGTGAAAAATGAAGCACCTGGAGCGGGCGCGATCTCGTAGGCTGGAGGCATGCCGAGTAGACGTGAGTGTGTAGGTGTCTTCGAACGTCGGTTCCAGAGGTCCTCCTATTTATATGCCTTTTTCCTAGTAATCGCGCCAGGGTTAAGTCATACCGCGATATCGGAGTATGGTTCAGTGACTGGTCGAGCCATAGCGCTCGTATGACTAACCTTCTTCGGCTTTTCAGACGGATTTCCTATGTCCGAGCGCACGTATTATTAAAACTTGGTAATACAGCACGTTCGTGACTCTCCGTACGCCGCCCTGCGGCGAGCGTTTTTCAGGTCAGAAAATCGTCGAATGAAGGCGCTATCCCATCGCGGCGAGGCTCGAAGATCGCGAAATCGCCTTAGCCGACCATCTTGCCACGGCGAGGACCACTACGACCACCACCACGAATGGTATTTTCGCGGGCGAGCACACTAGTCTGGAAAACGCTCGACATCTGCATCCCGTCGTTCTCTACGCGGCTGATCTTTATATTCGCAGCACAGACTGGGCGCCATAGCGTCCGAAGCGGTCGGCAGTATGGCTGCGTACGTACAAGCGCTGGCAATCGTGGTCTTTCAGTGCTCCTCGTACTTACATACATTTGGTTGGCCGTGATGGAGTAGATCCTAGAGGTGATTTATTTCTGCGTGGCGCCGTCGCCAGCGGTGGGCACTTCGCGCGACCACCATCCAACTCTGAAACGGCATTCACTACAGCATCCATGGTACGTACGTCACTTCCCGAGCCTCAAAAGGAAGTGCTGACTAAGAAAACCATCATCTCCTGGTTAAGCTCCTACGCCTCACAGCACAAGTGGAGAAAGCGATGTCAAGCTGAAAAGCGAGACCATGTATAGTGTCCAGGCCCGCGAAGCATCCACCCTACCTCCACATCTTCTCTTGTCTCTTCTCATCATCTTCCTCGTCCCCAGCTGGGGAGATGGCACAGTTCGCGTCGGACCCATGCCAACCCTCACCCTCAGCAGCGTGCATCGGGATCGCCCAGACCGACTCGCTCACGTACCATGGCAACTGGACGCACATCGCCAAGTCTCCGTCCTCCGTAGCGTTCATGCAGAGCTCCCCCGGGCCCAACTCCCCATCCACCGCGACGCTCAAGTTCACCGGTGCGTCCACTCTCTGCCTGAGTTCCCAGCCACGCAAGCTGACTCCCGAGCGCCGCTACTGCTGCTGCTGACGACACCCCTAGGCGCCTCGATAACCGTCTTCGGCGCCGTGCAGTCCACCGGCGGCGGCAGCAACGTCACGCTCCAGGTCGACGCCGCGCCGCCCCCGCCCGCGATCCGCAACGCGCGCAACGTGCCGCCGCGGCTCGCGCAGCTCGGCGCGCCCGGCGGGCTCGGCGCGCACACGCTCGTGGTCACGAACCACAACGCGACGCTCCAGCTCGTCGCCTTCCAGGTCGGGAACGGGACAGGTGCGTGGACCGCTCGAGCGCTCAGCGCGGAAGGCTCACGCGCCCGCGAAGTGCCAGGCTCTGGCGGCAACAGCAGCAGCAGCCTCTCCACGGGCGCCATCGCCGGCATTTCGGTGGGCGCGGTCGCAGGCGTCGCCGCGCTCGCCGCGCTCCTCTGGTGGTGGACGCGGCGGCGGCGGCGGCGGCACGCGAAGCCCCGCGCGCTGGAGCTGGACTTGAACGAAGGTACGCCCCCCATCCCGTACCCCCTCTCGCTTCAGCCCCCGTCGAGCTCAGTCTCGCGCGCCACCAGGCCTCGGCGACTCTGGATCCCCCGTCCAGACGCGCGAACGGGCGCTTGCGGAGTCGCGCGCGCTCATCATCAGCCAGTTCGACGCCTCGTCCGAGCGCGGCGCCCCGACGCACCCGGAGCGCGGCGGAACAGGGTGCGAGAAGGGCGGGGCGGGGCGGAACGCGATCGCGAGGATCCACGAGGGAGCCGCGGCGGGGAAGGGGGCGGTCGAAGGGAGGCGCACGGTCAGCGATCGTCGGCAGACTGGGACTGTGGGTGCGAGTGGCGACGAGGCGGGGAGGCGGGACGGGGAGGCGGCTGCTTCAGAGGGAGGTTGGACAGAAGGGCAGGGCGGGGTGCACGTAGAGAGGGACGGGGGCGTCAGTCTTGCGAGGGCCGGAGGGGTTGAAGGAGGGGATGAGGAGACGAACATCACGCTGCCTCCACCGTACTCAACGATTTCTGGTTCATAGCGTAGATTCACATAATCGCATGGTACACGTCGGGAATGAGACCCATCTAAATATGTAAGGTATTAGCAAGCGTATATACAATGCGAGGAAGCTGGAGAAGTGCATAAGGAGCTGTCCGTGCTGCGCCAACACCGCACTGACGTATCAAACGAAGTCCATGTGTAATCCGAGTGAGGTGGTGTACTCGACAGGACGCGGTCCATAAAGTAGACACGATGCACGCATGAAGGTGTCCACGCACCGCCTCCACCACATCAAACGCTGCTGTCTAAAGTAGAATGGTATCGCGGGGGCAGCGAGGACGTTGGCTCGTTGGGCACGTAACTCCACGGCGGCGTCACCGCAGAGCTGGGGCGCCCGCCCCCAAGTCGGACTCCCCCGTCGACGGAGAATCCAGAGGCAGACGCGAGGGAGGGGTCGCGCGAGTCGTTTCGGTGGGGATAGTAGACATCGTGGAGGAGCCTGAGCTTGACGTCGCTCTCCTCGTAGTCGTCACGGACGGGCGACGCGTTGGTAGGGGCGGCCATGATCACTGCGGTATTCGACCAGCCTGACCCATAGGAGGCGGCAGAGTATGTGCGTGGTGTGCTTTCGGTCATGTGATTCCCGGGGGACGGGCCAGGCGACATGGGACTCGTCGCGTCGCTGATTTCTGTGAAGAAGTCAGCGTCGGAGGGGAATGATCAAGTGTTAGAAAGACCCGCCTTCAAATCCTTGTGTTCGGCGCTTCCTGCGGACTACCATGAGGCCGATGCTCCCTGCGATGGCGACGGCGACGAGGGACCCGAGAGCGATACCAGCGCTGGTCGCTGGGTTGAGATGGGGCTGGGTAGACCCAGCCGAAATGTTGGCGGATGTGGCGGGGGGAGGAGACGAGACGGTCCCTGCCGTATATACCGGAACATTAGGGCCTCCCTGATCGCTGGTCGACGACACCGGTTGAAGCTGTGAGGCGGATTCAGGCGTGGGGGAAGAGACGGGCGGCGGGGTTGCAGTGTCATCTGGTATGCTCGTTTGAGAGCCGGCCCTGGCCGAATCGACGCTGGTCGAAACGGGAGAAGTGTCGTCGGTGGGAGGGGCACTGGAAGACTGGTTCTCGGAGGAGTGCAGGGGGCCATTCATCCACGTAGGCGATGCAATCGTAGAAGGGGAAAGGGGAGGGCTAACTGATGGGGACGCCTGCACATTAGCGACGAAGGATGCGCTGGTGGTCGGCTCGTGTGCGGCTGTTGAAGTCGGCACAGAGATCGTCGAGGTGGGGTACACATGGAATAGGGAGAAAATTTGCTGGCAAGTCGAATTCGAGTCGGAGCGGACCACAAAAGGCAGGACGATCGGGGAGTCTTGGGTAGTATCGGATACATGGATAGTGACGTTCGTGCCTGCGGGCCAGATGGGGATCCACGCCACATGCGGGAGGGGTGTCTCGAATGTTTGAGAGCCGAGGGTAGAGTTGAAGAGAACGGTGAACGGGGGCGACTCGCCTTGCCAAGCGAACAGAGCAGGGAGGCATTCTACTGCGATAGGAAGAGGGCCCAGCACGATGGTCGCCGTAGCTTGAAGAGTAATGAATGACGATGCAAGGAGCGTCCTGAGAACATTGAAAGAGCGTGTGGGCATGGTTGCAGACTCAAGGAGAGCGCAAAGGGGATAGGAAGGAGGGACGTGTCAGGGCAGGAAATATGTTGGGGGGCTCACCGCTGTGCTCCCAATGCGCGATGCCCGACACCTGTCCCACATTCTTGCTCTCAGAAGTGTGTGATGCCCGGGATCCAGCGAAGCATGGAAGCGCCTCACTCGACGTAGGACTCTGAAAGGCAGAGGAAGCCCCTAAGCCGCACCGAGAAAGGAATGTTGTGCAGCGCCGTTCACCGTGGTGTTGTCAGGAAGTTGGGGACACTCTGTGGGCCCCTTCAACTTCCGCAACGTCGTGGGGGAGGAGTCGATGTTGCGGTGATGCAAGAGTGTCGATGAGCCATGGCAGGAGGTGAGGTGAATCATTATCTTCGAAGAAAGGCGGGCGCAGTGCCAGTGAACTCGTGGTAGAACGTAAAAGGCTCGGAACAGATTTAGGATGGAGGAGGGAAAGTGTCCCGCGCGTCACTACATATCTGTGTCTCATTATTACATAACTTATGAATTCCCATTGGTTGATGCAAAGCCGTGTTGAAATCCCATCGTGGCTCGCCTCCAGAATCCAGTGTGGCGAATCGCCCTCGCGACTCGATTTATTGCTGATCTTTATGGAGGGGATAGATAGCCTGGCTGTGGCACGCTGGAAAGGAATAGAGAAAAACAAAGCGGCTCAGCCTTGGTGGCTCAGGCGCCCACGGAGCGCGACGGAGATTTCAACCGACGATTGGCGGGCTACATGTGTACATAAAAACAGGGGAAACAGTGGTGGGCATCTCGAAAAACGTCAGTTCGCGCCTGGCAGCAGCACCGAAAGGTGTTAACAAGGCGGACGACCGCGGATGTAGGAGCCTCGCCCAAGCCTCGCCTACTCGGCACCTGGTAGCAGCATGGAAAGGGTTGAGCTAGTACGAGGCCGCCCTGCGTACCGCCCGGTGAGAGGGGCTCGCGTTATGCGTGTCATGGACTCGTCGGTAGCCTGATCGGGTGTTTGTGTGGGACGGCGGGCAGAGGTGCGCGCGCGCCTCCCGGAGAATGCAAGCGCGTCCGTTCGGAGTACTGGGGCGCCGCTGTCGAAACAAGTGAGACTCACCTTGCAATGGATGGCGTGTTTCAGATAATACTGAGAGGTTGTCAAGAGATGACTGGACGAAACTGGACGTACTATAACTCCGAAAATGAGGAGGAGCTCGAGGTCACAGACACTCCTATGTGCGCGGAAGTCCATGCCCGAGTCGATGGCACCGAGAGTGTGTGGCACCGCCTTCGCGACATACGCCTACCGGGCTCGAGAGCTGCCCAACTAGAATCCTGCGGTGCAACATTAGCTATCTTGAAGTGCCACAGAACTCGGCGAACACCAACCCAGTGAGGCGTTCCCGCCACACTGCCGAACCAGGGACGAGGCCTTCCCAATCGCGTCGGAGACGGCGGAAGGCCGATACCCCAGTCGTCCGCCGACGGCCGAGGCGAACCTCTGACCGGTATTGAAGAACGCGAACGTCAGGAAGACCGGGGGCAGCACGCTGACGTGCTGGAAGTCGATTATCCAAACTGTCTTGCCCTCTCCGAGGAGGAAGTTCTCGTCGCGGATGTCGGAATGGCAGATGGAGCGCGCCTTGAAGGAGGCCTCGAGCTGAGTCTGCAACGTCTGATCAAGCGGTGCGCCCCCCGGGCGGCGCCTAAACGCCTATGGGAGAAATGACGAGCGGCAAAAGGGTTGGGGACGAGATCCATACCTTGTCGATGTATTTCAGGAGCATGTCGGGGTCGAAGGCACGCGGCGCCTCGTGGTCTTTGAAGAATCTATGCCAGACGGGGTCGTCCGAAGGGGAAATGCGACCGAACACAGAAGCGGGAACCGAGGGTGTCTGGTCGAGCAGCCATTTGACGGCACGGGCGGCGTGGCCTACGGCCTCCTCTTCTGAAATCCCGGAGTCCTTCAGCGTTGGCGCGAGGATCTTTTCCATCACGAGGAAGCAATAGTCATCCGCGGAGAAGGCGTCGAAAACGCGGGGGATGTGAGGATCCAGCGGATCGTTACGGGGGAGACGATAGAAGAAGTGCTGAGTGTACGCCTCATTTAAGACGTCGCTGCCGTGCTTGATGATGAACGGGGGCCTTCCCGGCAGATGTAATTCGAAGATGCGGCTTCTCGCGTGCGCATCCATAGGGATGGCGTTGAAATGGGCGACGATGGCCTCGCGCTCGTGTTCGACCAAGTCGTGCGGCAGAGTCTGTCGAGAGCTGTCGTCAGAAATTGCGACAAGAGACACTGGGATCGGAGATGATACATGCCAAGCCAAGCATAGCTCGGTCTGTGAGGGGATGCAGGTTGGTGGCAGAGAGAGAGGGCCGAAGAAGTCACGGCCTTCAAAAGGCAAGGCTGCTGCGCACCGGGCCGATGTTAGCGAGGATTTATGGGCGCTAGTCCCGGGGATTGGCGCTTATTGCTCGTTGGATCCAAACGTCTCGAGCAGGGAGAAGACAGAACGTGTTCGGTTGGCTCGCGGATGCCACTAGGGGGTTGCGACGAATCGACCGACGCTCAGGAGCTTGACCGGCGAGCGGCGCACAGTCATCCGGACAGCCCGCGCGCACACGCGAGAAAGAAGGACAGAAACGAAGATATATGCAAACGATACGAAACGAAACGATCAGGGTGAGGATCATGGGGCCGCCGGACACGCAACGACGGCGCTCAGTAAGCTCTTCTGTTACAGCATCTCTCGTCCACGAGCTAGGGTCACGGGCGCGCTCAGTTGATCTCCGAAAACGTGTTTGCCGTCTGCGCGAGCCCCGCACGGGAGCCGCCGACGTCGTAGACCATGTAGTAGCGTTCGAGGAAGGCCATGCCGTTGATGAAGTCGAGCCCGAGGCCCGAGACGGAGCCCATGTCGGCGACGATGAGGTAGACCGAGTCGGGCGCGCCGCCGATTGCGGGGTTGAGCTGGTCGACGAAGTGAGTACTAGGCCGGTGAGAGAGAACGGAAGACGTACCGCGCGAGGCCAGATCTGGGCGTTGGGGATGAGCTCGTATGCGACCTAGCGGTGACGTCAGTGGTTGTAGCGGGAGACAAGGGAAGTGCCCACCTCGCCGATGGTGAAGAAGAGGCTTTGCAGGTTGTTGAACTGCTCTTGGGTGATCTTGAGGAGACCGACGTCTTCGTCTTCAGTAGCGCCCGTGAGTTGTGTGTAGCGCTCGAAAGCGTCTGCGGGCTAGTTAGCAACAGGCACCGAGACGATGAACAGAGACGCACCACTGGCGATCAGGATGAGAGTGGTGCCCGTGTCGAGGATACCGGCGGAGCGGTCGAGTACCACCGACTGGTTTCTGCCATAGGTAATCGTCTGGTCGACGCCAACGAAAGCGTTCGCAGGTTGAATGCGTGTAAGAGGCCTGAACAACCGACATATATCGTTTGAAGCTGGAGAGAGGGCGTATATGGTCATCACTCACACGAAGTCTAGAGGTCCGTTGAACTTCGTGGTGTCAATGCCGCCGAAGGTAAGCTCGCCATTCGTGCTCCCTTCAGTGGCCGATGGAGCGAACGAGATGCCGACCATATATTCCGTGAGCAGTCCAAGCTGGAAAGCGGTGTCCGTGACGGTCGGTACACACTTTCCCAACTCGGGCAAAAATGATCCTGTGATAGGGATCAGCACTTGAACTGAGGAACAGCTTCCGAACGAAGGCTCACCACAGGTGAGGCCTTTGGGGCCGATGCTGTCAGGAATTTGAGTGTAGTCCTCCGCATCGTACTCTGGCACTCACCCCAGAATACCGTCTACCCCGGAAAATCCCATACTGACGAGGCCATCTCCAATCGATTGCCTCGGAAGCGTGAGGCCCGGGGCAAGTGTGACTTGATCGACGACCTCCATTCCTGGTTCCGATCGTCAGCGATCTAGCAGTAGAGATGTGTGATCCGACGCACCGACGAAGATCCCACTGCCATATTGCACAGTCTGCAGTGAAGGAATGCATGAGCGCGATAGATGAGTGCGAGGACAGATCTGCTAGCGCACCGTCAAATCGCCCGTGGGCTGGGACGAGAGGGTCGGAATGAAGGGTTTTCCTGCGCCCGCCCACGTGTTCGAGCTCCCGGTATCAACCAATAGCTGGTCTTCAAAACGAGAGCATCACGCACAACGCCACCAAGAGATGTCGGGAAGGTACTCACATTCGTGCGGGGGGTTGCCGATAAGCGTCTGAAACCCAGACGATCAGATACGCGTGCATGACAGACAGAAGGGCCACGCACCGAGACCACATAGCTCACAACCTGGGACGTCGCGTCGATGTTCGTAATCCCGCCCTCAACATTCTGCTGCGTCTCTGCTGCATTTAAACCGGGGCTGCCGCGCTTGCGGATCGCCTCGGCGCGCGCCTGGTCGAACTTGAGCACGTTAACTGCGCCGGTGGAGTTGAAGCGCCGGGCCATCGGCAGGTGAACCATCGATGGTATCGGGCCAGTGAGTTGAGGGAGGAGGCCGCTTAGAGACGATAATGAGCCAACGGCGGAGCGGAAGCTGCTGTGGTCTGTCGAGCCTGCCAGGAGAGGGAGAGGGGCAGCGTTGTCCGAGAAGAGGGATTGAGGGACATCGAGGAGGGCACCGGCACCTGGGGAACCGGTGTGAGAGGAAGGGTCGAGGAGGTCGTTGAGGATGATGGGGGAGGCCGAGGCGTAAAGACCGGAGGTGAGTAAAAGAGTGACTAGGCTGAGACAATCCATGGCGGCGGGTAGAAGGAGGCAAGGGGAGCGCGGGAGGAGGAGAGGAGGAGGAGAGTGGAAAGGCGGGGTTGTAGAGGCAGTTATACGCCGTCCAACTCCACTGCTCGGCCGCGAAAGCCCCGTCAACACGTCAGCCTTGCTGTGGGGCCGCTTCTTCGCTCCCTCCGACCAGCGAGGCCTCTGCGCGAGTTGTATGTGCAGGAGTGGCTATACCACTCAGCGCATGCTGTCGCGATTGCGGTCTCCCTCCGTCTCATCCACGTCGCCACCTACCACCGGGAGTTCGCTCGGGGTGTGTTCAGTTCGCGTCCATCAGGCGATCCGGCATAGAGATGGATGGTGACTAGAGCGCATGTGGAAGGCTGCTCAAATATGTGAGGTGAAAAAGTGGGTTGTTGCGCGCGCGACTTGGTGTCAAGGGAGAGAGCAAGGTGCCAGCGTCAACTGAGCCAGCTGCCTGGAGGCGACGTTGGTAGAATGTGACTGTCATGTGACGCAGATGTGACATTTTGCTAGACTGGTGACGGCCGTTTCACGTGGGCGCCACGCGCACGGCCCATGGGGGTCGACTCAATCGAAATCGCAATCGCAAACGTTCACTCGTCTTCCAGCCATGCCACCCCTCCCCGCTGAACGCATGTCGCCCATGTGGGTCAGTCCATGGCAATATGAGTTCGCATCACACGCTGATACTCCATCTTCCGCTTCAACTCAATTCCGTTTTCCCGCCTTCAAACGCCTGCTCACGACTGCTCACACATCGTGTGCTCACGCGGAGATGAAACCATCGTCTGGACGATGTCCCATCCATTGCTCCGCCACAAAGAGCCTATGTATGATCGCCCTCCTTCCCAATCATCGAGGCATATCTCTCACCCCCCACTTACATAACACATCCAACACTCCAACTTGCGTTTGCAGCGGAGCGATGTCTCTAGTAGTGCCTTGTTCTGTGTTCCGTCTCTCGGCCGTGGTGGGTACTCGGAACTTCGAATGAATGATGGATAAGGCCTTCATTGCTTCTAGTGCCGCATCCGCAGCCTCCGTCAGCCTTGGCCGTTGGATCCCCCCGCATCGCCCTATCACGAATTATCATCAACTGTCAATGTCGCGTCTAAGAATTACAAGTCCCTGAGCTTCCTGAAGTACGTATCTGGTTTTTATCTCAGGATTCTTTCGTATTCCTTATCAACTGGACGTCCGTCACTCCCACCCTCGCCTTCGTGAACGATCGTTGTACTGATACATGTGGCATCATTCCCCAGCTGGCAGCTCCAGAGCTTCAAGCGCGTTTGATCAACTCTTTGCCGCTCCAAACATGGAAACCAACAAACGTGCCGGGAATCTCCCGGGATCTTCCAGGACCGCAGGAACCCGTACTGGCCTCAATCGATGAGCCGTCTTCCGTTCAGCAAGAGTGGCCTTCCAGCACATCCGGCCAGCTATAATTTATACCCCTCGCGCTCTAGACCGCGCTCTGCTGACCGCTTCTTCTGCATTCACGTTCCTCCCTTTCCCCTCCTCTTTTTCGACCCGGCTGTTCCGCCTGCGCGCCATGGCCGATGCGGACATCGCTGCTGCTTGGCACCTCCTTGAGATCACCGGCATCGTGCAGTCGGTGCTGTGCGCGTTGTTCGGTGCGTGCTCTACTGTCGTGCGCAGGCTGCGGACCGCCAATCGGATGTCGCTAACGTCCATTGAAGGCCTCTATTTTGCGCTCTTCGTGCTCGCGTTATGGGCGAACTACGGACGTGGGGATGTATCGTCCAAGAGGCTTAGGATCGTGACAATTGTCCTGTGAGTACTCTCGCCGTTTTTGATCAGCACAAACTGGAAATATACTCCCGCAGATTTGTGAACCTCTGCGCCCACTTCATCGCGCGTTCCCTACAGTTCGCGAGAGCTCGAATCATGGAACCCGCGGACAACGAGTTCTTCAAGTGGGGCATCCCGTTGACGGTCATTGGAAAGTAAGTTGCCAAGCTTCCTTGGATGTGCGCCGTCGCTGACTTTGGCTGGCAGCGTCACCACCACGTTCGCAGTACGCATGCTACCCACGCGCTATCCTATTCGTACTTACTCTCTTGCTTCAGGGTCTTTGCTCGGACGGCCTCCTTGCATGGCGCTTCTTCGTTATTTTCGACCAGCGAAAATGGGCTCTTTACATCCCCGGCACATTCGTGATCATCAATGCTTGTACGTCGCTTGAACTCTGTTATTCCCGGAAATATTGGGCATTGCATTCAACCTCTTGTCATTGGTAGTGCTCTGTTGGTCTGCGGACGCGCAGCACCTCGCCGCATACACCCATTACGACTTCTACGAAAACACCCTCCTCGAGGTCACCCTTCAGATCACCGTAGCTTGGGGCTGGCTCATGTTCGTCATCAACACCACCCTCACCCTCGCCATCATCACGAAGATCATGTACGTCCTCCTCCCCTCTTCTGCCTGCACGCAGTTCTAACAACCTCGTCGCAGCATCGTCGCGCGCGAGAGCCGCACGATGAACCTCTACGAGACCGTCATCCGCGCGTGTATCGAGTCCGCGTTCGTCACCTGGGTTGGCCTCCTCCTGTACGAGATCTGCTCGCTCGCGCCCAACGGCCACGTCGTAGTGCGTCCCGTCCCCTCGTCCCTCCCTCCCGCCACCCCAGCGCTGACCGGCGTGCTCTCACACAGACGAACTACGACGTCGGCTACGTCATGGCCTGCGTGATCCCCGTCTTCTTCGTGCGTCCCCCCTCCTCCCTCTGCCCTCCCCCGCGCCAGAGGTCTCACGTCGCGCACCGCGCACACAGGGCATCTCCCAATGCCTCATCGTCGTCCGCATCGCGCTCACGAACGAGTTCGGGCCCTCGCGCGGCCTCGCCGGCGAGCGCTCCGGCGCGTACACGGCCACCTCCGCCTCCTCCGGCACCGGCTACTCCTCCTTCGGCGCGCACCACTCGCTCAACCCGCGCGTGCCCAGCGGCGCGAAGGAGATCCAGTTCGCGCCGCCGCCCGCGACGCCGTCCGCGCTCGGGTCCGCGCGCTCGGAGAGCGCGAAGTTCCGCGACGGGGAGTACTCGTTCGACGCGGACGTGGAGATGTTCCCGCCGCGCGGGCGGGCGCTGTGAGCGCGGGGTGGTGTGCGTGGGGGGAGGGCCTGTGCACGGTCGCTTGGCCGTGTGGCTGGTTGTCTCGTTCGCTCTTTTTGTTTTTTGCACGCGTTTGTGCCCTCTAGGGGTGTTGTTGCTAAGTTATACTTGTTCCTAGTCTTCCCTAGGCAGCAAATATTCTATGATTTGCTCAGTAGGGGGGGTCGTTGCGTGTGCGTGTGGAAGGCTGCCTGGGCCGCCTTGGGGAAGTGCGTAGCGCTGCTGTGGTAGCACAAATGCAGCTGTGAGCAGCCTCGCTCGAGCAGAGAACATCGGCGCCTAATATAGGCGATTAGATAAGACAGTGATCTCGGAGCTAGATCTGTGGTGGCCTCCGACGGCCACTCGCCTCGTCACCGTTCTTTCCAGTGACCCCAGGAGTGACGAGACGTCCCCGATCCGTACCCACCGATAAAACTCATTTCTGTTGTCGGCATAAGTTTTTCTTCTCTTTAACATAACATGCTACGGTCCCGTCGTGCCTTCTGTTCCCTCTCGCCACACAACGCATGTGACGTCCAGACGACGCAAACCGGCTTCGTTCTCAGGTATGACCTTTTTGTCCGTCGTTCAAATATTTGTGGTGACAAAAGCGTCTCTTAGGTGACTACGAGCCCCATATAGACCCTCTCCGTCTTCGCAAATCCTAGACACATCAGGAAAAACCCAAATCCATAATGAGACGTTACTGAGGCTTGTGAGGGCTAATGAGCCCGATTATTGTGTTATTCATAAGTATTATTTTTCGCTTACCCCTCTGCTAATGAGAGACCATTACATGGAGAAGGAAGAGTTAGTCGTGAGAGCAGGCCCTCATCAGGCGCATTTAGTCTCACTCATATCGGTAGATCACTGATTAAAGCACTGGATATCGAGTGGTAGCACTCATCACCCATATAATATAGCGCAACCATGAACATTGATCTAGTGCAGACAAGACCAGGATCTAGCTACAGCGACATAGATGTACATATCAACAAGCGATGGTGACGCAATGTAAATGGTACTGTAGGTGCGCGCATAGAGAGGGAGATGTGTGGGGCCGAGAATGCGTGCACGGGGAGCATGTATATGAAGACGAAGAAGCCTCGTACCAACGGCCTCCACGTGTGGTCGGTTGCACAGAGTGCACGCCGCTCGCGCCACAGACGCACCCGTCGCCGCCGAGACCAACGTGTGCGCGCAAGGGTGGCTCTCTCAGGCCTTTTGCGCACCGTCCATCCGCCGGTCCTCTCAGGGATCACATCAAGCGCACCACACTCGACGGTGCCCCCCGTTTGCGCCTGGAGTCGTTCCCGCCCCTGCGCCAGGGGCAGCTGCGGGCGAGCCGTCGACCTTGGAGACGACGAACGTACACTTGAGCGGGACCATGTGTGCGCTCACGCTCGCATGCCGCAAGGCGCCGACCGCTCGCCCAAGATGTACCCGGGGGAGAACGCTGGTGCTGCTGTCGGGACGTAAACGTGGATGGGGATGACGAGGACGTCCTGGGGGTGGACACGGCCGTGGAGCACGTACTTGCGCTAGGCTAGCGCATATTGCGCGGGGCTCTGTGCGTATGTCAGGGCATGCATGGGGGAGAAAACGGGTCAGCAAAGCAGAGCGGATGGAGGGAAGTACGCCGCCTCACCGGATGACCATGTTCGTCAGGCTCGTCGTGTGCGTCGTCGTCCAGGTCGTGCATTTCGTCATCCTTGTTCAAGACGGAAATTGGCGGGGGCGCACTGTAACCATCGCGCCTTGATCCATCCGTCGCGCTCTTCGATACAGAGTGAGCCCTGCCCTTCTGGGCATTTGCCGGGCACGAAACGACCGCGAGACGAAAGCGGACACACACCGCTGGTGTGCTATCCAAATGTAACGGGGTACATCGCAGTGAACGGGGGCACGGGCGGGAGATTGCGAGAGGGGCACTCACTAGTCACAGATTCCTAAGATACACGGATGGACCGCCGCCGTCGAAGACTCCTTGACCTCGGGCGGAGGGGTGGACGTCGACAGTAGCGCGAACGAGACGCGGATTAGTGGCCTAAGGGAGCCCACGGAAGTGCGGGACGTACCTGCGGGGGGCGCGCGACGGCGAAGAAAACGGGGCTCATTGTCGTCCTCAAGGCCGTGGAGGAAAAGAAAGAGGGTGTGACCCAGGGCGTGGCTGGTGAGGTGGGCAAGATGGAGGTCCGAGGACTGGGCAGCGGAGAAAACCACCGTGGGGAGTTTGACAGAGGAGGGCGGAGGTGGAGGCGGCGAAGGTGGTGGTGGACAAGCACGGAGCGGGGACGCGCGTCGCGCGTTCGGCATGGGCGCTAGTATGGCGACTATGTCCCGTGATCGTGTCTTGCCATTCACCGCGCGCGAGTAGAGATCATGCTGTCCGAACTTCCGTCCAGTCTCCCCTACGCAGCACCCTCTTTTTCTAGAGACAATAATTGCTCAAGTTCACGTCGTCTTCTCGCTTCCTCCGCGCTCCCTGCCGCATCTTGTCCCCAGCATACCACTATTCCTCTCCATCAAGCCTCCACACGCTATTCAATATTGTGCACTTCGACTGCCACAAGCACCATCTAGCTTCGTCTCAGGCCCCCTCCGCCTCCCCATGACTGCCGTCTCTGGTCCCTTCAAGTGCTGTTTGCTATCCCTCGTTGCTCAAGAAGCGGCCACAGTCTGCTATCCGGTCCACTGGCTCGAGCTTGCACAAACAGTGACCGTGAGTCCCTTTGTCGCCCTCATTGCTTACGCGCGCGGGGCCGTAATACGTGCGTTTTACCATCACCCACGTCATCACCAATGCATTCCACCACTCCTTACATCGTCGCGTCTGCGTTCACCAAAAAGACGCAGCAACCACCTTCCACCTCGCTGCCAAAACCCATCTTTCCTCCCGTTACCATCCACGCTGGCACCCCGCCGCGCAGCGCGGGCTCCTCGTGTAGCTTGTATGGCGCGCCGGGCATCTCCTATACCCCGGAGTCTTCCATGTTGATGTCAATGTCCCCCGCGTCGAACATATCCCCATCGACCCCGTTCGGACGGTGACTCTCTACTACCAGATGCTAGGCGCAAAGATCGAGTGCGATGTGGTCATCCACTCGTGCGCGCCTGGCCCCTGGGTGAGTGCGAATTTCTAACGCTCCACGACAACTGCTGAACATTAACTCGTCAATGCACTCGTGTGCAGCTTCTGTGGCGAATGCGACGGCTGCTTCCCCCTCGAGCTGATCGTCGTCAGTGCTTCAGCCTACACCCCGCTCACCTCGCGCGTGGTCATCCCTGACTGCGCGACGTACGTTCCGCACGTGCCCTCGCATGACGACCTGTCCCCGACCTCCACGCGCAGTACAACCGCGACACTCCCACTGATCATCTTCGCACCAACAGTATACGTCCGGCATGCACCGCACACGCACTCCGCAAGCAACGCAGTCATCACTGTGCCCAACTCGCTGAGTCACGCGCCGTTGGATCCGCACCGACAGGTCTCCTCGTTGGGCTGCGATGCCCCCGTCTCGTTACCCACTGCACCCAACCCGCGATTGCATTCGTCGCACAGATAAGGTTGTCGCATTGTTTAGACCATGAAGCAATAACAGTTTTCTGTATGATCCATTTATGTGTGAGCAGCGGGGGATTATCGTATACTGGTCGGGATCCAGTCGAAAGCACCATTATTGGCTAACTACATGCACAGATATCCACTGCACACACTCAAACGCTTTAAATTATACCTTATTCACCCCATAAGCGACCAGAAGGAAGGCGATAGTGTCCGTAAACTGCGGTGAGTTGGAACAGCTGCAGTATGTTGGTGTATATCGGCTTACCAATATATTACCTCTCAATAGGAATTTGGGTTTTTCCTGATGCACACTGTCGACTTCTTCAGTGGGGTCAAACGACAACAATATGCCTCCGACGAAGATTCGATGGTCCCTTCCCTCTTCTTCCGACGACGGGTTGGATGCTCAGTGCCTTCTAAAGATGAGACTCCGATCGAGAAAACTGTTATCCCTTCGCTGTCTCCTAAGGCGGATGTTCTGGCTTTGACAGACGAGCCGGGACCCCTGAGAAGATACGTACTTTTCCTGGGGGTACGAGAACTCTTGAGCACTCTAGGTTGTTCCCTGACTGTCTCATCTGGACTGAAGTACTGAACAGTGTGCCACTCACGCAGCGCAGTAGGCCTTGATTTAGACATGACTCGGGATGGATTTCCCGTGTTATCGCGCGCTCTGCGCATGGCGACCAAGTTTCCCTTCGGGCGTAAAGGGGACAAGGAGGAAGTCATGGATACAGGGTCAGATCACATCCACTCCATCTGCCATGAGCGCGAAAGCTCGAAGAGAACGACAAGAGATCATTTGAGCCTCTGTGAGCGTCTTATTCATTCGTCATCTGCCGTGCGTCTCGCTCACCTTCTGCGCCACCCGTCTCTCCACATCTGTAGAAATGGCACAATCAACTCTCGGATACACCGCCCTCCTGCGCCACTCGCACACCGCTCTTCTAGTAAGGTGCTCGCCGCGTCGTTCGACGCGGACCTCTCCTCGTTATCCCCGCGGATCAGCTCCTGCTGCTGTGTGGGCTCAAAAGGCTCCGTGTTCTGCACCCAGAACACCTCACGCAGCGGACGGTCGCGGCAGTCCTCTGCGGGGCGGTGCGCGGGTGCATTCCGTTGGACACCTTCATAATGAAATAGGCCGCGCCAGGCTCGGGCGCGCACAGGCCCAGGAACGAGTGGCGTCCGGACTCCGGTCAAAGCGTGGTGGTCGGACTTTTCGGCGGTCTGGCGAGACGTCTATTGTGTCTGTGGCGACGTGATGGGGAACGTTATTGCAGACAAACGGCTGGGCGCTGAGCTGTAGTTGATCCATCAAGCTTTCGTTGTGTCGGGACGAACACAATATTCCTGTGCGGAGTGGAGAGCCCGGGTAAGCCAGGCGCTGCCGTGTTCCTCGATTGCACGGAAGTGGCGGCTCGACTTGAGCACGGCCAGATCTAACAGAAGGCAGAGCATCTTCGAACGCCTGAAGAGTTCCCGATACTTGGACGGGCCTGGCCGTGTGCCGACACTAGAACTCGCGAAGCGTGTAGACTGCACCGGAATTGATCAAGGGTGCAGCATGGACGGAAGCGGTGGAGACACAAGGCAGGGCCAGGAAGACTGACTTGGCAACATCCTCCCAGGGAGACGGGCTGAGGCCATGATGCACCGCTTCCGCTGCTGGCCGCACGGGAGGCTGACATCCGCCGTTCAGTCTTGTTTCCCCGCAGCCCTGTTGGCAGCGCGCGGTGGGTGACGATGCGTACTTCTCGTCCCACAGATACACAACACCTGACCTCAAGCACCGTGTAGAGTGTCATACATCAAGGGTTTGCGTGCGATTGCGCCGGAGAACAGCGGTGAGTCCCGGCCAATAAATGCCACGTTCAAGACGGGCAGTCGCTACTGGCGATGGAAATTGATACGGGGTCTATAGAGTTGGGTGGGTGTGGACGAAGGAAGGCGCACGATGCTGGCGGGAGAAGCTCGTCCATGTGTGTATCAGTGTGCGGCGAGCCTGTTCAGTACCGATCGAGCACGTCCCTCTCCTTGGGAATCTAGTAGTGACCGCATGCGGCGAAGATGTGGTGGCTCTAATCTTATGGGAGGCGGAGCAGCCTCGAGGATCCAGCGCCCAGCGTGAGAGCTTAGATAAGCCAGAGATCTCGCCGCCTTCGGCGACGCGACTCGACTTCAGAGGTGGCACCGCCCCTTCCCAAGTACTGCCAAGTTCTTTCCCATGCGAGATGTTCCCGATCCGTAAACATCGCTGCATACGGCTCGCATACCCGCAGCCCACGTCATCCCTCATAGCACTGCGTCGAGTACAAAATGCCATGGCGTCTCTGCGGGCCCTCGATCTCCCTCAAGTCAGCTTCAGTCTCAGGCATGTTTCCCTTTACCCTCCGCCATTTCCTTTTTATCTGACACAGCTACCTATATAGGCCTTAACCTCTTCCCCCAATTTCTCCGCCCACCCATCCCGAGCCCAGCATGCCAGGCAGCGTTGCTCAAAGTGGCGTCAAACGCCGGCGCCACACTCCACCCGCTGCTGTTAGTCCTCCGTTCTTCGGTCCCGGTGCCACTGCTGTCTTGAGCGCTCTCAAAGAGGCCATTCTTCCGGTTGATGATTCCGACGACTACGCGGATGTTCCGTCCAAGCGAGCGCGCACATCTCCAGATTCTCCAGCGCTCAAGGACCGACGGGCATTGCCGCCACTCCCTGCGGATCGAGTAACCATTAAGAAGGAAGACGGGGAAGACGAGGAAGGCATCGACTCGTATGAGCGTTCCGTGCTGCAAAAGTACCCCATTTGGCCGATACAGACGGCGTCGCCAAACGATATTCCCTCCGAAGATAAGGCGCTGCACTGTAGTATGCTCCATGGTTGGCTGTAAGTGCACACCCACCCCTCTAAAACCGCAGCTTCGTCGAAGCTGAGCCTTTTGTAGGGATCCGGAAGACGACTTGGAGCTGACCACGGACGGGTTTGTGATGTTGACGAAGGCGCTGCGCTTGCAGACGAAGTACGGATTCGAGGGAAGGAGGTATCGCGAGCGGATCATGCGTCGAATCTCATCCGTGTGGCCGACGACCCTCGGAAAGCATGACAAGAACTCGTTCGAGCAGAAGTGAGTGGTCGCCCGCTCTCCCCTCCCTCGTTCACATATGCGTTCAGCTCACGCCTCACTGCCACCCGCCGTCTCCATAGACGGGACATCGTCAGTCCCACGAAGGTCATCGCCCTCCTGCGCGAGTGTGGCGAGAGCGACCCCGCGATCCTCGCGCCCCTCTTCTATGCCGCAGCGAAGATGTACGCCACCGCGGACAAACCGGACCTCGTCCCGCTATCGCGCGAAGACCAAGAGAGATTGCAGACCGGAGTCGCCAGGCTGCGCATCGTGCACAACCAGCACGTTGGAGTGCCCTTGGGGTTCCTGCACGGGAGTGTTTTCGAGATACTCCAGGGATGCTCCCTAAGGCTGACGCACGCAGTCCTGACGAGATGGCGCCTGCAGGACCAGGTTGAACACACGTCCAACCCAGCGCCGCGCATGCGGCACGAGTTCCGACCGGTCGAGGCGTGGCGCGAGGGGTACTGGGCGATTTGGCGGGACGTGTACGCGGGCGACCCGTCAATCGGGTGCTTGGAATGCGGCGATCTGCTGGGGTGCGAGGTGCAGAAGCAAAGGCAGCGCTTGTGGGACCATATGCCCGCGTTTTTCGGACTGGTTTAAGTTTCAAGACACTTTGTGATATGTTATCAACCATGTATGCTCTCTATGCTTATGCAATCTCTGGTTTGTAGACTGAGATAGGCTCGCGCGTCTTGCCTCTGGAGGAGGAACGTGCGAGCTCACCTTCTGAATGCGTTCTACCCGGAGATTCTCAGCGCCCGAGGTGTGCGGCTTGGGTCCAAAGTACCACGGCCGTGCCCGCCCGCCGAGTCGAAAAGTCGTGAAGCTACTGCACAGCGCGACATGGAACTTGGCCTCAAAAAGGTGAGAAGACCCTTCGGTTCGGCCAGCCGCAGCGCTCGCGGAGGCGACGCCGTGGCGCGCCATGGGGGCGGTGTGAGCTACAAGACTGCGTGCGCGCGGTGGACGGAGGTCCCTCACGGCAGCCACTGCTGCGGTCCGATCGAAACTGGGCGCGGCGGGCGCGGTGCTTCCGCGCGGAACTGTACGCAGATGCGGCGGGTGACGAACTTGTGGCGAGGAGGATTGAAGAGTTGAGGGTATAGTTGTGGAGAGACGTCTTGGCGGCTTTATATGTCACTATATGTTCTGTCTCCGTTTGGTGTTGAAGTATACACTGCGAATGACCTGAAGCGCTGATATCACGACTCACTCACGACCCACACGTGTACTTGCCAACGTTGAGTAATTACGGATCCGCAGCGCCTTCTTCGAATCAATATATACTGCACGAGGCGGAAACTCCTTTCGAAGAGCGTTGGAAGTGGAAAAGTGGTGGTTCCTGCATTTCGGCGATACAGTACATGGCTCTCGAGGCATTCGTATTGATATCAAGCATCAACCGTAACTTCACGCACCTGATGCACCATTTCCCGCAGCCGGGCAGCGTTGGAACGTTGAATGCTAGGGCGGGAGGAGGACGGCATCGATAATCGTTGGGTGAGTGGATGTGCATGCTCACCGTGCGATATGCGAACCAGAAGCCCCGAACCCTCGACCACCAGCCGGTCGACACCGCACATTCACCGTTATCTGAGGCTGCTGGCAGCAGGGAGTTGTGACGAGAGTCGCGTGGCGAGCGATATGTATGACCTAGGAGAGCGGGAGGCAAGCTGAGGACGCGCACACGAGGATCATCGAGCTGGGCCGCTCCCGGCGCCACAAATAAAATGATACTTGCCACTATACTTGCATTGCTGGGGGCACGGCATTGCCGGTGGCATGCACCCTACGGCGCGAGATGGACGGCATCAGCAGCCTGCCGCGCAAATATAGTCGTGAGAGCGCAGCTGGACGGAACGGCGAGAGCGAGAAAAGAAGACCGCGGGACGCCTGCGGTCGCACGGAGTGGTGCCGTTGCAACGCTGCTGCGAGAATGCTTCCGAGGGGCGTGGCCGGCAAGGACGAGAAGGACGACGAGGCGGGCGCCCAGGACGACGACGAGGCAAGGCACGGCGGTGTGCGGGTATGCACGCAGAGGATGGGGCTCGGAGGAGGGCGACGGAGGCTGCGACGACGGCGGTGACGTCGCGGGGACGATGACGGTGCCCTGCTTCGCCTGATCGGGAGCCGCCCAGCAAGTGTGACGCTCCACCTGCCGGTGACGGTGACGGAGGAGGCACCAGCCTCTGTGCTGATTAGACGCCGCGCCTCTTCCTCTCCCCGCCCATTCCCCTCCCTTCCCTTCCTCCTCCTCCCGTCGTTCATCTAGACGACATGGCCGCCCACCCTGGTCCCCGCAGCCAGGAAGGCATGTACGGCCCCCCTTCCTCATCTCCCCCTTCCTCCGACCCCCACGACCCTTTCTATCAAATGCCTCAAATGCCCGAGCCCGCCCGCTACTACGACAACGACTCGGACCACCTCGACCGCTACGACCGCCGCCGCGACACATACGCATCGGACACAAGCGCACCCGACGATGATCGCTACTACGAGCACGGAGGCTACGACCACAGCGGGGGCTACGAATATGGTGCGCTCGCATGACGTCTTTCCCCCGGGCCACGCTCACTATATGCGCCTCCCTCTTTTCCAGGTCAACAGGATACCGACTCGGACGGCGACGCCTATGGCCCAAAGTACAACATCCCCTCGAGCGAGTCCCTCGGCCCTCCTCGGTTGGGAATCTCAGAGTCCTCAACACCAACTTTCATCGACGCCGGCGCCCGCGAGCCCTACCCCGCCTGGAGTGCAGAGCGTCAGATCCCGCTGTCGAAGGAGGAGATTGAGGACATCTTCCTCGACCTCACCCAGAAGTTTGGCTTCCAGAGGGACTCGATGCGCAACATGGTGCGTTCATCTCCCGTGTGTTCCCGCGCGCTTGGCATCCTGTCTCCGATCCGGCCTGTCAGCCTGGGCTCTCTCACGGGCATGATGGGCCGCACCGCTCACGAGCTTTCACGCGCGATATGATGTCTCACCCCGGTGGTCGTACGCGTCCGGTTTCATATTCGAATGGTCTTGCGCGCGCGGTGTAGAGTTGATGGGAAGGGCGCATCGTTCAGACCGCACGCCCACCTGTCGTCACTTCCTGTGGGCGGGAGGTGGTTCCATCCTGTCTATCGGAGGCATATTTCCGCCTCTTGCCCCTGCTTGGCGTCAGCTTTGGCGGTTGTATCCGGCGTTGAACGGAGGTTGTCGTCGCTGCCGCCGCCGCCGAGTCCAGATGACTGCGTAGCCGTTTCACGCGGGAATATCCGTTCCTTCTCCTGCGTTCTTGCGCCGTTCCCATCCCGATGCAAGGGCTTCTCGCGCGGTTTCGAGGGCTTTGATGTCTATACTCGGCATGGCGATCCTCGAATGCATTACTCACAAAATTCATTCCGCAGTTCGACTTCGTTATGCAACTGCTGGACAGCCGAGCATCGCGTATGTCACCAAATCAAGCCCTTCTCACCCTCCACGCCGACTACATCGGTGGGCAACATGCGAACTATCGCAAGTGGTACTTCGCAGCGCAGCTCGATCTCGACGATGCCATCGGGTCGACCCAGAATCCCGGTCTTCAAAGGCTTCGGTCTCAGAAGCGGAAGTCAAAGGGACATAAGACGGCGGAGAGGCAGCTCAACAGCGCTTTGGACCGGTGGCGGCAAGCGATGAACAACATGAGCCAGTACGACCGGATGCGCCAGATTGCGCTCTACCTCTTGCTCTGGGGAGAGGCAGCCCAAGTTCGGTTCGTCCCGGAGTGCCTCTGCTTCATCTTCAAGTGCGCGGACGACTACTACCGGTCGCCGGAGTGCCAGAACCGCATGGAGGCTGTGCCAGAGGGCTTGTACCTGCACGCGGTGGTGAAACCCCTCTACCGCTTCATCAGGGACCAGGGCTACGAGGTCATGGACGGGAAGTTCGTGCGGAAGGAACGGGACCACGACCAGATCATCGGGTACGATGACGTCAACCAGTTGTTCTGGTATCCCGAGGGTATTGCGCGCATCGTCCTGACCGACAAGGTATGTTTCTTCTTGATCGGACGCATTTTCCTGCCTGACCCACAATCCCAAGACGCGTTTGGTGGATCTCCCTCCCTCACAACGGTTCATGAAGTTCGACCGCATCGACTGGAATCGCGTCTTCTTCAAGACGTACTACGAGAAGCGTTCTTTCGGTCACCTACTCGTCAACTTCAACCGGATATGGATCATCCACATTTCGCTGTACTGGTACTACACGGCCTACAACTCTCCCGCGATCTACAATGGCGCCAAGTCGACCGCGATGCGCTGGTCGGCGACGGCGCTCGGTGGTGCGGTGGCGACCGTTATCATGCTCGCTGCTACCCTCGCCGAGTTTTCGTACATCCCTACCACCTGGAATAATACCTCGCATCTCACGCGCCGGCTCCTCTTCCTCGCCGTCACATTGGCACTAACGGCTGGTCCCACCGTCTACATCGCGATCGCAGAGAGCCAGTCGCCCGGCGGCTCACTCGCTCTCATCCTTGGCATCGTTCAGTTCTTTATCTCCATCACGGCCACTCTGCTCTTCGCTATCCTCCCATCTGGCCGGATGTTTGGGGATCGTGTCGCGGGCAAGTCGCGCAAGTACCTCGCCAACCAGACGTTCACTGCCAGTTACCCTATCCTCGTGTCGTCCGCTCGCGCGGCATCCATCGCGCTTTGGGTCCTCATTTTCGGTTGCAAGATCGTCGAGTCTTACTTCTTCCTGACCTTGTCGTTCAAGAACCCGATCCAGGTCATGGTTCACATGGTCATTCAGGGCTGCAACGACAAGTTCTTCGGCAACGCGCTCTGCAAGAATCAGGCCGCCTTCACGCTAACGATCATGTACCTCATGGACCTTGTCCTCTTCTTCCTCGACACTTTCCTCTGGTGGATTATCTGGAACACGGTCTTCAGTATCGGCCGTTCGTTCGCCCTCGGTCTATCCATCTGGACGCCGTGGAAGGACATCTACACCCGCCTTCCCAAGCGCATATACTCGAAGATCCTCGCGACGCAGGACATGGAGACGAAGTACAAGCCGAAGGTCAGTCGAATTGTCGAGAGTACAAAGCAACTGTGCTGACGCGCTGTTCGTTAGGTCCTTGTGTCCCAGATTTGGAACGCGATCATCATCTCCATGTATCGCGAGCACCTGCTCTCGATCGAGCATGTCCAGAAGTTACTCTACCACCAGGTCGACGTCGGTCAGGACGGACGTCGCAGCCTCCGGGCGCCGGCCTTCTTCATCTCGCAGAGCGACAAGACCCTCAAGGGCGAATTCTTCAACCCGGGCAGCGAGGCGGAGCGGCGTATCTCGTTCTTCGCACAGTCTTTGACCACCGCCGTCCCGGAGCCTCTTCCCGTCGATGCCATGCCCACCTTCACTGTACTCACACCGCACTATAGCGAGAAGGTACGTCACCCATTGAATCTGAAGTATCGTCCAGGTACTAACATCATGGCTATCAGATCCTGTTGTCGCTACGAGAGATCATCCGCGAAGAGGATCAGAACACGCGCGTCACTCTTCTCGAGTACCTCAAGCAGTTGCATCCGATCGAGTGGGACAACTTCGTTAAGGACACCAAGATCCTCGCCGAGGAGTCGCAGATGTACAATGGCGCGAGTCCATTCGGCGACGAGAAGGCGCAGTCCAAGGTCGACGATCTCCCCTTCTACTGCATCGGGTTCAAGTCCGCGGCGCCCGAGTTCACACTCCGAACACGTATCTGGGCCTCTCTCCGTGCACAGACGTTATACCGTACGGTTTCCGGTATGATGAACTACGCGAAGGCGATCAAGCTACTCTACCGTGTAGAGAACCCAGAGGTCGTCCAGCTCTTCGGTGGCAACACCGACAAACTCGAGCGCGAGCTCGAGCGCATGGCTCGTCGCAAGTTCAAGTTCGTCGTCTCGATGCAGCGCTACTCGAAGTTCAACCGCGAGGAGCAAGAGAACGCCGAGTTCCTCCTCCGTGCCTACCCCGACCTCCAGATCGCGTACCTCGAGGAAGAGCCCCCGCGCAAGGAGGGCGGCGACCCGCGCCTGTTCTCCGCCCTCATCGATGGCCACTCCGAGTTTATTCCCGAGTCCGGTCGTCGCCGCCCCAAGTTCCGCATCGAGCTCCCCGGCAACCCGATTCTCGGCGACGGCAAGTCGGACAACCAGAACCACGCGATCATCTTCTACCGCGGCGAGTACCTCCAGCTCATCGACGCCAACCAGGACAACTACCTCGAGGAGTGTCTCAAGATCCGTAACGTGCTCGCGGAGTTTGAGGAGTACTCGGTCTCGAGCCAGTCGCCGTACGCGCAGTGGGGCCACAAGGACTTCAAGAAGTCGCCCATCGCCATCGTCGGCGCGCGCGAGTACATCTTCTCGGAGAACATCGGTATCCTCGGTGATCTGGCGGCTGGCAAGGAGCAGACGTTCGGTACGCTCACGGCGCGTCTCCTCTCGTGGGTCGGCGGCAAGCTCCACTACGGTCACCCCGATTTCCTCAACGCGCTTTTCATGACCACGCGCGGTGGTATCTCCAAGGCGCAGAAGGGTCTCCACCTCAACGAGGATATCTACGCCGGCATGAACGCCTTCGGTCGTGGCGGTCGCATCAAGCACGTCGAGTACTACCAGTGCGGCAAGGGTCGTGATCTCGGTTTCGGCACCATCCTCAACTTCCAGACCAAGATCGGCACGGGTATGGGCGAGCAGATGCTCAGTCGCGAGTACTACTACCTCGGCACGCAGCTCCCCGTCGACCGCTTCCTCACGTTCTACTACGGCCACCCTGGGTTCCACATCAACAACATGCTCGTCATCCTGTCGGTGCAGATTTTCATTATCACGAGTACGTCTTTCTCGCTTTCGCCTGTTGCGCATCTGTTGAGCAGTGCTGACGTCATACGCAGTGGTGTTCCTGGGCACGCTCAACGGCGAGGTCCCGATCTGCAAGTACACGTCGTCGGGCCAGCTCATCGGCCCCGTCGGCTGCTACAACCTCACGCCCGCGTTCCAATGGATCGATCACTGCATCATCAGTATCTTCTTGGTCTTCATGATCGCGTTCTTGCCCCTGTTCCTCCAAGGTACGCACTTTCTGTTCACTGAAGTGTTCACTCAGTTGATCTTCGTTCCACAGAGCTGATCGAGCGCGGTACCGGAAAAGCGCTCCTTCGTCTCGCGAAGCATTTCGCGTCCCTGTCGCCCGCGTTCGAGGTCTTCTCCACCCAGATCTCGTCGCACTCCATCATCACGAACTTGACCTTCGGTGGCGCCCGTTACATCGCGACTGGTCGTGGTTTCGCGACGACGCGCATATCGTTCGCCATCCTGTACTCCCGCTTCGCCGGCCCGTCCATCTACCTCGGCATGCGGACGCTCGTCATGCTCCTCTACGTCACTCTCACCATCTGGACCGGCTGGGTCATCTACTTTTGGGTGTCGATCCTCGCGCTTTGCGTGTCGCCGTTCCTCTTCAACCCTCACCAGTTCTCGGCCGCCGACTTCGTCATCGACTACCGGGAGTTCCTCAGGTGGATGAATCGTGGCAACTCGCGCGCGCACGCCAACTCCTGGATCGGCTACTGTCGCCTCTCGCGCACGATGATCACTGGGTACAAGAAGAAGCGCCTCGGGCACCCCTCCGAGCGGCTCTCGGGCGACGTCCCGCGCGCGAAGTGGCGGGCGGTCATCTTCAGCGAGGTCATCTTCCCCGTCGTTATGGCCACGTTGTTTGTGATCGCGTACATGTTCGTCAAGTCGTTCCCCGACAAAGACGGCAAGCAGCCGCCGAGCCCGCTCATCCGCATCGCGGTCGTCGCGGTCGGGCCGATCGTGTGGAACGCGGCGGTCCTCCTCGTCCTCTTCATATTCTCGCTCTTCCTGGGGCCGATGCTCGACACGCCGTTCCCCAAGTTCGGCTCGGTGATGGCGTTTATTGGGCATACATTGGGCGTTCTCGGCATGATCGCTTTCTTCGAGTTCTTCGTACGTTTTTCTCTGCAAATATTCGGTACGCGAGGCTTACTCACATCGTTCGTTCTTGCAGTGGTTCCTTGAGCTCTGGAACGTCGCGCACGCGGTATTGGGCTTGATCGTCATTATCTTCGTCCAGCGCGCGATCCACAAGATCCTCATCTCGGTGTTCCTCTCGCGTGAGTTCAAGCACGACGAGACGAACCGGGCGTGGTGGACGGGCAAGTGGTACGGACGCGGGCTCGGTGCGCACGCGATGTCGCAGCCGGCGCGTGAGTTCATCGTCAAGATCATCGAGCTGTCGCTGTGGTCGTCGGACTTCCTGACCGGACACATGCTCCTCTTCCTGCTCACGCCGCCAATCCTGGTGCCGTACATCGATCGGCTACACGCTATGATGCTCTTCTGGCTCCGGCCGTCGAAGCAGATCCGCGCGCCGCTGTACTCGATCAAGCAGAAGCGGCAGCGTCGCTGGATCGTGATCAAGTACGGGATCCTGTACATCCTCGCGTTCGCCACCTTTGGGGCGCTGCTTGCACTCCGTGAGTAGCTTCTCTTCGTTCTTCGATTACGGGTCGCTGATGTTCTGTATGCTTTCCAGCGCTGGTGTTCCGCGAGCGCTTGAAGTTCAACTGCATCATTTGCCAGGAGATCTAATAGACTATATGATGACGAATCCCTCCGCCCCTCTCGCACCTACACACCCCCGTACCCATATATTATCTTCGCTATATGCTCTCGACGCCCCGTTGACCACTTACTCTCTGTACTAGCCGGACTCTGCATCGCTCTTGTCTCCCACCCCCGTACGGAAGGACGGCAACGGACTATGACCCCTCATGAATAGTGGCATCCCCTTAAATACATAGTAGCATTACCTCTCGCCCGCCCCCGCGCGGCCGCCGACCCGTTCCCGCTCCACGTCTGTCGCTCTCGCTCTTCTCTCTCCCCCGCACGGTCGTCGCCGTCGTTGCTTGCGGCTTCGCGCCCCCGCGCCACGGCTCACGTCCCACCCTCCGCCGAGATGATCTGATCACGAACGCTCTCTGATGCCCTCTCCGCACCGCACTGCACTGTAGTTCTCTTGTTCTGCCCGTCCTGTACATAGCTCGGTCAAATTCCATTAGTCTGGCACATCGCTTTCGCGCACTTGCGTGTCGTGCGTTGACTAAGCGCCGCCACGTGTCGGCCGCGATGAAGTCTTCCGCTTCAACCCTTTCACTCGCCCCTCCACTATCCAGCCTCCGGTCTCGCGCGCAGGTGAGTTCTGCCACATTGAGGGACGCTCAGCGCTGACTTCACTTAATCTCCAGGTCGGGCAAGGGCGAAAACTGAAGCTCCTTGAGTCCAAGACCGCGCTTCCGCTTGCGCAGCAAACTGGCCTGTGCCCGCCGCAGGCTCAACCAGGACGGCTGGCTCTCGCGGGTGCGGTGGACATGTTCGCAATTTCCACTTCGCACGTCTCGTCCATATGGCGCTCATCTTGCGTTGTACTCGTTTCAGACCGGCACCGCACGAACGTCGTCACAAGGCGTCGCAACGTGCCCAAATCGTCTGCCCGGTTCGTTCAACCCTTCCACCTCCACATGCTTCTGCGTCTGCACAAGTCCCAGTCGACCTGATGCGCGGCGGCTTCACCTCGACGCCCGGCTGCTCGGCGAACTCCAGAACGAACGCCGGGTTCTTCAGCAACGTCTTTCCGACCCTCGCCACGCCAGCCTGTCCCTCCGAACATCCTCGGCCACGTGCCCATCCCTGATCCCTCCGACCTCGGGGACGACGAGACGGTCCCCGACGGCCCGCCCGGATCGCAAACGGCCGACAAGCTACCCAAGAACGCCCCAGCACAGTCCGGATATACAGCAAGACGGGGCTACAACGCATTGCCTGCGGCGCTCGTTCGTACGACTCCGCCCGGATCCGTATACCCGTACTCCGGAAGCTCCGACGGATCGTATCGCTGCTCCCAGGACATGAACTTCGCCGACTTCTCCGCGCGTCCGGGGTGCCCTCCGCCGTCCGCGTCTCCTGGCTCGTCTTCTGCGTGCAGTGGGGCAGGGGAAACGAACGCGCGTGGCTCTGCACGGTCGTGAGCACCGATCGACGAGGCTGCCGAGACGAGACGCGGCTTCGCTCACCGAATCGCGTGATCCCCGACCGCTTGGAGCGCCGCCACTTCTTTGCTGCGTAACCAATCAACAGTACGCAGGTGAAGAACGCCACGAGGGCGGCGACGGCTATTCCCGCTGTGGTACCGGCGGAAAGAGTCTTCTTGGTGGCGTTTGAAGCTGAAAGAGAAGTGGTTGGAGATGATCCAGTCGTCGAGGAAAAGGGCATATCGGTCAAAGTGATGGGTGCGGTGGAAGAGATCTGAACGGATGGATTCTTCAGGTTTGATGTAGGTGTTTGTAACCTTGAGGTGCTTGTTGATGCTTCACCAGCTGCAAATATTCTCTTCAAACGCCTTGCGGTGAGAATCATCTGGACACTCACGTTGTTTCGACGACTCCCCTTGGAGTGTTTGAGAACTGGAAAGTGGCTCGGGAGAGCTATTAATATGTGTGAGTCGTTTATCGGTAGCGAGTAGGAAGAAGGGAAACGAACGGGTAGGTTTGGGTCGACTGGGTTGGGGTTTCGGTTCGACACGGCTCGTCGTCAGTTGTGATGTAGTCCACAGCCAGTCTCTGTCCTTGCATAACCATAATTACTATCTGGTGGCTCGTAGCATCGAGACATTTCGTTTTGCAAAGGACTTCGGCTTGAGTGGTCGTCGTTTCCAAGTCGCCAGATTCCGGTAGATTCGAGATATCGACAAAAACCGGGTCCCCGTCGACTTCGCATGAAATCGACTGGATATCCGCCCGGTAAAACCACCCAAATACTGACGCTGAGTGGCCTACGACGTTCTTCTAAGTGGAAGACGTACTATTCGCAACAGTAGGACATACCCGTGAATTTGTACGCGACCGTTGCGTTGCTGTTGGATGTCCAGTGCGCGGTGCAATTGTAGCTGGGAAGATTTGTGCCGTTGAAGGTGTCCCAGTCCCCGGGGGAATAAGAGACAACGGTCTCATCTGAGTCGTCTACTAGTACAGCAGTGGGGAGTGTAACGAGAGATATAGTCGGACAATTCTGCATCCTGAGCTTCGATTGTATCGGGTATGGACGTGAGGGCGAGAGCAACGGTGGAGAAACAAGGGGAACGGACCTCTGAGCGTATGGTTTCTTGAGGGAACAGAACTCTAATGCAGTGCCGTGTGGACGAAAAAAGATACGTATCGAGCATCATCATAAGTTATACATGGGAAAGATTCCGGCCATTGTTACGCCAGAGTGCGCAGTGATGAACGATCTATAAAATGTTAAGAACCATGCTCGTGTGTGAGGACGTGCCCTGATTGCACCCAAATCCTCCGATCTGTCGCCATTCGAGTAGATGAACGTGATGCGGCAATGCCGTCGAAGAGTTGCGGATGGAGATTACGGATAGAAGCGACAGGAACATGGCGCTCGTAATGACTCCGTGGTGTGAAGTCACTAAGATATGGTCACCGACGTCACAATCCGTCCCGCACGCCTGGCCACCCGTCGCACATTTGGCGGCGGCACCTGCAGAGACCATCCTCCGTATCGTCATTCATGGAAAGAGAAGAGCGAGCGAAGTAGTGGGGCCGTGGAAGTATTGAGGGGGGAACTTTGGATCCGGTGACAACGCGTGGCCGTACCCGTATGGAGTTGCCGTGCACCCGGGACTTGTGCTTGTAAAGGCTCCCGGCTGACGCCCGAATCAGACGCAAGTCCGACGGCACACGCGCTTGAGCGAAGCAGAAGTCCGAGTCGACGGAAGAGAAAACAGGGGCGACGACGACATAGTTGTCGATTCAGAGCACGTGCGCGGTGGTGTTCGACTTGATATATGAGCGTCGCATTCTCTGTCAATGAACTGCCGACGTCGATTCGGTGCGAGCGAGCGAGCCAAGCATTTGGATGGCTTCACCTGGGCAGGGGGTGGGTGACGCGTGAGGATAAATGTTCCGATACGCATACCTTGAGATGTGTTACTCATCCTGGCCGTGGATATGTGCGCGCTCCCTCGCTTCGGTTTATCTCTTCCCAACCGTCCGTCTCGTGGTCGCCGATGAAGCGACATGAAGCGACATGAGCGCAATCGCTCTGCAACGAGCATTCGGGGTAGGCACATTGAGAACGCAAGAGAGGAAGGACAGAGCCTAGGGATACGGGTGGGAGAAGCTCGTAAACAAGCGTACCTCGGACCTCATAAGCTACGCTCACAGCGGTCGCATGTGGTGGCTTGCAGAGTAGCTGTTGTCCTAAAGACCACCTGCAAAAAGAAAGTACGATGTCAGTATATAGCGCTGTAGAGAGCTGATCCCCAAAGCGAAGTTCTAATCGAAAAAGTACGAGCCATCCTCCACACAAAGAAGGCCGATATCGCAGTATCTACCCGGGTGGCGAACTCGATATCACGAGGAGTGTCCCATGCAGACGGAGAGCGCGTAAATGTACCCATGAAGATGCGTGATGCACCCATGCATGCCCCGTATAGAATCCAGCAGGGATTGCTACGGCCGCATGCATCTTTGGATACTTGTCTGTCGGATTAGAGTGATCATGAATTGGAGTTTTGTACGGGGTGATGGCCGCAGAGCTCAGCGCTTATTCGTCACGAGGACCAGCGGTTCTGGTACGTCGGCACATAGGAGCCGCATCCTAGCAAGAGGGTTAAGGAGGGAGGGATTTGGGAGGGAGGGTTGGCAAGAGAAACAGTCGATGAACCTGGTCGGCGGAACTCGTCCAGGATCTCAAATTTCATGGTGTACCTGTGGATGGGACCATTGGGCGCTGATGATCATATTCTCATTCATGGCTACTTTATACGTCTACCACACACTCTATATATCTTCCATATGCCCTCGACTGTACGATTAGCACATCACATTCCCGGGCGAAGAGGGTACTAGTAATAGCGCTGGTATGGCGGTGGAAGTTCTTGTACAAGTGACTCTCTCAGCCCCCTCTCTATCGCAAGCCTGATGCCTCCGTCGGATGCGACCATTTGCGTGATTGATATATCCCCCCGCCCTCCTTCACTTCTCAACCGGACCGATGGAGCATGGAAAGCCTGTGGTTTAATCCCGAGCCTTGACATATCCCGGGACAGACCTGCGGGTTCGCCCGGTCTCCCCGGCTATCTCGGGACATCTCGATGGGCCACGCCCACGCTACGATCTGGCGTCAGGGCTGCGAGCGATCCACCTTCAGAATTTAAATATGAGTCGTTTAACTTTCATTGCCGCAAGATAATGAAGGGACATACCAACGGTAGCCATTTCAGAATAGCAGTAGGCTGCGGCAAGCGAGTCGCGCGATGCCTGCGTGACACCTGAGTACGGGGGAGATGGAGAGCTGGGACGGATGTAGGGAACTATTTGCTCGTTTGTACTTGACGTGCGCACTCGATTTCCGCGGCAGTAGCGGAAGAACACGGCGACCATGACCCCCAGCGCTACTGGTCCCAGAATAGCACCGACAAGTATCTTGGATACACTCGGAGGAGACGTGGAAGAGCTTGAAATATTCGATGGTGAAGATTGTGGAGATGCTGTTACTGAGGACGAAGTTGCAGTGGATGTGCGGGTTGAGAAAGTTGTGGTTCCTGTGGCCAAAGCGGTATCTGGATTGATGCGGTCAACAAGGGCCGCAAACTAGAATCGTGACCACTCACTTTTACTGGAGGAAGTCGAAACGGGGGGCGATTCGAAGACAGGTTGTACTATTCTTAAGTAGTTGATTACCATGGTTCCCTGTTTATTCCAAATAAACAGTGTCTGCAAAGAATCGTTTGAAGCAACGGTGGCCGAGTATATTGACTGTATTCCGTGAGCCTGCTCTGTTTCGACACAAAGGTTTTGCATTGGAGAACTTTCGAACTGAAACGTCACGCAAGCTTGGGCACCCGCTGGAGCGACTTGATATCCGAAGATTTCGACCGACACTCCTTTTTCCAGATTTAATAGCTAGTGAAGGGCAGAATATTTATAAACGAAGTGCACCTTGAAACGTGAGAAACGCTGCTTCGCCGTCACTATCTGCGTTGAACGTGGCCTGAACAGTACCACCTTGGAATACTCCGCTTTCCAGTATCCACTTCGGGGTCCAGTGAATCAAAGTAGAAGTGTCGTCAATAATACAGATTTCAGGACCATCGGATTGACAGCTAAGAGCTTGCGGGATTCATGTCGATGGATGAGGGTATACAGCGTTTCAGCGCGCAAAATTCATAAAGAGTGGGTATAGAAGGAGCGGAGGTGGTAAAGAGATACTGTTGTGGGCGGAAGCAACAGCGGGGAAGGAAGGGCGCACGATGTAGTGTATGGGAGCGGAGAGAACGAGAACAGGCGGACAGCGTGGTGGGAGAAGGTGGTTCTGCCACGATAATTGTAAACGTGGGTACAGATCATATCATGCTTCTTTATCAAGTATCGTGTTCAAGTACCACATGAACGGTTGAAACTCTCAGCTCTGCCATAACGGCATCAACTTTAGATCTAGAACTTGTGCAATCAACATCTCTTTCACCAAATGCACGGGCGACGCTAATAATACTCCTGATACGGCAAAAGCATCTGGTCAAGCACTTCTCCAAACCTCCCACCCGCGAGACGCACCCTTCCATCTGAGGCGAAGGGCGATGTGGCTGCATCATCATCTCGTTCGTCAGCGACAGATCTAGGAAGCGGCGCGCGGCAGAGCTGAGAGCGACGCGGGCTTCTCGAGGTTACCGACGATCGCTTGGACAGTCACACCCTGGACTCGCGCAGGCAAGCAGGGTCGTCTGATGCAGTATGCAGCTGCCAAATGTCGAACGCGTCTTCTGTGGAAATGTGGGTAGTCGAAGCGACGTGGTGTGGAGTAGAGTCGCCGGCGTTTGCGGCGTCTGTGCCGCTGGACGGAGAGCTGGACGGTCCAGAGGCCGATTAGAAGTTGCCCGTTCCGTGAGCGGCGACGCAGCGTGGTAGTACGCCGGCCCCCAGTTACCTCGTTTATACGCAATGCATGCCGTATTCACAGGTGCAGATACATCTGCTTTATTTTAGAGCTTGAAACTGGACTGAGGGCGAATTTGGACGCGTCTGGTCGACGAAGTTCGGTGGCAAGCCACGCGAGGGCGCGGGAGCGCGTCTCGGTCAAACCCGGCCCGCGTGTGCAGGCGGGCCCAGTCGATCTCGGCACGAGTGAGCTCCTCTTCTCTCTTCGACTCAGAGCTCTGATCTGCCTGCAGAAACCGCTAAAATGTGCTTCCTTCAAGCCTTATCATTAGTTCCATGCAGAGGTAATGCAAAAAGCTAAAGAGCGACTGAACAGCATCCACTGGCGACGTCATGCATACTAACGAAGTACATTACTCACGACTGTGCAATCCATCCCGGTCAGGACCTTGGCGAACTCCCCACCTCACGCTCGCCCTCCGTCGTTGCCGGCGCGTACTGCCCGGAGGAAATCGCATCGCGCAACGCCTCCACGATGTACTTCTCCCGCACGTCTTGCGTGGGGTACATACGCGCGGCCGCACGACGACACCTCCGAGGGCGCGTACCGCTCCTCCCACTCGCCCGCACGGACGTCAGCGCGCCCCGTCTCGTGTCGCGTGCTTCTGCCACAGTCGAATACTTATCGGGGTGGGGGTGCGCGACACGAGGACTGACGATGTGCATACAAGTGGGTGGACGCGTCTATGATACATGACACGGCAGACGAAGTGCTGTCCGAGATGTCCGCGTGGCGTGGCGCGTGCAGGGTCCATGGTGCCCCGGAACCAGTACAAATCGCGACCGCAGAGCGCGCAAACGAAAAGAAGCTGCGAGCCAGCTCAAGCAGCAGCCACGCCATACCGGTCGGAGTGCTGCGCGCACCACACCGATATCAGCACATGTATCACGGGCGAGCATCCATGCGTACTCACCTTCTCACCGATATCAAGCACACAGCTCTGTCGTTCCTTCTCCATGTGCGTGCCCGGGGCGAGCGGCGGGAGCCTCGGCCGGTGTCCGCTCGTCCCCGTGTGCTCGAGATACTGCGGTGGGGTGCTCTCAAAGTACCTGCGCATCGTCTCGTTCAACACGCTGCCTTCGTCCGGGGCGGGCGCATAGGATTGATATGGCGGAAGCGTCGGCGCGATGCTCGGCGGGCTTTGCATCTCGCCCCGCCAGCGTCGAGCGATGAACGGCCACGGGGTCACTAGGCTTCGCGGATCTGCGAAAGCAAGGTCAGCAGGGCGACGGGCAGGAACGCGTGCGGCGTGTACGAACGCATCGCCGAGGGATCATGACATACTGAATTGGGTAAGGTTTCCCTTCCTGAGCTTTCGCCGTCTGCGGTAGACGAGGCCGAAGATCGCGGCGGCAGCGAGGGCGAACGCGATACATATGCCGATGGTGATCCCGGCAATTTCCCCCGCCGTAAGCCCTCCATGATATCCTGGTGCCTCACCGTTGTAACCTAAGTGCGATTGCGCGCAGTCCCACGTTCAGCTTGGTCTTCTCATAAGGGGGGAGCTATGGCTTACCGTTGTGTCCTCCGGCGTCGTTGGGGACCACAGGAGTCAACAGTAGGTGATTGAGAACTACTCGCCCGCAGTTGTCCGTGATCTGCAGGGTGTGATTGTGGGGGTCTGACAGGGTTCCGGAATCGAACAAAAGAAATGAAGAGCACGGTGGTTCTGGCGGTCCATCCCGTTTGTCTTTCCCTTCCTTCTTCTTAGTGTGATATTTAGCCATGTCGTCCTGTTTCGCTTCGAAGTTCGACTCATTTAGTTTGGAAAAAGTCACAAGGGAGTTCTGGTCGATTCTGAATGAGATGGAGGAGTCACAGGACATGTTGTTCTCATGCAACGTTCCGAAGACTTGAAGATGAGTTCCTGCGAAGACGGGATTGAGTACCAACAACTATAACACGGCGGCGCACGGCGCACCGTTGAAGCCATACGACGCTGTTGCACCCGATGTGTTGGTTGCCGCAGATGTCGTACCGTTGAAGGAAGAAGTGCGCTGCCAGGAGCCGTCGAAGAGTATGGCCGGATCGCTCGCAGGGACGACACCGCCGCCTGGCATACAGGACGAACCACTCATGCTGGCGGATCAACGCAACAGATGAGAAAAGCGCAAGAAAAGAAAGGGGGACAAGCAGAGACGAACGCAGCGAGACGCAAAGGGCGAGCGCACACGACAGGCACCATCCGCCCACCCTCGGCCTCCTTGTACCCGTCCGCCTCGCGACAAGCACTGCGTCAACAGAATGGCGATGAGCGATGAGCGCGCAGAGACACGGCAAGCGCGACCATCTCACCGAACGCCCAGAGATGTCCAGAAGCCGATGGGTGCGGCTGAGCGTTCGCGCCCGTTGGTGCTGGGGACGCGACCGGTCTAAGCGGATGTGAATGGACGTTAAAGGTGGCGGGCGGCCGCCGGCGTAGGTTTGACGAACCGCACCGCCTGTTGGGGTGTTGATGAGATGTTACGACCACACGACAGGCGCAAAATGGATTGTTGGGCATGCCGGGTTTGGGTAGACGGCGTGGATAACGCGGACGACTACAAGGAGATGGACAATCTCAGACTCGCAGCGAGATAACGTCGAGGTGGAACGCACCTTCGGGACCTCTGCACACTCTACTCCGCCACGGGGGAGGTCCTTTCGCGCTAAAATGGGTCCGTCCCTGATCCGGAGACGTGCCGGGTCTTCCATCTGTCGGGACGGTGCTGCGAGAGATGGTAGCGACTATATGCGCCCGAACTCCTAGAAAAAAGGTCCCAGTGCATGTTGCGGAGCTGTAGAGTCAATCGGCATCTATACGTTACCGATGTGCGCTCATTGTCAGTGCTCACCTGCCATCCATCTCGGATGGAAGTCCGCGCGTTACTGCTAGGCGGTGCCAAGCGACGAATCGCGAGCGAAGAACTAGAAGCCATGAGTGGTTTAAGAGAGGAGCAGTACTGGAAGATGTGGATGACGCGGGAACACAAGTCGTCGTCGGGGCCAAGCGCGTCCTCTCTCGTACCGGTCGATCCTCGAGTCGTGACAGGGGTCACTGTTGACAGTAACGTCGCTTTCTGTGACACATCGAGGCTCACTTGATCACGAGTCACAAAACTCTGTACAGCCTTAATGCCGACGGAACATAAAAGCGTGCTGATAGTACAGGATCCTGGTATGCGGGGGTAAACAAACAAGCGAATGTAGAGCAACAAACACGGAAAGATGCAGATGCTGGCGACGTAGCCTTCTCAGAGCACGAGCCGTCCTCGGATTGCATAGATCACCTGCACGCCGCCGCAACACAAGACCCATCAAATGGAGAACGTGGAACGGGGAGAACGGGTCGACGCACCCAACGCAGGACGCCTACACATCAAGCCCTCTGCGCGCGACGGCTTAACTCCACCGCCGCGCTTCACCGAGCCTCGCCCCCCTCCCGATCCTGCTCCTGCCTCCGCATCGGCACCAGCGGCGGCAGCGCGGTCAAGTACGCCGACCGCGCGCGCGCCCTCCCTCCGCTCCCGCCTCCCTCCGCGAGCCCGCTGCGATCGACCAGACACTCCGTCGACGCCGCGTTCCGTATCCCGTCTCCATCGTGCGCGCTCCCGTAGGGCGCCTCGCCGTCGCCGACGTCGCTCGGGGTCGGGCTGCGCGCGATGCCCCCGCGGGCGTGATCGAACGCGGGCGCGGTGGCGGTGGCGGGGGTCGCGGTCGGCGCGGGCTCGTACGAGTGGTACGGGGGGAGGGTCGCGGCGGAGGCGTACGACATGCGGTAGTCCCACTTCTTCTCGTCCTCCGTCTTCCCGTCGCGCTTCGCCTTGAGGTCGAGCGTCGGCGGGTTCACGAGCGAGCCGGGTTCTGGCAAGAGGGCATTCCAGGTCAGCGTCAGCGTCGACATCGACGTCGTCGCGGAAGCACGGCAGGGAAGGGGTCTTGGAAGCGTGCGCGGGTTCCAAGACAGGGACGAAGAGACAGGATGCGCGAGGCGCAAAGAGGGAGGGGCGGTGGCGGTGGACATGTGAATGGGGGTGTGGGAATGGAAGACTCACCGAAGCGGGAGAGCCGGACACTCTTGCGCATGTTTTGGCGGCGCCGGCGGTAGAGGCATATCCCAAGAACAGCGAGGAGCGCACAGAACAGCACTGCGCCGAGGATGGAGCCAACGAGCACTGCCGTGGATACGCCGCTACTATGGGAAGCAGTGGAAACAGAGGCATCGGCGGTCGCGTTGGCAGAGGAAGTGAGGGTCACCGTGACGGAGCCTCGGACAGTAACAGACAGCACGATGGCAGTGCTCGAAGAGGAAGAGGTGGTATGGGCAGATGAAGAGGTCATGGTCGTAGCTGATGTCACGCTTTAAGCCATAATATGAGAGAACGAGACCGAATGGACCGACCTGCGCTAGATGAAGATGACTGCGCTTCCAGTGCCGCTCCGGGTGAATTGGAGGTATGTGGCTTGGACGACGAGGAAGACGGGGTCGAGGAGGAGGTGTCATCTAGTGTGGTGGAGGTGGATTCCGCTGGAGTGGCTGTAGAAGTCGAGGGAGACTTGAAAACGGGCTGAGCGACCCTGAAGTAGTCGATCGCCATTACACCTTGATCGTTCTTAATAAATAATGTCTGGATGGAAGCGCTTGATGCTGGTAATTGGGTGATCATGGCGATGGCTGACGAGTCAGTACCTGAACATTGATCCTGGGCAGACAAAGCCCCCAGACCGAACTTCGCACATGCCTGCTGCCCGGGTAAAGCGACCTGAAAACCAAAGATCTGGATAGAGGATCCTGATGTGGGGTTGAAGTGGGTGCGGCTGGGATACGAAACACGAGACGTACCTTGGAAACTGACGAAAGCAGCGCCTGAAGTCGAATTTAGTGCTCCTCGCGCTGTTCCGCCGAGGTAATCTCCACTTTTTTGCGTCCATTCCGAGGTCCATTGTACCAAGGAGGAAGTGTCATCGATGATACAGTCGCCCGTTCCGTCGGACTCGGGTGTGCAAGCTTCAGGATCCATGTTTGTGAACTCAAGCAGAAATCATATGAGAAACAGGAAAAAAGGTGTCCCGTGTTGTGTCGTCGGGCGAGACAGAAGCAGCGCGCGCGTTCTGCGCGGCAAGAGCTGGACCAAAGGAGTGGAAGGGGGAAAGAACGACTGCAGACCGGGGGTGAGAACGAGAACGACAGGGACGCGGACGAAGGAGAGACGGGGACGAGCACGGAGACGGGAAAGAAAAGGCGGGCGGACCGGGGACAATGCACAGGCTCATAAGACGTACGTACGCGGAGATGCGCCGCGCGCATCACCCTGATTTCCATCACGAGCCCCTCGAGATGCCCGGACACGCCCTAAGTACGGGAAGGCCACAGGGGGACGCAGTTGGGAACGCGCCGTCCGAATGGTCGGGCCGCCGAAGGCTTTGCTTGCGACAATGCAGGCGCAATGCCCAGATGGGCCACCTCCTGCACAATGCATGCCGGCGGCAAGGCACGGCGGAGTGAGGCGTGGGTGGACATCTTGCGTACGTGATCCCGCCGGGAAGAAGCCAGGGTGTGGACGAGCCGCAGGATCAGAACCTGACATGGGTGTCTTCCCGAAGCAGGTAGTGGCTTATCCCAGCGAGTTCTGGAGCAACTGTGCGCGGTGCTTGTTCAACATCTTTTCTGGCATTCGAGGGTGGCAAGCAGAGGACAGGAGGTGCAGACGGGACCATCGGCGGAAGAGGGCGGAGGCAAGCGGAGGATCGCCAGTGCCAGCACGGCGGTTGATCCGCTCGTCCGAAAATGGCGCGGGTGCCCACCATCACACTGAGAAGATCTGCCAGCTCGGGCAGAAGTTGATCTCGTTCACCTCCGAACCTGTACTGTTCATGTGGAAAATGCGGACATAGTCAGAGCCTGACATGACGAATAAAGCGCGAAACACCATCGTACCGCAGGCGCTGACAGACTCTCCGAGGAGATGGACGCTCGGAGCAGGTATCATGACTTCGCGAGCGGTCGAGCCTCGAGCAAAGATGGGTGATCAACGTAGCAGAATACTGTACCATTTCGAATTATTCGAACCGGGCCTTGGTGCGTGACAGCCCAAGTACGCCAGGTGGATTCGAACCGGGGGCCGGCCCGGCGTGACCACCCTGAAATATTCGAACCGGACGGTCTTTAACACGTTGGGTGCACCGTCATTAGAGAAACAGAGCACTCATCTATGCCACGGATTAACACAGAACACGCCCAGAAGGCCGAAAATGCTCTGGGTATACGAAACGAATGCGCATACCGGTAAGCGCCCGTCCAGCGATTTCGAACGTGATGCGTGACTGACCCCAGATATTTCCGACTTTCGGAGGGCTTGTGACGCGTGACGTTCGAATAATTCGAAATGGTACAGTACTGTGTGAACATCCAATTCAGCATCTAATAGCTACATATGGTGGGAGATATATACTCGCATCGGTGAAAGCCAAGTTCTGGAAGACATGGTGGACGAGATTCGAGATTCAGGTGAAGTTGAACTGACTCATCCGATGATGCACATGTCGTCTCGAGCGCCATCCTGTTCGCTGGGCGCCAAAATTTCGCTTTCCTCTCCTCGTGATGCACTCCTCAAGGAGCGTAGAGTGCACGTTCTTGAGGAGGTCATGGGTACGGTGACCTTTGGCAGTGGACACTGGAGAGGAAAGCATGCCGGGGCGAGATTCCTTGCGCTTTGGCTGGTGACTGATGAGGGGGTGGGAAGGCTAGCGGAATGGTTGACTAGTAACTACACGTATGCGTGCTGTGAACAAGTTAACATGCGGCTGCCATTAAGGCTATAGCCTTCTGATGCTGTCTTACAGTATATAACATGCACATATTGGGGCCTCGCCCATATATAGTATTGTCGCGCAACTATCCCGGTTGCTAAGCGCATACTACATAGTGTCTGGCGCCGGCCTGGGAACGTGACGAAGTGGGCGGCCTGCACCGCTGCGTGAGGGAACACCTCGCTGGATTTTGATTCAGCAGCTGTCCTCTTGCAAACACGCCGGCAATATTGCAATTTCTGTTCGTCAGATAATCATCTTGAAATGCAATCCGAAATACTACGTTTCCGAGCACATTTCAAACATGGGAATACGAAGAACTTCGCCTCTTCACAAACATATCATTCTGAAAGCCGTTCCAGAAGCGCAGAAAATTGACGTTTCAGACGACGAGGAATGTCAACAATAAGTTTCGAGGCATGTGGGACTTCGAGTTTCTGTGGACGAGAAATGATGAACCAATGGGGAGCCATCACTTCCTGTGCCTCCGGAATGTTTCTCATAACTTTTGCTCAGAACATTGCATTTCTGCACGGACGAAACACTCCATTTGTGCATAGTTGAAACGGGGTCAGAAACCGTAACATATCTGATAGCATTTCGCCCAACATATCTGATGACCGGAAATTTTAATATTACCGGCGTGAAAGCGGGGTGCGTCCACCGGGCCGCCGGCCGGTTTGTCCAATGTTTGTCTCAGTTGGGATACCTCGGCGCTTCCAGCGAGTTCCAGCGATGTAGTCACACTGCTGGTTGAGCTCGGATCACCAACCTCCTCCTCCTCCTCCTCCTCCACCACCACCACCATGCCTGTTCTCACACCCGACGAAATCGTGGCAATCGTCCACACGATGGGTGTCGATGTCAGCTCTCTTCCTCGTGGCGCCCTCCCCAAGTACCTCCGCTCCGTGCTCGACAGCACTCAGTACGGCATGCGCCTCCAACCCTTCGTGGACCTGAATGCGCTCCCCGAATGGCCCAAGCCCGACTCTGCCACATGTCGAACCCGCTTCATCCAGCACTACACGCCCCAAACCGAGGCCTCGCACACCGTCGCACACGATCCGACCTCCCTGGCGCAGACGATCGAGCGCGGCGATGGCGATCAGGCAAAGGGGCTCTATGAGCGTGCGCACAAGTACTGGGCTGCCGCTTTCCCAGTCCCAAATCCGTTCGTCGGGCTCCGGATCGCGGTCCTCGAACTCGCGAAGCTCTGCGACTGCGGCTCGCCGTGGATGATGCTGGTCTGTGGCACGGAGAAGAGACGAATAATCAACATTCGGGTGCGTGCCGTCCACATCTGCAGCGCGGGAGGCCGGCTCCTGATCAGGCTTGTGCAGGTGGTGTCGATCCGAAAACTGCACGACCGTACGCCCGTGTTCGTCGTTCTCTACGGCGCCGTGTACCCGGACGACGACGGGCAGTTCTTCGCATGGGCGCTCGCGCAGAACTCCGCGACGCCGCTGAACCCTGGGGTTGCGTATCTGAATTCCAACCAGTTCGTGGTGCATCCCCTCGCGGTGAAGCTCCTCCTGCAGCTACTCCAGATGAACAAGAACCTCGTCCCTCCCGACCTCCCGATAGAGCGCAAGCACCACGAAGAGACCTTCGTCGCATCGGTGCTGGGGCCCGTGGGGCCCTTGTACCAACTCTCCACCGTGGGGGTACAAGAACGGCTGCTGTGCGCGGCCTGTCGGGCACGGTCGGGGAAGGAGTGCTCGCAGTGTTTCGCGGTGGTGTACTGCAACGAAGGTGCGTCGCCGTCCACTCATCACGCTGGCGCGATCCAATCCCCGTCGTCCCCACTCCGCCAGAATGTCAACGCAAGCACTGGGCCGTCCACCGCGACGACTGCATCCCGCGCACCGCGCCGGGGCGCTGGATCACCATTCAGGCGTCGGCGCTGCACTCCGACCCCTCCCGCTTCGAATCCCGCATGAGCATCGCCGACCTCGTCCAGCACCCCGCTGCGGAATCGCGGCGAAGAGCGAAGCCGTTCGTGGTGAAGCTGTGGCATCTGTGGTGTCAAATTCCTTACACTCCTGGCTGTCTCCGCTCGTACTACAGTTCGATAGAGATGATCGACAGCAGGCGGTCGCTCGTTCTTGCTATCAGCGGCCCTAGGGAGCTTCTGGACATACTTGAAGAAGAGCTTATCGGGCCGCGCATCGAATACGGGGGCAATACGATGTATCGCTGGGCCAAGAGGACTGGGACCTGGACTTACGAGATCTGCGTGGATCGGGTGCCTCCGGCGGCGCTGTCCGGTTGGTGAAGATCACTTGCGCCCCTGGGACTGGACTCTCGCGGGCGGCTGGACGTTCCAATGTTGCGCAAGGCAGGGTTCCTTGTGTACATAAGACGCGTGTGTATCAATGACTGTACGATGAAATGAGAATTGGGTGGCTACATTCAATTGTTTGAGCAGTGGTCGACGAATACGAGCTTGCATGTATGATGTTCCTTCGATTAAGCAAGAGATATATATCACACCATTCATACATTCACCAGTGCAGCTCCACCGCGGGGACGTGGTCCAGACAGAGCAAATACGACATGTCGCTCGCCCGCTTGGCCCATCGATACATCACCCTCGCGCCCTCCTGCCCGCGCGGCCCCTCCATCTCATCCAACAGCTCATCGAAAAGCGCCCCGTCGTGCCAGTCCGCGAAGCAGAACTCGAACGAGCGCCGTCGGTCCATGACAAACAGCCGCCACACTTCGTCGTCCTCTTCCGGGACTGATATCCTGACGACGAACGGCTTCAGTCCCCACATGTTGCGTGGGACGTAGCCGTCGTCTTCGTCTTTCGGGGCTGGGGGCGTGCCGGCATTGGCTCGCTCTCGCGCTGCCGCTGCCGGGTTGGACTGTTCAAGGACGTGCGTGGGCAGGCCCAAGTACTCCCGGCGAGTCCGCATCCAGTCGTCGCGTGCGCGGATGACCACCCAGTTCCCGCACCCGGGGGGCGGCACACATCCCGCGCGGTGGACGTCCCAATGTGCGCGTTGGCACTCTGGACGTCCGAGCAGGCGAGCGGGAGGTAGCGGGGGCATGAGAGGGCGTCGCGAACGAGATCGATGGTCGACGGCTCACCTGCGCTGCAGTAGGCCACCGCCCGGCACGCTCCGCACTCCTTCACGTCCCCGCTTCCGCACACCGCGCACGCCCAGCGCGCGTTCAGCTCCACCAGCGAGTCCTCCTGGAGCGGCCCAAACGGGAAGAGGACGGACGTCACGAAGCCTTCTTCGCCCCTCTGCCGCACCACGGAGAAGCCCGGGGGGACGTACCGCCTGTTTCTTTCCAGGACGAACGAGACGGCGAACTTGAGCACGAGGTGGGGCATGGGGGAGCGGTTGTAGCGGGGGGTCGGTTCCTTCGGGTCGAGTGGGTACCGCAACGCCTGCTGGAAGCACCAGCGTCTGCCGCCGTTGAGAGTCGACACTGGTTCTTCGTACGCGCGGAACAGGACGATGAGTGCGGGTGCGCAGACCTGCGACCCGCATGGGCGAATCGCGCGGACAGAAAGCACCTAGAACGCGGCGCCGTCAGCACGATGCGAGTATATGCGCGGAGGTAGAAGTCGCCGGGAGGATGTCGCGGAGAGCGTGGACCGAAATAGTACGCACCCGCAAGTTGACGAAGGACCTGCAGTCATTCTGCGACTCCCACACGATCCACGGCGCCCCGGCGTCGACAAAGTTCATGAGGCCAAGGAAAGCCCTGCAGAGCTCCATGTACGGCAGACTCTTGCCATCGGCGTCCTTGCTGTGCTCGCCGGACACCGTCCTCATGAAGGAGGCGCGCGTTCCGCGGGAGCTCGCCATGGTCGTCGTGTGGGCCAGGTCTTCGGAGTCCGAGTCTCGCGCATCGGGGCGCTTGATGCCGTTCATGTCGGCGAGGTACCATCTGGCGAGCTTCCGACGAGCCTTTGCAGATCGCTCGGGCCACGGCCGGGCCTTGATCTCGTACTGCAGGTCTGGTTCTGTGGGCAGGCGGTGGAGGTACTGCGCGGCGTGGATGGCGGCGCGCAAGCGGGCGGAAAGAGCACCCGGGCGAAACGTGGCGTCGCCGTCCAGGGGGGTGTCGACACCAAGAGCACGAAGCATCGTCAAAGCGTCGTGAGAGCAGAGGCCGTCTTCAACGTTCTTCGTGCACGCGCACGAACTGCCAGTGTGGGGTGGACGGGGGGGAGGCATTGGCTGGACAGGGAAGTTGGACGGCGGAGCGCAGGAAGTAGAGAGTAGGCTGGCCACTTGTTCCCTTGCGGCTATGGATGGCTCGATTGGACGGATGCTGCCTCATCGGTGTGCGGATAGAGTGTTGCAAGGGCGGGGGAAGAAGAGATGCAACGGGCGCTATTTGGGATGCGCACCTCTCCCACGTGCTACTTGATACTCGTGCTTGGTCATCTCAGAAATCTGTACCGGGCTTGGACTTAGATTCAACATCGCGGATTGTAGTGAGAGATGGATTGAGAACTCAATCGGTACGTCGGATACCTTGTTAGAAGTCGGCGGCTCGGTCGGGGTCGGACGAGGGGGTAAAGGCAATCGATACCACGCGGTTGGTCCCTATGGGCACCGGGAGGCGAGTACAGACGGACGCGGGGGAGAACGAGGTGGTGGTGAAGGGCAAACGCGTGAGGCGAGTGCGGGACGAGGGACGATGGCTATCTACACGATGACTAAGCACAAGTAAGGTACGACCGAGCTTGCTATACACGTGAGCAGATTCCAACATACCTCTCGTCTCTGCGTTAAAAACTGTGTGTTGGGCTGGAAATTACGGGTCTATACAAGCTTGTCTTTCGTCAAAGAGCACTACGCCCTCTCGATCCCGATACCGCTCCAGTCAAAAGTCTCCGGCAGACAACCCGCTTGATGACCTCAGAACGGGCCCCCTGTGCAGGGACGGCCAGTCCAGAAACAAGAAACGCGCGAAAGACCACGTACCGCAATCCTAGTGAGTAGTGCATTATCCAGATTGGGACGCGCGAGGTCAATCCTGATTGTCTCTTCTTGTGTCCCCTCCGGAGATGTTGAATGGACGTGAACATCGGCACCATTTACCGTCCGGGTGCGCCCCGCACGTCTGTCATGGTCGAGATCACTGGTGATTGCGAAATCGAACTGCGATGCGATACTATCCGCTGAGGGGTCACTGCGTATACAGTTCCTGGGTGTGTGCGCTCGTGGAGGATCCTATTCATGCAATGTCGGCTTGGCATGCATAGTCTACACGACTTACAGATGCATAGTGATGCTCAACAGCGTGTTTGGACTGATGGGGGCATGCGGTCTATACACAAGCTGTACGTCCACAGTCCTGTTCTCTCCGCCCAGCGATATATCCCGCCGTCGAGGCTCCCGCGTGGCCCCAATACTTCTGCCTTCAGCTCCTCAAAAAGCTGGTGGTTATGGCTGCGAGAAATAGCGAGCGAGAGACCGCGGCTGCAATCAAACAAGGATATCTCCTCGTAAGCCGCCGCGGTCCCAGAAACCGCACCCGGTGGCAGCGATATCTGCACGAGAAACCGTTTCTCCTTGCGCGCGTTTGGGGCTCGCCCTTCAAGACGGTCCGCGCAGGCCACGTCGGGGAGCATGACGGAATCTCGCGCGTTTGGGGCGGGTGGTGGATCGTTGAATCGTGATGCCTCGATGGAGAGAGAGTCTGCGCGGACAGGTCGCCAGTGGTCGCCAGCGCGAAATACACACACTTCTTTGTGCGCAGACCAGTGCGCGCGCTGACATGCTGCGTGAGTGCAGAAATTAGAATGTGAGATGATGGTGCTCGCGAGCGTGCTCGTCACGCACCTTTGCCACAGTACGCGATCGAGAAGCACTGCGTGCACTCCTTGACCGGAGACTGCCCGCACATCGCGCAGAAGAATATTCGGAGCCGGGTCTGCACCAGAAAATCCACCTGCGTGAATTCCCCTACCGGAAACAGCACCGAGGCTTTGAAGATTTCCTCCCCAGGCTGACGCCAGACCTGGAAGTTGGGCGGCACGACGGCCTCGTTCATGCGGAGCAGCTTCACGATGAGCCTCCCGGCGAGCGGGTCGATCGTGAAGTGGTTCCCCGAATCTCCGGTTCCGAACGGCGGCAGTGGTGGGGCCCACTGGTAGCGTGCCTCTCCTTGGGCAGTCGCCCAGTGGACGCATATCTCGGCCTCGGCGTCGCTCGTGTTCGCCAAGTCGAAGGCACGGTAGAGCACAACGAACACGGGCATGCGTTCGTGCACCTTCCGCACAGAGACGACCTGTGCGTCGTGCGAACACCATCGGCGTGAGATCATTGCCTCCAGCGCCGCACACAGAGGGGAGAGCACGTACCCGGATGTTGATCACCGCGTGGCCCGGGTCGAGCACGGCCCAGGGTGAGCCGCACTCGGTCAGCTTCACGAGGTCCAGAATGGCCATGCGCAGGCTCGTGAACGGGTGCGTGTCTGACATCTCCGGGACGCGGGCGCGTACCGGTTCCCATTGTCGTACAGCTTCTTGCAGTCCTCTGGGGGGCCGCGCTCGACAGCTTGCGCGAGTGAGGTCGGATCGCGCGCGGGGACGCTGTCGACCTCGCGTGAGGGGAAGAAGTGGTACTTCTGCCGGGCGTGAATGTCGTCATGTGAAGGTTGAGGCCACTCGGGGAGTGCGTTGAGATCGAGGACGGGGGCGAAGCGGACTCCGTACTGGCAGACGTCGAGCGCGAGGCGGAGACATTTCTTGAGCGCTTTTCGGGGTATCGTTCCGGGGATGTTGATATTCAGTGCGCGTAGGGTACTGATGATTTGTTCGGATGTCATATGGCTCATGGCGAGAGTCGAGTTGTGGGGGAGAACATGCAGTTCGTTGAATGGCGCCTGTTTGATCTAACAAGCCCTCCGATTAGATAAGATAATAAGATTGGGTGGGGTGACGCTCTCATCTAGTCTCCCGTAGGCTCCCGTAGGCAGCCCTTCTTTCAGCTTGTCCACCAGCCCCGCCAGTGCGCCTCGTCCTCGTCGCGCGCACTCATGCCTCACTCCGTCAACTCCATCATGGCCGATCGTATGATCTCGCGCCCTGAGATTGAGATGATCCTGGGGCACATGGCGCTGGACACCACTCTCTTTCCCCCGAACGTCTTCCTCAAGTACCTCCGCACCGTACTCGACGCTGCCCAGTCCGGCCTCCGCCTCCGCCCCTCCCTGAACATCAAGCTCCTCCCCGAATGGCCCAAGCCCACCTCTCAGCAGCGCAAATCCCGCTTTTCACAGCACTACAAGCCGAAATCCAAAAAACGGGAGGCCGTCGCCCACGACCCGACATCGCTCGCCCAGGCAGTCGAGCGCGGCTCGCTCCAAGAGTCCGAGCTGCTGTACAACGAGGGGTGCAAGCACTCCCCGCTCTTCCTCGATGCCGACATCACGAACCCGATCGTGAGTGTGCGGATGGCGGTCCTCGAACTCGCCAAGCTCTGCGACTGCGGCTCTCCCTGGATGGTGCTGGATTCACCTGCGGGCTTCATGAACATCCGGGTGCGTGTTTTCCAGGCCTGCGTGCGATTCGCGTTCTTGACGCATATATGCGCCGCGGCGGTGGTGCCGGGCGAGCAGGTGGTAGCGATCCGGAAGCTGCACGATCGCGCGCCTTTGTTCGTCGTGGTTTTCCGCCTCTTCGGTGCGTTCACCGACCCCGCGAAGGCGGAAGGCATCGCCTGGCGCCGCAGGCAAGTGAGAACCGCGCCGCTAGATCCCAAGAATCCAGACTGGACGTCGAACGTCTTCAAAGTGAACCCCCTCGCCGGGAAGATCCTCTTCCAGATTCTTTGGATCAACGGACATCTTCTGCGGTCAGATATGGGCCTCATCAGCAAGTGCGTGGGGCGAGGAGAAGGCGAGTACGGGGTCTCGATACTGGGGCCGATCGGGCACATCTACCAACACTCGCTCTTGGACATACAACCACGATTCCGTTGCGTGGTGTGTCAGAAAACCCCTGTCAAGGAGTGCTCAGGTTGCTACGCGGTGGCTTACTGTAGCAAAGGTACGCCATCTTTTGTTACGCTTTTACGTGAGTATCCGTTCAAGTATATCCACCTTCCTCGCCAGAATGCCAGGGCAAAAACTGGTCCGTGCATAGCCGGGAGCAGTGTATCCCGCGCTTCGGTATGCGCTGGGTCACTGTTCGGGTTTCCACTCTCTTGTGCGACCCTTCGCGCTTCGGATCTCCGGAGCTCATCAAAGTCGTCGAGCGTCAGTCTGCCGACACGCTGGACAACTATCTCAGCAAGCCTTTCGTCGTGAGGTTCACGAAATCCCCGTCTCCGGATACTCAGGCTCTAGAGGCGAGCCTTCACCCGCCTTCCTGCACGGCGATGGAGCTGCTCGACGTCAAACGCTCGCTCACTTTCTCTCTCTGTCGCAATCACGATCCTGGCCAGCCCTTTGACGTACTTGAGGCCGAGATGCAGGGACCCCGTGGGGGCCACGACGGGAAGAAGATGTACCGCTGGGCGTCGAGGACCGGGGACTGGACCTACAGCATCTGCCTGGATCGCGTGCCTCCGGCGGCGCTCTCCGGTTGGTGAAGAGCAAGCCTGTACCTTGTTTCCGTCGATGAGCGGCCGATCACGCTCGAGACACTGACTGGACGTATGTATGCAGCACGAGATGTCTTTCTCTGTGTATCATAGTAATTTCCCAACGCATATTGTGCATGGCCTTCTCCGCGCGAGCCAGCCTTCCCCACATTCGGCGTCCAGTAATAAGGGCGATTATGTCCACATATAGTCAGTGGTGAGAATTTGCGCCCGAAGGAGACTCAGACGCGTATTCCGCTCTCCAGCGGGCAGTACTTGGGTGACCGACGATTCCCCCACTCCGCACTCTCTACAATCTCACGAACATCTGGCTCTGACACGGATGTGAACACCCGACCGTTGCGCGTGCCGACTGCGCCCCGGCGGGGCTGCGCATGGCGCAGAAGATGTTGAATCACTCCCACTAGTAGTACTGCTCATCCCGCTCGGACGACCATCGATGTCGCCGGGTATATACATGTATCGTCCAAAACATACAGGGGTCTACAACATATCAAGAAGTCCATTTTCGCGGAACGTTCCAAGCGTTCGCGAGACAAAACGAGCGTCGAGCCGTACAAGATGTCTTCACCAACCGGAGAGCTCCGCCGGAGGCACGCGGTCCACGCAGACGCAGTAGGTCCATTGCCCAGTCCTCTTCGCCCAGCGGTATATGCCTTTCGTCCCGCTCAGCTCGGTCCTCAGCGCCTCGAAGACCGCGGTGCAGTCCTCCGGACGGATGGCCATCATGAGCGCGCGTTTGACGTCGACCACCTGGATCTGTCCGTAGACCTGGTCGCCGAACCCGAGCGACTGTGCGAGAACAGAGGGACCCGTGGGCAGAAGCTTCAGCACGAACGGCTTGCTGGGGCGGAGCGGAGTGGGAGCCTGGTACTGGACGAGCTCGGTCGTCCTGTGACTGTCAGCAAGGCGGGAGCCGGGCGGGGGTCCGAAGCGCGACAGGTCGGACCGGAGAGTGCCGGCTTGGAAGGTGACCCAGCGGACGCCGGAACGAGGGAGGCAGCCGCGTCGGTGCACGGCCCAGTGCTTGCGTTGACATTCTGGAGGGGAGAAAGGGAGGAAGATGTGATGACGTGCCCTCGGCGCGCGGATGAGGGCAACACACCTTTGCTGCAGTACCCTACGGAGCAGCACTGAGAACACTCCTTCACCGGGGTCTCCTTGCAGACCGCACACATCAGGCGCTCCTCAAGCCCCACGACGGACAGGGCGTACGGAGGCCCGATAGGCCCGAGGACCGACACCTGATAGTCAGCTTCTTCGGGGCGGCGCTGGACGGGGAAGCCGGGCGGGACGAGCCTCTGGTTCATCCAGAGCAGCGTGAGGAGCAGCTTCAGCAAGCCAATATCTCCTTTGAAAGTGTTGCTCTCCACGCCTTTATTGCGGGGATCCAGCGGTGCTTCTGCGATCTGTGCGCGAACCCAGGTGCGAGCCATGGGGCCTTCAGCTGAGCCGTGGTCGAAGGCGCGATAGAGAACGACGAACACGGGCGCGCGAGCGTGAAGCTTTCGTATCGACAGCACCTGCCCGTCCGTGGTGGGGTGCACGCCACGTCAGGCGTCGGGTCCGGCATGTGGAGGAGGGTGGCACTCACCCGGATGTTGACGAATGACATCCCGATATCCGGATCGTCGAGAACGAGCCACGGAGAGCCGCAATCGCTGAGTTTGGCGAGCTCGAGGACCGCGATCCTCAGACCCTGGAGCGGGTCTCTGAACCTTCCATCGGAAAAATGCGGTGAGTGCTTGCACCCGTTTTCATACAGTCTCTTGGCACCGTCGGGTGCATCGTGTTCAACCGCTTGTGCGAGTGAGGTTGGGTCGTAAGCGACGGCGCGCGTAGATGTGGATTGTGACGTGTAGTGCTGAAGCCGGCGGGCTTGACGCTGACTAGAGTCGGGCTGAGGCCATTCGGGGAGCAAGTTGAGGTTGTGAAAAGGCTGGGCGCGTAAACCGTGCTGGGAGCCGTCGAGGATGACGCGGAGGTACTTGTTGAGCACAAAGTTGCGGGGAAGGGAGGCGGTGGCGACCCCGAGAGAGCGCAGAATGACTTCTGAGGCTTCGGGAGGGAGACAAGCCATAAAGACGGGATGAAGTTAGAGTGGATCGAGGAGCGGGGTGGATGAGAGAGATTACGAACTGCATCTGGCGCCGACAGGCAGGGCGTGTACACTCGATCGCGTGATCACGAACCGGGCCGGCTTCGTCTCCTCTCTTCTCACCACGATCATCCCTACCGACGTCAACCAAATACCTTTCGAAGACTGCTCGAGGTCGACAGAAGACGCTATCCGAGTGGCTCGCCGTACGCGTCATGCCATCGTGCAACTCCCGGTACGTGCATTTATGTCGAAACTGACATACCACTCACGCGCCGTACTTCTTGGAAGACACGCTCCCACTTCCTCCCGGCCGGGACGGCTCTATTGTCAGCGCTCTCTGGGAGCGGGCGTTAGGATCCGGCATCTGGCTTCTACAGAGCGTTCGCGGTGTTTGTGGGGCATTGCATCGTCGGCCTATTGTAAGTGATCCGCTGTCTTTTTGTGCATCTTTCCGACGTCAAACCCTCCCCATACTATGATATATGAGGCCGGCAGTCGCACGTTGTTCTCGAGATTGACGTTTGTCTCCTTGATTCACGGACGAAGCATCCCCGCAGCGGATTCGTAACACGCATCCGGCTGCGGAGGTACAGATGCCCCTTGTCTTCAGCTGAGCGAAAGGTTCTATATGAATTGTTCATTTGTAATATGCCATGCTGGACGAGGACGATCTATGGCGGTGTGTGACTCGAACACGAACAAACAACACGCCTCTGGCATAACTCTACGTCATCGGCTCTTCTCATGTTATATGAAGTGTCCGTGTTTGACGTCCTTGCTTCACAGTCGCATGAGACGGACCCTGAGACCAAGATATATGCGTGCCAAACGCGGACGTGTTGGTCTTCATACCTTCATCCCCTCATTTTCATGCTCCCCCAAGACGAAATCGCCCGGCTCGTCGCTGCACTTGCCGACAGGTTCGACGACTACCTTGAATCGCTGGACCGCTCAACTGATCCAATAGTAGCCAAGTCCAGTTGTATGCTCAGCTCGCTGGCACGGGTGCGTCCGTTAATAATATACCCCTCGTTTCCTGAGCTTATTGTTTGCGCCACACATCTCTCAGTACTGATATTCTACGAGTATACGATCACCTTTGGGACCGAGATAGACCTCATCTGGAATACCTGGACGTGGGATGGCGCGACAATGCTCTTTGTGGCGAATCGATACTGGACGATCGCTTACTGCATCTACGACGCAATATTCACCGTAAACATCATGCCCAAGTCTGCGAAGGTACACCGCATGCTCTCTCACTCCGTTGTAACTGCTTGTGCTTAATCCGTCTTCCATCTAGGTGTACGTCTCATGTCGATCTCTCTGCTTAGTGGTGACTTATCTCACTGCGATGTTAGCGCTATCGTTACCGCGCAAGTTCAGACTACGATGAGTCTCCTTCAGAACATTCCCTGGGCAGGTGAGGCGTTCAATTCACTTTTTTTGTTTTTTGAGATACTGGTTTTTCATATCATTTACGCAGTGTTCTCTGCACTGCGGAGCTTTGCTCTCACTCAGAGTTATGTTCTGGGGGCGACGGTTCTTATTCTCTCCCTGGTTCCGGTCGGAGTAAACCTTGCGCGTAACGTTCCTACCATCGCACAAAGAAAGAGTTTGCTGACCTCGTTCATCACAGGAGAATGTTATCACGCTGTCGGCAGTCGATATTCCGGTATTTGGCTGGACTTCAACTGGTACTCAAACACCGTTAATGTCTAAAGCGTAGGTCCAACGTCGTTTTGTGTCGCTTAAGTACTCACAAGTTTGTTTCCAGATGTGCGTAATTTATGCCCTTCAGCGATCAAGATGCAGACTAAATGCGCCGCAGTCGTCATCGCTGCACGCAGCTCCGTCATGTGTGCAGACGTCCTGGCCATCTGTGCCACCTGGTCTACGTTGTTCCGAATGCGGAACCTACCACAGGAACCCTTGAAGCGGGCGCGATACAGCCTCTCTGCCGTTCTGTTACGTGATGGTATGTTTTAGTGTCTACGTCCTCCGTGCGTATTCTGATGCTAGTCTTTTTCGCGACAGGAACGATCTACTTTCTGTGAGTCGGCCCATCCGGATTTCTGCCGCCACCACTCTGATTGAGAATTTTAGTACGCTGCTCGTCTTCAACGCGCTTCATCTCGCACTGTCGCTTCTAGCAGTACGCACTCGGCTCTGCCGATCATTTTGATCACGCTCATCTTTGCGTCCCTGCTCAGGTCGGACCGGCACTTGGGAGGACCACCAGTATCATCACGACGTTCTCCGATCCGTGCGTATACAATTTCCGTGCATCTTCCGCTCGGCACTCATGGAGCTCTCGTACAGAATAACGAGTATCCTTATCACGCGCTTCCTCTTCGACCTCCAAACCGCGAAGAGAATGATGGATGCGTCAACCACTTCGGCGGGGACGGACAAGGCTGCACCAGGGCAGTCTCTCATATTCGCTCGCGTCGTGGGTTCACTATCCGCCTCGCTCGATTTTGCTGAAATCAACGAGGATAAGAATCGCGATGAGTACGCATCCGGAGTGGCTGGAGAAAGCGCATCGGAGGGATGCACGAACCAGGAGGAAGTGGTCCCAGGGGAAGCGTAGACGGCGGGGGAGCTGGAGACGTTCCCCAACGTGCGGGTGCAGCCAAGGTGCGTCTAAATCTGCGTCTCGAGCGTTGCCGCTGAGAGAAATTTTCGTTCTGGAAGGATTCCAACGTCAAGACTGGCCAACGCAGCGACGCTGCGTTCTGCGCACCTCCGGATTTGTCTTGTGTACGGTTTCCGTAGAAGTAATGTTGCAAGACGGCTCGCGTTTTGCGGACAGGCGGTTCTCCGCCGATGGCTTCAAGGAGCTTCCGAAACCGTACCCTCCGGACCGGGCGTCCAATTCGCCGCGCAAAGACAGAACTTCTGAGCTCCGAGCGGGTGGTGAGGTCAGGCACAGTCACAGCCTGTTCCGCTGGGCGACGAGGACCGAAGATCGGGTGTTACCTGTATGGACCGAGGAGCGTGGGTGCGCAACACACAGGCCGACGGTGAGAGCTTATGAGCGATGCTGAGAAGAATAGAGTGGTGCCGGACAGCAAAGTTGGCGCGACTGGAAGACGCACATGAGTGAAGAGTGCGCACGCTGAGGAGACCCTCGTGTGCCGATCTGGGGTTTTCCTGATGCTGCTCCCCACTGTCCCATTGAAGATTGAGCGGCTTGCGCTAGGGGACGCCGCGCGTCGCACGCACGCCCTCGTACCAGTCCAGCTCGGCATCCCGGAGAGCAACGCGCCGGTTGAGCGTGTGGATGGAGGCGGGATGAGGCGGCCGGCATCTGGCAGAGACGGGGAAGGACGTCCTCGGTTCCAGCGCTGGCATGTCACCGGCATGTACTTGAAGCCAGGCACCAGTATACCTCTCAAGCGCCCACATCGGGACATGAATGAATTTGAGCGATGGATGGGGGAGTCAAGATGTCGGAAGGCAAGAAACAACTTCCAGGGCCGGACCGAGAAACAAACACGGGGATTGACAGTATGCGTCTATACTGCTATAAAACTGTCTTATTTTATCGGCCGGCTGGCCTAATGGTTAAGGCGTCAGTTTCCGGTCGTCTCCCGAATGTTACGATTGCACCCAGCTGAAGATTCCGAGTTCGACTCTCGGGTTGGTCGATTTTTCCGTTTTACTTCGATGGCCCTGAAAGTGTTTCGTCAGTGATACGGAGATACTCAGTGTGAAGAAACCAATTTAGAACAGTATGGACTGCGAGGGTGTTGACAGCTTGGTTTATGAATCGTTTCCGGATCAGACCGAATCAGACAAGATGTACTCTCCCGAAGTGACTAGGTTGTGACCACAGTCAATTGCGGACGCCCGACGACTGCGTCAGCGAGTTCGACAATCGTCAACGGAACTACTCGCATGACACGATGATAGCAGAGTTCGCATTTGACATTTGTCGTCGACTGCTACAAATGGACGGTCGACGCACCACTCATCGACCTAGGCAGAGAACGCTGAACTCCGCCCGACGCAGTACGACGAAAGCGACGCCGCTTTCAGATCAACCTCGTTGAATGAGCCGACGTCGATTTGGTGAGCGGTCGCTGGCGCGAACCTCGGGGACGCTTCCATTGCACGATGCGCTCGGTATTCCCGAGGCATCACGGCGAAGAATGTCGGGGCGCCTGGATGGCGGATGCGCTCTTCAGATATCTCCGTCTTATGTAGTCTGGGAAGCCTCAGTTCGATGTCGGGGGCGAAGAAACCTTGACGGACCTCGTGCACCAGGCGTGGCGCCTGGCCTGCGCTCTAGTAAGCACGTGGATCCGCTTCCCAGTCATCGGCATTCTGCTTTGGTCGGCGGAGAGACTTCTGTGAGCATACCAAGAGTCGAAGACACAGCGCCGAGGGCCGCCGGGAGCATTTCTGACATTGCCACGCGCAGGTCCGCAGGAGGCGGCGACGCGGCGCATCACCAGGACGCTGGCTGTCACCACCGGTGTCCATCCGTTTGTCCACAAGTGCAGACGAAGCGTAATGGCGTGTGGTTTGACAGCAGATTCGGACAGCCTCGCACGCGTACGCAACGTGGTGTTCCTTCCCCACTCATACAACATATGTGCTGCGAACCGTAAGTACCATCAGCTTCGTCGACAAAGGTCGACGAGCCGCGGGCGGTGCGGCGCTCCCCGAGTGCAAGTGGAACGTCACTCACAGCCTCACGAAAGGGTGCTCCCGCGGTTGCAGGCTGACAACGGCGGAGAAGTCGGGGCTGTGGCACGGCGCACACATCGGCAGGCTCCTGTGAGTCGGCATCGGGAGCGTACGGGGGCGCATGCTGAGAAACGCGCATATAGAAAACATGCAGGAGTATGTACTTGCGCAGGGGTATATAAGCGGAGTGCATGGCGCGCGCGCTGCCCCGCGTAACACCCCTACTCGCCGTTCGCGGCCACCTCTTGCCTACCCCTGAGCCATTGTTCTTCTTTCGTTTCCATCGCCCCGCCCCGACCACATTGCGGGACAGCTTCGACAGCGATATCCACGTACCTCTGCACGCCACCCACTCGCCCCCGCCATGGGATCAAGTAACAGCAAAGCATCGAGCGTTGACGGCCGGTCCTACGGGAGAAACCCACTGAAGGCCAGGAAGCACAGCGAAAGCAGGGCCCAGACGCAGACACCGAGACAGAGCGAGTACTTGGAGAGCAGAGGGAAGGAATTGCCCGCCGTCCCCGCCGTCGCAAGCCCCCAGTGGGCGGCCTCCGTGCCGAATGCGCCCGCCCGGGCTGCGCCGCCCGCGGCCAGCTTGCGGGGAGGAGACGCCGAGGCAAGTGCTTGATCTGTGCATTGAGCCTAATTATAAGTAACAGCCACATTAATCTCTTGCCTCTGCTCCCCCACCGCCCCTCATCCTCCCCTCGCCCACGTCGCGCATACAGTCCCGACACACCTCCTCCCGCGCATCCATGGCCCCTGCCACCGTCCCCTGCCAGGTCAGACCGCGCGCGAGATCTCCCCGCCGTCCGCTTCTGATCTGCCCCCGCACAGTACCGCACGGGCAAGACCCTCGGAAGCGGGACGTACGCCATCGTCAAGGAGGCCGTCCACATAAAGACCGGCAAGTACTATGCCTGCAAGGTCATCAACAAGAAGCTCATGGAGGGCCGCGAGTACATGGTGAGCACACCTCTCTGGCGCACCACCGATCCCTCCTCCGCCAAGATCAGGCGATCTCTCTCCTGCGCACCGCTGCGCGCGAGCGCTGACACGGCCTCGGCTTGCCTTTCTCAGGTCCGCAATGAGATTGCTGTCCTCAAGAAGGTCTCCAAGGGATACCGCAACATAGTCACCCTCCACGACTACTTCGAGGTCCGTCGTGATTGCCATCTATCCGGGCGTATCGCCGGCGCTGAACGGGCGTTCGTCCCAGACCGCGCACAACCTCTATCTCTGCTTCGACCTCTGCACCGGCGGCGAGCTCTTCGACCGTATATGCGCGAAGGGCAACTACTACGAAGAGTACGTCCCCCTTCCCCATTCGTCTACTTCCGTCCGTTGAGCGTCGGCGCACCCCAGAGATGCCGCCGCGCTCGTTCGCACCATCATGGGTGCTGTCAAGTACATCCACGATTGCGGCATTGTCCACCGGGGTAGGTTCGCTCGGGTGCAGTGCCGGTGGTGTGGGAATTCATTCGCTGCTTAGATCTCAAGCCCGAAAACCTTCTTTTCCGCACCAAGGACGAGGACGCGGATATCATGATCGCCGACTTTGGTCTCAGTCGGGTCATGGACGACGAGAAGTTCCATCTGCTCACGGAGATTTGTGGTACCCCCGGAGTACGAGCTTTCCCCAGTCTGCGCTCGGCCCGGTGGCTGATCTACGATTATCACAGTACATGGCGCCGGAGATCTTCAAGAAGAGTGAGTACGTGCAAGTCCCTCGTGACGTCAGGCTGATGTGTTTGTCCTTTTGCAGCCGGTCACGGAAAGCCTGTGGATGTCTGGGCGATGGGTGTCATCACGTACTTCCTCCTCTGCGGTACGTTCACGATCTTACGTCTCGATACTGTTCTTGACCATATGACAGGCTACACACCCTTCGACCGCGACTCGCAGCAGCAGGAGATGGAGGCTATCATTGCTGGTGACTACCACTTCGAGCCTCGTACGTTTCTTCCTCCCCTTCTCTCGCGCACACCCCTGAAGACGACTGTGTACAGAGGAGTACTGGGCGAACGTCTCTGAGACTGCCAAGGACTTCGTGAAGGAGTGCCTGACGATCGACCCCAGGTCCCGTCCGACGGCCGCCGAAGCACTGAAGCACAAGTGGCTCGCCTCTGATTCGCCGTACTTCGTGCCCGACCCCGACAGCCCGAGCGGCCGTCCCACGAACTTGCTGCCGCACATCCAGAAGGCGTTCGACGCGCGCAAGACGTGTACGTGTTCTCCTCCTTCTCGCGTTCACGACGCTCATCCACCGGCAGTCCGCAAGGCGGTGTTCTCGATGATCGCGACGAAGCGGATGTCTCTGCTCGCGAGCGGCGCGCCCCAAATGCACTCGTTCGGGCAGAACATCCAGAAGTTCAAGGAGGAGTCCGAGAAGGAGCAGATGAACGGGGTAGGCCCCCTACGTCTCTCGTCCCTGCACTGCGTGCTGATCCCACGCGTGAACGCACACAGGACCTGCACGTCATGCACTACGACAGCCAGGAGTCCGAAGACGACCTCAAGAAGCAGGACGACGTGTCGAAGGAGCAGGCTGAGGGCGAGATCCCACTCGTCGAACAGATGGCCAAGCTGTCCGTATGAGCGCACGCGCACCATCCCCGCGCCAGTCCGCGAGCCCAATGGACCGTGTCGTCCCGCGGTCGCCGCGTGTTTGGATAGGACCGCATCGGCATCCGTGGAGCTCTGCGGCAAGAAGACGGCGGCGCAGGCTTCGTGCGCGCGGCGCCGGCGATGCCAAGAGCCCGGGTCTCGACGAAGATGCTCAGGTAATAGGACGGAAGGAGAGGCCCGTTTGTGTATGTATTCTATAGCTACTCGCGCTCGCTGCATCTTTCGCTATGATCAATCTAAGCAACTCATCGATGGACTTTTGACACCCCGAGCGCGAAATCCGTGCGAATCGTGTGATCAGGAGCAGACCGTCTTCCCACAGAACGAACGTCCAGGAAGTGGCTTGTCTTGAGGGGTCAGTAAAAAATCCTGTTGCTTAAGGCTGCCTGATTGAGGTCGACCATGATCTTGTTTTCTGCGTCAGCTGGTGGGCAACTCCCCCCATATTGCAGCTCTCAGATGTTCCTCACGACTGTGGTATTGTATCGTCCTTTCAGGCGCATGCTGCAGGGCGGCAAGAACCTGGGCGCTGCATCAGACGGAGAGAGAGAGAGAGAGAGAGAGAGCGGTTCGGCGTCTCCCCTAAAGGGAGATACCCCGGAACCCCACTTAGACAAGCCCAGTCGCGCGCCGGCGCCCGAACTCATGCTGTGGGTGTCCCGCCGTCCGACGGGTGGCCGCACGAGCACATGTAAAGAGAGAAACGCGTGATGTCTTACTATACTACTAGGATACTGATGGGTCATCACACAACAGAAAAGTGTGCCTAGTCAAGTCGGCCAGCAGTGCTACCGCGTCAGGATCTTTGATCCAGGCCGCCAAGAAGCGCATGTCGCCCTCCCAGGACGTCGATGTTGTCCACAGGTGATGGATACCCGGGTACGCACTCTGCAGCTCCTCCAAAACAGCCTCCCTTCTCTCCACCAGATCCTCATTCGCACATCTCAGTAAGAGATGGCGCTCTGTTTCCACCCGCCCCTCGGCACAGAACCTACAGACCCGACTAAGTATGGTAAGGGATGATGTCCGGGCGCTTTTTCGTCTTATGCCGTCCCTTTTCTACCATGTACGGGTGTCATGCCGTTAGCAGACGCAGAATCGTCATGCGCTGCGATCGGGGAAGACAGAGGTACAGCTTGGTGGTACACAGGGCAGAGAGTGGGGGGTTGTCCCTGTACGACGGCAGGAGCGCAAGCCTCCACAGAGTGAGGCGCCTTGTTGCGCGTACAGGTGGGTTCGGAGGGCGCCTTGGATTGCGTCATCGACCGCGTCGCACCGTTCCGCAGAGGGGGAGTCGCGCGCTGCTCGTCATTGCCACGTGAGCATGCAAGGCTCTGTCTGGAGTAGGCTCAGTCGTCTCAGGACTCACCGCCGTGGGCAGCCTATGCAACGACCACAGGAAATCAGACCACCAGGTGGGGGAGCCAGCAATCGCGAGCTCGCGTGCGGTGTCCAACGCCAACTTGGGCAGTACTGCGGGGCCCAGCGCCACTGACCGGAGGAAACGCGCCGCGATTAAGATTCCGGTCGACACGAACAGGGGCACCAGCAGGGATACGTTGGACAGTCCGAGGGTCCTGCACAGGAACGTGTGGAGGACTGCATTGAGCTCCGCGAGGTCACTGGGCCGCGCAACCGGGTCGAGCGCAGCGCCTGCAATGAGGTGATGGTCAATGTGGGCATAGTATAGGGAGCGCACGATGAGCGGTGGAAGGTCCCCGAGCGTCGTCGCCAGCGCGAGGCACGCGTTCGCCTTTGTCACCTCCTCAAGAGAGGAGCGAAGTAGGAGGAGAGACCCTGACAGGCCCGTCAGCGTCTGCACACCCCAGAATGAAGAGGGCAGGGGCCCATAGCAGGCCGCGCAATCGCGCAGGCCGCGCCATTCGCGGCGGCGGCGCCCCACACAGGATATGGACTGAGAGGTGCAGCGCATACAGCGTGGAGATAAGTGTCGGGGCGCGAAGCGAAGCCCACGGAAGCTACTACACGAGAAATTGGCCCAAAAAAAAGGGGGCGCACAATCAAGGAGACGGGGCGAGGCGAGGCCGCCGAGGGCACGATACGAAGCCCTCTGCAGCTGTACAAGACCTCGGGGCGCGATACGAAGCCCCAAGGACATGCGCAAGTTGGGAGACAAGATGAGACGAGACGAGCGAGACGGCCGAGGGCGCGATACGAAGCCCTCTGCCGCTGCACAGAAACCCAGGGCGCGATACGAAGCCCCACGGACACACGCAAGTAGGGAGACGAGACGAGAGGCACTCACGGACTCTGGAGGCGGAGGACTAAAGCCGGCCTTGCGCGGAAGCGTTGATAGGGACGGAGACGGCTTCCGCGAAGGAGACGTTCTCCGGGATCTTTCTCTCGGCTTTGGAGAGAAACACTCAGCAGAGAGAAAGAGAGGTTGGGCGCAAGGGGCGGTGGAGACAAGCGAGCGGAGGAGGGACGGCTAAGCGCGGGAGAGAGACCTGTTCAAAGGCCCAATCGTGACGTGACCGTGTTGGTCGCTGACGCGTAGCGTCACATTTGACGTGATCTGTGACATATATTCATACGGTCACAGCACGTGACCGTCGCCAATATGATTTTCGTTGCCCTTCAAAGTGCACGTCTTGTGTTGTTTTCCGCCTCGATGGATCCTCTGACGTCTCGCGAACTCACCTCAGTTCTTCGCTCTATGGGAGTCGATCTCCCGAGGCATGTCACTTTCCCAAAAAGCACGCTCAAGAAACGTCTGCGCTTCGCGCTCAACGCCGCACAGTACCGCTTCCGCCTCCCGCCCTCGCTCGACCTGACGAAACCCGTCGAATGGCCGAAACCGTCGTGGAACCTTGCCATCTATTCCCGCGTGGACTACTTCTACATCCCTCCCGAGAACGGCGACCCTATGCCTGTGTTCTCCCACATCCCTAAGGAAGACCGCACCGAGCAATCGCTCGTGCCCATCGTCGAGCGTGGCCCGGCTGAAGAGTCCAAGCGGCTGTACGAAAGCAGCCTCGCCCGGATGCCGCACTTCCAGCGCGAGCCCGTCGCGAGCCCGTTCTCCAACATCCGCATGGTCGTCACCGAGCTCGCGAAGATGACGGACTGCGGGTCGTCCTGGCTCGTGCTCGACGCGAGCGACAAGCGCGGACACTTCATCAACGTGCGGGTGCGTCGCGCGGTTCTCGTCCCTTCCGCGTCTCTCTCACGCGTCACGCGTCCCCACGCGCAGGTCGTGTCGATCCGGATGGTCCACGACCGCGTCCCCGCGTTCGTCGTCCTCTATCGCGCCTTCGCCCGGTCGCCCGCGCGGAGCGACGCCCGCCAGTGGGCGCTGGGCCGGTCGACCCGCACCGGCCGACCCCGGAGGTGAACCGGTTCGTGATGCCGCTGCTCGCGGTGAAGGCGAGCCTCAAGCTGCTCCGCATGAACGAAGGGCTCGTGCCGCCCGACTTCCCGGCGCAGCGCGGGCCCCTGGAGGACGGCTACGCGCTCTCCGTGCTCTTCCCGGTCGGGCCCTTGCAGGACGACTCGCGCTGGCGGCTCGAGGTGCTGCTGTTCTGCGAGGTGTGCCGGGGCACGGACGTGAAGGAGTGCACGCGGTGCTTCTCCGTGGCGTACTGCAGCACAGGTGCGTCCCCGTTCGGCGGCCGGGGCCCAGTCCGCGCTTTTGATCTCCTCTGCGCACCCCGCACCCCGCACCCGCACCCGCACCCGCACCCGCACCCCGACCCCGCAGAGTGTCAACGTGCGCACTGGGCGACACATCGCGACGGCTGCGTTCCTCGCGCTGGGGGGACGTGGTGCACCCTGCAGGCGGCCAACGACTACCTGTGGTCCAAGCCCGAGCTGTTCGGGCTCAAGCCCGACTACATCGGCACGACGCAAATCCACGAGCGGAGCCCGCAAAACGACCCAACGCTCACCGCTCAAGACGTTCTCGCCGCCCGTCAGACGGACCCGCTGCGCAACGTCTGGGGCGACAAGCCGTTCGTGGTGAAGATCGCGCTCCCGGACGCCGCGGCGCGCCCGCCTCAGCAGGTGTTCGTGTCCGACCGCCGGAGCTCGTTCACCTTCTACTTCGCGTCCTCGATGGACGCGCCGGCGTTCGCGACGCTCATCTCCGAGATGAGCGGGCCGCGTGGGGGGTTCGGGGGCAAGAGGATGTATCGATGGGCGCGCAGGATCGGAGACTGGACTTACAGCGTCTGCGTGGATCGGATGCCAGCGCCGGAGATGATCGGCTGGTGAGTCTCGCGCGAGTCTGAGGACATTACTGGAATGCATCACCTCGATATATGTACTGTTCTTAGTGGACGCGCCATTGAGGCTGGTCAACGCCATAATTTTGTGCCCACGTGATTGTCATATACTAGTGGCTTGATTTTGTCGATTGCGAGACTCATCCTCCCCCGATGGCCTCGTTTTTCATAAAGCAGAAAATTCACACTGTGCTGTACTCCGGGCGATTGTCATAGACCTCCCGCCGAACTTCACTAGCAACAAATCACCTCTAGTATCTACTCTATCACAGCCAGCCAAAATGTATGCAAGTACGGGGAGCACTGAACGATCGAAAGACCACGATTCCCAGCACTTCAAGTACTCAGTCACTTTGGTGAATCGATGCGCTGATTCCGATGCTATGTAGGACATGGCGCCCAGGCCATGCTGCGAACGTGAATATCAGCCGCGTAGAGGCCACAGGGAACGACGTAACGTGCGCAGATGTTGAGCGTTTGCCTGACCAGTGCCGTGGTCGGCGTGTCGCGATCTTTGAGCGCCACGATGGAATGGAAGCTCGTACGTAGCTCTACGAAGATACTTACAGTTCTGGCATGAATTCATCATCATCATCATCATCAGCTCGACGATAATCCGACCTGGAAAACGCTCGCCGCAGGGTGATGTACGACGAGTCTCATGAGCGAGCTGTATTACCAAGGTTTGAATAATACGCCGTGCGCTCGGACATAGGAAATCCAGCTGAAGAGCCGAGGGATGTTAGTCATACGAGCAACCAGTCACTGAACCATACTCCGATATCGCGGTATGATCTAACCCTGGCGCAATTACTAGTAGGAAGACCTCTGGAACCGACGTTCGAAGACACCTACACACTCACGTGTACTCAACATGCCTCCAACCTACGAGATCGCCCCCGCTCCAGGTGCTTCGTTTTTCACCCATGTCCAGGTTCCCGTCGCCGGTACAGCGCCGGCTTCTGTCCAGAAGAAGGCCCTTCCGAAACTATTCCAGCCTATCAAGATCCGCGGAGTCGAATTCCAGAACCGCCTCCAGGTAAGTGCCATGTCGGCAGGGAGTCGTCGTACTCTCCCGCACACAGCTCACCCCTGGCATCGGGCAGGTCTCCCCAATGGTGATGATGTCCGCCACCGCCGACGGCGCCATGACGCCCTTCAACAGCGCGATGCGTAAGCCCCCCACCCACTCGACCGAAAAAAAACCCAACCTCCCCTCCTGCATGCAGTCGGCGCCAAGTTCATCCACGGCCCCGGCCTGACCTTCACGGAGGGCACCCTCATCTCGCCCGAGAGCCGTTCCACTCCGCATGACCTTGGACTCTGGTCGGACGCGCACATCGCCGGGTTCCGCTCCGTCGTCGATCTCGCGCACAGCCAGGGCCAGAAGCTCGGCGTCCAGCTCGGGCACTGCGGCCGCAAGAGCTCGCAGACGCCGCTCTGGCACGCCGCCCACGAGCTCATCCCGCCCGCGCGCGGCGGGTGGACGGACGACTTCGTCGCGCCCTCGGCGCTCGCCTACGACCCGGGCCACGGCGAGGCGGGCGCGGTCCCGCACGCGCTCACCGTGCCGGAGATCAAGGAGGTGGTGCGGACGTGGGCGGCGGCGGCGCGGCGCGCGGTCGCGGCGGGGGTCGACGTCGTCGAGGTCCACGCCGCGCACGGGTTCTTGCTGCACAGCTTCATGAGCCCGGTGGCGAACGCGCGCACGGACGAGTATGGCGGGAGCTTCGAGAACCGGGTGCGGCTGCTCCTCGAGGTCGTGGACGCCATCCGCGCGGTCATTCCGGAGGCCATGCCGCTGTTTGTGAGGTGGGTTCTTGGCGCTATGGACGAATGGAGGCTGGAGCGTGGATGCTGACGAGCGCGCAGGGTGTCTGCGACGGACTGGCTCGAGAAGGTACTCCCGGAGGAGATGTCGTGGACGATCGAGGACACCGTCCGCCTCGCGAAGCTTCTGTCTGACCACGGCGTGGACGTCCTCGACGTGTCGTCTGGCGGCATGGACCACCGCCAGAAGATCGAGGTGGTGAGCGCCGCCTACCAGGCGCACTTCTCGGAGGCGGTCAAGAAGGCCGTTGGCGACCGTCTCTTCGTCACTGCGGTCGGAGGGATCAGGGATGGGCACATTGCGGAGGACGTGCTCGAGAAGGGACAGGCGGACGCGGCGATGGTCGGGACGGCGTCGTTGAAGAATCCGGCGTTCGTTCTCGAGTTTGCGGAGCAGCTGGGCGTCGAGGTGAAGCCACCGCACCAGGTAGACTGGGTCTTGTACGGGCGCGGAAGCATGTGGAGGTGGAAGGATTAATAATTGAAGCGTTATCGCGTGTGTCCAATTCATGACGTATGATGGGAGCCGGAAATGTTCCACCAAAAGCGAGCATAGTCTTGCGTCACGTACGCGCAACCGGACAAAGTACGTCGCGATGGTGGAAGTTGTGGAACAAGACGCACTCACTCTGTAGCGCCCTAATGCGGAGCGCGCTTCCTCCACAATTTTGGGGTCCGCTTCACGCCGGATGCGAAGTTCGACCTGGAATGTTATGTGGAGGGCAAGCAAGACGAGGAGGACGCGCGTCGCACGCGGGTGCAAGGCGCCCACGGAGGGTCGGCCGACCGTGCGCCACGTGGAATCCTCAATAAGTGCCGGCTGTCCCCGAGGGCCCGAAGTCTAGTTCGCGCCCTTGCCTGCCCTTGCTCGCATCCTAGTCTCTGCGCTCGCCCCAGTCTCACCATTCTCATGTATGCACACCATATTTTAAAACTCATGTACAGGTCTTGTTCGGGGCCTTCAAGGGAACAACTCATCTCGCCCTTCCCCTCCCCTCCTTAAAAGAACCTCACCATGCCCCTCCACTGCACATCGCTCCCCCAGCACAGTTGCTCGGACTCAGCGTGTCCATCGACACCCCCGCCCTCCTTTCCCAAGTCGCACCAGCACCATGCTCGCTGCTCGTCTCGTCTCCTTTATCCTGGCCGCCGTCGCCTTCTCCAATGCAGACGCGCTCCACATCCGGCGCGACTCTGCGCCCATGTCGCTGCCCTTCGTCCGGCGGGTGAACACGACGGGTGTCCCGAGCATCATCCAGCATGACCAGGCGCGCGCAAAGGTCCTCAAGGCGAACCGGGCGGAGACGCGCGGGTTTCAGCAAGCGGCCGTGTTCAACGTCCCGGCGACGAACCAGGCGGTCGACTACACGACGACGGTGAGTGCCCCCCCAAGGTGCAGGGTGTCGTCCGTCGGGAAAGCTGACAATGCGTCTGTTCCTGATAAGGTCACCGTCGGATCGCAGACCTGTACGTGGGGCTCCTCCAGGATCTTGAGAACACGCCAAGACTCACTTATTCCTGCCTCTGAACAGTCGAATTGCTCATTGACACGGGAAGCTCCAACACTTGGGTTGGTGCGCAGTCCGATAACCCCCTCCAAGGTGGTCGGACCACCGGAAACACTGTGGTGTGTATTTAGTATCATGATACTTGAGTGTCGCTTAATCTGGGCGTCCATTAGTCTGTTGAATACGGCTCTGGCTTCTTCACCGGTACGTAGTTGGCCACTCTTTCAATCCATACATACTTGATAGGTTCCTCACAGGCAAGGAGGTTTTCGATACGGTGACGCTAGCCAACGGCCTCACCATCGCGAATCAGTCCATCGGTTCTGCGTCTGACTCCAAAGGTTTCAATAATGTTGACGGAATCCTTGGGTCAGCACGTCTGTGTGGCTTTCCCTCGCCGAAAATCCTCACTAGTGCTATTTTACAGCATCGGCCCGGTAGATCTGACGTGCGGTAAGTCGAAATGAAATACGGGCTACGGACAGTCGACGCTCAACGTCTCCCTCAGGCACGCTCCGGTCCAACAAGAGCGCGTGCATCCCCACAGTGACCGACAACGCATTTTCTCAGGGACTCATCTCCACCCACGTGGTCGGCATCTCCTTCAATCCCACCACGACGATCGGGAACACCAACGGCGAGCTCACGTTTGGTGGGGTCGACACGAGCAAGTTCACCGGCACGCTCAACTATGTGCCCATCACCTCAACTTCTCCGTCCAGCCACTACGTGGGCATCGATCAGTCGATCACGTACGGGACCGCCGACGGAACCACTGTGCTCCCCGCGACGAGTGGGATCACCGACACCGGGACGACGCTGCTCCTCCTTGCCACTGGTGCAGTTCAGGCGCGATCGAATTTATCACGCCCCTATTGACTCGGCATTCTTCAGACGCGTATGAAACGTACATGGACCTCACCGGCGCCGTGCCAGACAAAGCGACGGGTCTGCTTTCGCTCACACCGGCGCAGTTTGGGAACCTCCAGAGCCTCTTCTTCCACATCGGCGACGTGAGTCACCCCGCCACGCCCGCGGCGCCCAACCCGTCACTGACAGATGTCGCGCCCGCAGAACACGCTCGAATTCACGGCCAACGCGCAGGCGTGGCCGCGTGCGGTACGTGACGCTGGCCTCCTGCTGCCTGCACCAGGGAACAGACGCTGACAAGTCGCACATCGTCCGCCCAGCTCAATGCCGCGATCGGCGGGAAGAGCAACCTCGTGTATCTCGTCGTGGCCGACATGGGGAGCTCGAGCGGCGAGGGCTTCGACTTCGTCGACGGCCAGACGTTCCTGGAGCGCTTCTACCACGTCTACGATATCGCGAACAGCAGAGTCGGTTTCGCGACCACACCGTTCACGTACGCGACGACGAACTGAACATGAGCGATGATCGCAGCCTTCATCTCTTGGAAGTGCGCTCAGCAGAGCGCGACGCTTGACGGAAGGGGAAGTTCGTTGCTTTGTTGCCATCTTGTCGTGACACTCGTTTTTAGTACGTATAAGTATACGCGTTGCAATCAAACCGGGACACCAATCGCCCTCCAGTGTGCCTTAGTTGAAGCGGATCCGTCCACCGCGTACCCCGCGCGCCGCCACGACGTCGCCCTGGGCACCCGCGCCGTCGTGCCCACGATATCCAGCAGCTCGTCCCCACCCTTCCCCATCGCGCACGTCCACTCTCAGGCCACGGTGGAAGTTGTGGAACAAGTCGACGCGCCCACTCTGTAACCCCCGAAGACGGAGCGCGCTTCCTCCACAATTTGGGGTCCGCTTCATGTCGGATGCGAAGTTCGACCTGGAATGTTGTGTGGAGGGCAAGCAAGCTCGAGGAGGACGCGAGGGGGCGCAAGGCGCCCACGGAGGTTGGAGTCCCCGATAGGCAGAGCCCAAGTTGTCCCGGCTGTGGGCCCCGAAGTCTAGTTCGCGCCCTTTGAGCCTGCCCGCCAGCCCTTGGTTCCCGACGTCGATAAGCGCCCGCACGCCGAGGTCGACCGCAAGCCGCGTACACGTAGTACAAAGACCACTGGCCTCCTGCGCTTAACCTCATCTCTCTCTCAGCCCTTTCTCCCGCGTGCGCACATGGCGCGCCGCCTTCTCCTTCACTTCTCCGACGACTCAAAGCGCGACGACTTCGATGCGGCCTGCGGACCCGGGCCCCGAAGACGACCCGACTTCACTTTCGCGGGTGGTGCTTCGCGGGAACATGTACTCGACGCGGGAGGCGTGCGCGGCGCGAGAGACTCGGCCGTAGTCGGATCTCGCGCTACATTTATCATCAGTCTATGGTTCATTGCCAAGGTTCTCGAAGGCTTCACGGTCTGTATGGCTCCGACATAGGACGGCGAGCAGCGGCCGCGGTCGTGCAACATCATCCTCATTATGGAGGCGTGCAGTCCACAGTCGTGCACACCGCACAGGAGAGGCGCAGTTTTAGCAATTTGAGCGACGTGGGCACTTGTTAAGCACGCATGGAACAGGTTCGCTGGCGGGCAGCGGCGACCGGGGATTTCTCAAATCGACGCTTGTCTCGGCGAAATCGAACGTCCTGACTACATACAGAAACACAGTGCAGCGCTCACCAGCCTGTCCACTCCGCCGGAGGCGCGCGATCCAAACAAATGTCGTACGTCCATTCGCCCGTTCTCTTCGCCCAGCGATAGATCGTCGGTATGCCATTCTCGTCGCGCGCCCCACGCACTTCAGCAAACAGCTCACGCAGGGACTCGTTCCTGCCACGACCCAACGAGAACAGGAGAACACGGCGGCTGTCGCATATGAGCAGCTCCCCAGGCTCCGGTTCGAATATCCGCATGAGGAACAGCTTTTCACTGCGGCGGGGGCCAGACGGCGTCTGTCTTGACGCGGAACGTTCGGGTATAGAGCCTTCGATCCGAACTGGATCCAGCGAAGCAAGCGGGACCTGGAACCGCGAGGGCTCGCAGTAGACGAAGGCACCCTGGACGGCGACCCAGCGTCCACCTGTGCGAGGCAGGCAAGTCTTGCTGTGTGCATCCCAATGGGCGCGCTGGCAGTCTGTCAAGGCAAAAGTCCATCAAATGGATGGGCTGGGATGGGCACGTCGTAGGGGGGAACACACCTCTGCCGCAATACGCCGCCATGAAGCATTGCGTGCACTCCTTCACCGGCCTCCGTTTGCACACCGCACAGGAGAACGTCCGAGCCTTCAGCTCCAGCAACGCTATTTGAGGCGGTGCCGATGGAGGTGACAGCGCGGAGATCTTGTAGGCTGCTTCCCCCGGCTGGAACTGAATGGGAAAGTCGTTTGGTACGACGTCTTCGTTCATTCGAAGCAGCTTGACGAGGAGCCGCAGCGCAAGCGGGTGGAGCAAAAAGTTGTTCCCGGCTATCTTCGCTTTGTCCAAGGATTGGTAGCGCGGCGGGGTCCACGAGACCTCCGTGCTTTGCTGCACCGCCCACCGCACGTGCTCATCCACCGCAGGCGAGCCGGGCTCAGGCCGCCGAAAGCCGCGGTAGAGCACGACGAAGACGGGCGCGCGCCGGTGCACTTTACGCACAGAGACCACCTACATGGTTGGAGTCAGACGTGCACGCGTGAGGGGCGATTCGACAAGCGAGACGCAAGCTACAAGCATGAACCGAGGGAGCAACTCACCCGGACGTTGACGCACTCCTCTCCGGCGCCGAACACGATCCAGGGCGAGCCACAGTCGTACAGCTTCGCGAGCTCGAGGACGGCCGTGCGCAGACCCACGATCGGGTCTGGCCCGGATCCGGGGCGGAACTTGCGCCCGTATCTGTCCCCGACGTTGAACACGTCGGCGGACTCCTCGAGCCCGTCGCGCTCGACGGCCTGGGCGAGTGATGTGGGGTCGTGTGCGATGGCCGGTGACGCGGCGCGACTGGGAGTATAGTACTGCTTTTGGCGGCGTTTCTGGACTGCCAGCGAAGATGGGGGCCACTCCGGGAGTGTTGTCAGGTCGAGGACAGGGGCGAGGCGGAAGCCGTGCTGGCAGGTGTCGAGCACGAGTCGGAGGTACTTTCTGAGCTCCTTACGGGGCGCGTCCTCGATCTCGATCTTCATTGCGCACAGCGCAGATTTCACCTCGTCCAAAGTCATCCGGTCCATGGTGAAAACGTGTGGCGTGGTGGGCGGACGGGAGCAGGTCTGGGCGTCTCACTTAGCAGCAGGGGCTGAAAGCATTATGAGATAAGATTAGATAACGCAGATCAAGTCCGCTATCGCCGTCTACCCATTGCGAGATGCGCGTCTATCTGGTATCCACCCCATTCACTGTGAGCATAGATGTGGATTATAATCACCCGGGCGCAATGGGTTCTTTTAATCCACGTCGTGGGTGATTGCAATCAAGCGCCGGTTACTTGCAACCACTCGTGCGTGTTAATGTGCGGGGTGATTATACCCCCGGATATTGCCGGAATCACTGGCGACCCCATCCGCCGTCTCGCGCGAAATACCGCAGGTTATTTGCACCCCCCCAGGGATTTTCACCTCCCCATGTTGTGGGTTATTGGTAACCACAGCGCACTGCCTCGAATCACTGGGTTTGGACCCCATTCCCCCTCTGTAGCCGTCGGTAACGGCGGTACAACACCGTCATGTTGCCGTCGGTAACGGCCATACGAGCTCGTACGAGTTCCGGTCGTGTAGCCCGTCGGTAACGGTCGTACGAGCTCCCGTTATGTACCCCGTCCGAGACGGTCGTACGAGCTCCCTCAGGCGGCACCCACCATATTTCTGGTAATGAATGTAGCACGTAGCCACGTACGTTCTGAGCCCAGAATGCCCGCTTTTACGGCCACGCGTGCGGTGGTTACCGCGCGGGGATGCACACACTGCCGGAGCTCGTACGAGCGCGTACCCCGTCCGAGACGGTCGTACGAGCTCCCTCAGGCGGCACCCACCATATTTCCGGTAATGAATGTAGCACGTAGCCACGTACGTTCTGAGCCCAGAATGCCCGCTTTTACGGCCGCGCGTGCGGTGGTTACCGCGCGGGGATGCACACACTGCCGGAGCTCGTACGAGCGCGTACCCCGTCTGAGACGGTCGTACGAGCTCCCTCAGGCGGCACCCACCATATTTCCGGTAATGAATGTAGCACGTAGCCACGTACGTTCTCAGCACAGAGTGCCCGCTTTTACGGCCGCGCGTGCGGTGGTTACCGCGCACCGAGGAAAACAGTGCCAGAACCTGTATGAGCTCCCTCTGGCGGCATACACCGGAATTGCGGTAATGGATGCAGTAATAGCCGCTTATGTGCCGAGGACAGAACATGTCGTTTTATTGCCGTGCGTGCGGTGGTTTACTGTGTGGTGAGAAAAACACTCCCGGAGCTCGTTGTATTCGCAAAGCAAGTCAATTACATAAAAACCCAAAGCGTAATCGATATAACGCACAGAAGCATATTCAAAGCTTTTCTATACTCTACCAACCAAGCAAAGACATAGTGTATTTCAACACCATATCACGGTCCGCGCGCTACTCACGGTCGGAGATGTGTTTCAACAAGCGTTTGAAGGCGGGAGGAGCGACCCCACGATCCCCTTTGTCAATATCCATCCTCTCATAAGTTGGGCGCAGGGTCGGATCCTGGAGCTGCCGCGTGAAAGCCCGCGGTGATGACGAGGAGGTGGAGGGGACGCCAAGGCTCCGAGCGAATTCCGGTGGCGAGGAAGACGGCGGGAGTTCGAGACCACGCGTGAATTCCGGTGGCGAGGAAGACGGCGGGAGTTCGAGACCACGCGTGAATTCCGGTGGCGAGGAAGACGGCGGGAGTTCGAGACCACGCGTGAATTCCGGTGGCGTGAGTTCAGCCACACCTGAGAGACCTTGTTCGCGAGTGAACATTGGCAGTGTGGAGGTAGGCGTTGACGGGCGGGCGAGTTGCCGGGTGAATGCCGGTGGTGACTGCACTACCGGTGCAAGCGTTCCACGGAAGACCGGCGGCGAGGAAGTTCCGAGGGCGAGCTCTCGGGTGAATGCCGGGGTGGAGGGTGTAGCAGTCACGGGCATTCTGAGTTCCCGAGCAGACCATGAGGGCGGCGAATCGGGCATTGAGGGGTGCGCCAGCGGTCGTGAAAACGGGGGCGGTGAGGAGAGCGATGTCGATGGAATGGAAAGACCCCGCGTGAATGACGGCGGCGGAGAGGGGTGAATGGCGAGCTCGCGGGTGAATGCCGGTGGGGAGTGCACGGCAGTCGCAGGTGCTGCGAATTGCCGATGGAAAACCGACAACGCCGGGTCGGACGTGGCTACCAACCCAGCTGAGACCGCACCCATCAGGCCGCCCTGCCAGCCGGCGGTGAACCACTTTGATGGGGCGGTTGAGGAAGAGGAAGGGGAGTTGAGTGTCCGGGTGAACACCGGCGGTGGTGGAGTTGATGAGGAGGCGAGAAGTCCCCCATGCGTGGAAGCCGATGGCAAAGGGGCTAGCTCACGCGTGAATGCCGGCGGTGGCGATGGCGCAAGGGCTAGCCTACGCGTGAATGCCGGGGGTTGCAAAGGGGGCGTCGAGGGGCGCGCCAGCGTCCGGGTGAAGACTGGTGGAGAGTCGAGAATTATGGGGGACACGAGTGCCGAGTCCACGACCGGCGGGGGCGGGGCTAGTTCACGCGTGAATGCCGGGGGTTGCAAAGGGGGCGTCGAGGGGCGCGCCAGCGTCCGGGTGAAGACTGGTGGAGAGTCGAGAATTATGGGGGACACGAGTGCCGAGTCCACGACCGGCGGGGGCGGGGCTAGTTCACGCGTGAATGCCGGGGGTTGCAAAGGGGGCGTCGAGGGGTGCGCCAGCGTCCGGGTGAAGACTGGTGGAGAGTGGAGAATGGTGGGGGACGCAACCGCCGAGTCCGCTACCGGCGATAGCGAGCGGTGAATTTCCTCAACGGACGTGGATGACGCAAATGCCGAGTCCACCCCCGGCGATGGCGAGCAACAATCCTTCTCGTCAGAAGTGGCCGGTAACGACACACTTCGTGCTCCCCCCTGAATCTCCCACAAGCTCAGCTTGTGATCTTCCACGATGACCGGTTTCTAAAGAAGATAAATTTGTTAGAGATGCAGAGGCGAATGGCCATGAACACTCACTATGGGGTAGTGTTCCACTATACCATAGAAGACTTCTATGCGATGTGTTGGCTCTGTTTCGCGCGAGAAGGCTTTGACACAGTCGAAGATGTTACTAAGCAGGGCTACCGCAACGGCAAGACCAGACGGGAAAGGGCCGGCTTCACGGAAATATTCGTGAACAAACCAGTCGGTGTGAGTCTGGCGGACCGACACTTCTACGGTATGAGCGATTCGGATTGCTGTTCGCTTGGCAATCTCGAGAATGCCGTCATGATCGTTTTCGGGGACGCAGTGACCAATTCGGATCTCGTCACCGGGGATGTCGATGAGTACGACTATCCAGTCACCGCGAATACGCCACGGCAGGCAGATGACGCTGTCAGTAGTAAAGTCGCCACGTGCCGCGAGTCTGCCGAAGAGGTCCAGCAAGGCTACCGGTGACAGTTGCGTCACGATAGCGGAATAGATGTGGAAAGGGCGGGGGATGACGTGGATATTATTCCTCACGACAGCTACGACTGCGTCCATCAAGTCGTCATTGAGGTCGCAGTCGTCGGTGGTCAATTGCGAGAAGAGGTCGCACCAAGGGTGGAGCAGCGCCGGCAGCTCTAGAATGGGCTCAAGGTCTCTTTCGATGACTTCTGTGTTGACGTCTTCCTGTCGTCCATATTCGCTGACCCACTCCATTCCACGCTCGACGTTGGACCGAACGGTATGGACGTTACGCAGGCGTCGCCACAAGTCCAATAACCAGAGGGGTAGCGGAGTGCCGCGATCGCCGGGATGGATTGCCGAGCGGAAGGTGCTCGGCAATGCTCGGACAATATCCACCTTCGGTATTGGAACGGAAGTGGCGGTGGAGTAGTGGTCTACGAAAAAGACCCACGGTGGCAGACTTTCGGCGGCGACGGGTGGGGCGGTTGAGTACGAGATGGGGCTTCCGGATGCCCAGGCCCGTGGGGCTACTCCAGAGCAGAATCGCTGGTTGAGAAGCTGGCGTACAGTTGTGGCGTCCGAGGGGACTACCTGTTGGATCAGCTTCTTCGGTGCTGTCTTTGTCTCCCAGTCGGCGAAAGACACGTCGAGGATGTCCTCGTACTGTGCAGGTATTTCGGCATCTACAAACAATTCAGGAGTGTTGGCAGACGTGGCTTTGCCGACACGTACCGTCGACCGGTGATGGAACTACAATGGCCGGGGTATTAGATTTGGTTGTGGAGCAATACAGCTACACGTTACCTAGAACTCGAAGGCTATATTTCGTTGTCATTCTTGCAGTGGCGTGTGTTGAGACAGAGGGGAGGTTAAAATTGTGCGAGAGGGGTGAGGAGGAGCAGATGAATTACGTTTGGTTCGACTGGCGGCAGTGCCTAACTCCGCGTGTGATCCCGATACAGATCGGAAGACTGTTACGTCATCAATGGCATGTTGAAAGACGTGGCGTCTGTGTTCAAACTCTCCCACTTCCAACCACCGAGTTGACAACCCGCACACGCGCCTCTACCTTATCACCGCGTCGCACAGTCTCCCTCCATCACTACCGAACATCTCCCGACATGTCCGCCACGCCCTCCACGATGGAAATGCTGACAGTGTGCCGCGCCACCACGAAGATCCACTACGCACTCTGTCGCCGTCCGAATCAGACCGACAAGGGCGAGAAGTTGGCAAACTGGTTCAAAAACTTCTTCGCCGCGCTCGACAGCGCGTACGACTTCCAGGCAGAGTACAAGTTCAACACCTGGCCGTGCTACACCCTCGGCGCGTTCTACGAGTACGAAAAAGGCAGGCGAGTCAAAGAATACAAGGCGTCTCCTTTCAATATCGTACCCATTGCCGACACCATGGCCGCCAAGAAGGCTGGGTACGACTTCGATTTGAAGATCGTCGGTAATGATCACGGCGACATATGGGTCCTCCCAACCGATGAAATTGACCTCGGCTGGTGTTACGACCGTAAGTGTGCGATTTTTTAAATCCTCTTTCAAATTTTCTGAATGCCGGTTTGAGTAGACGCGACTGTCACGAACGCGCCCACATCGCAGGGCAAAAACGTTGCCACTGAAGGTGCGCTATCAATTTTCTTCTCTCCTGGTCTAAGCCGCTAATGATGCATTCTAGGCGCTAAGAAGTTGGGCGGCACGAGGTCCGGAAATGCGAAGAGTGCCGGAAGTGCCACGATTGCCGGTGGGTCGGAGACTGCCGGTGGCGAAGAGACAGCCGGTTCGTCGAAGACCACCGGGGCATCAAAGACTGCCGGTGCATCCAAGACTACCGGCACGCCGAACATTTCCGGTCTTCCGGACACTTCCGGCAACACGAACGTGCCCGAGAGTTCCACCACCGGCACGACTCGGAACAGCACGGTCAAGAGGTTTCACGCAAGGATGTCCAGGACCACTAAAAGTAAGTCCACGCGAAGATCGCTCATAGTAGATCTAATTGCGTTCTTCAGAACCTGCACCAACCGGGAAGGCGGGGTGCGTACAACACTCTGTATACGTCACAGATAGTATCATACTGATTTTGTACCAGCAGTCGTAAGACGAACAAAGACAAGAAGGGCAAGGGTCGGGCTACGGCCCAGCCGACCACCGACAATGAAGTCGGCGATGCGGCAGAGGAAGATAATGACGAGAGTGAGGAGGATATTCCTATCGAAGGTATATATGGTTCCCATCGGCGACCCTTCTAACAATGAAAAACTAACGCCCGATCAGACGTTCGCAAAACCCGGAAGAAGGTCGTGACCTTCAAAGACCCCGACACTCCGGCAGCGCCGAACAAGAGGAGGGCCCCATCCAGAACGCCAGACGAACGGAAGAAGGCGCCGACGACACAGCCCAGGGCCAACACCGGTTCTCCAGATGCACCCCCGATCAAGGACGACGAGGACGCCACCACGAAGAAGAAGGTGAAGAGGGTAACTCGGCCGAAACACCCTGGGAACATTGCGCCCGAACCCAACTTTGAGCCCTTCCCGAACCACAAAGATCGGATACCCGTGGGGGTCATTAAGAAGGACGGGGTAAGCCTGCTAAGCCCGATATCTCATTACCGACCTCACCGATGATTTGATTTACAGCCGAATCAGCACCTCCGTTGTGAGCGCTGCAAAGCCGGCGGTACCGACTGCCGGTTCTTCGTCTTCGACGGGACATACTGCTGTGGCTGCCGAGTCAAGAAGGTGGCCTGCGAAAACTCGCCAATCGCGCACGGAAAGCTCGCAGCTGCGGCATACCGGGCGTACCGGGCTGCCGTTCAATTGGCGAACCCAGCGAGGTATCCGGATCCGGTTTTGCTCTCCCGCCTATTGTTGGGTCTACAGGACTGCGACATCGTGAACTGGTTTTTTGACTGGTTCTGGGACTTTTACGAGCTGAACGACGAGGAACGCGACAGGAGGATCGCAAACTCGGCATACCATCTCGAGCTCCATGTGGAGGGGTGGACAACTCCGATCAAGAGAATTCCCGGTGATGTCGAGGTTACCAAGGTAATTACGATTTCCGTCAACGTGTTCATGTCTGCTAATGATGTTTTAGGACTCGGTTGATTATCCGAAACCTCGCAGGGAAAGAAAGTCTGGCAGGGGCAACAAGTCTTCTCACACCAGTATGTATTTTTTTGTCCGGAGTGCTGGGTCCTGATTACCTATACTATAGCAGAGGAGGTCGTCGACACTGACGCGGAGATGACGGAGGCCGAAGGAGGTCAGTCCCGCAGCGCCGGTATATTGATTACTGGCTCTGCGATAGTTCCATCACCGCTTGCTCGGTGCTCATCCCTTCGGCTTAGACGACCGTGGCTCTTCCGAACCGCCTGCCAAGAAGAGGTGCGTTAACGGAAGATCCAAGTCCGTTCCATCAACGCACTCTCACGTGCGTCCTCCATCGCCGGCATTGGATCCGCGCAACCAGCCGCCTCCGCCACCTGGTATGTCCTTTTTCTTGCAACCTGGTGTCGGCTCATACCGCGCCAGGTTTCGACTTTCGAAATGTTCCATTGACAACTCGCGTGCCAGTGGACCCCTTGCGCGACTTCCAGCCTGAATCACATGTGGCCTTTCCCACAGTCGAAGCCACTATGCGCGCGATGCAAGCCCAGATGAACGAGATGGCGCGCGAAATTGCGATTCTCAGAGCGGCCATGATCCCCAGTAGGTCCCATTTCCTTGGCCCATAACAGCATGCTAATAGAGCGGCGGTCTAGATCAGTCCGGTAATGCCTTTGCCGGTGGTCCGTTCATGTGGCCGGCAATCCCGAACGGTGCGTCCGGCAATGATTGCTCACCTGCCATGATGGGCTGATTACATTTTGCCTAGTCAACCCGTTCGCCCAGTATCAGGCTGGGTTTTCCGGCCACGGTGGGGACGAATACTCACACAACGGCATGTACTTCAATCATCAAGCCCATGCTGCTGGTCTTTCCGGTGCCAATCAGCGGGGAGTACCGCAGGCATATGGAGGCATCGCCGACGTCAACCAATATGGCATCCAGAACGGCATGCAGTCCGCCTCCCCTTCTGGTGTGTGATGGAATTTTGGTACGCCTCACTTTCATGCTAAGCATTTTCCAGGTTCTACCCCCTCTTTGGGTATGGACTGGGCCGAGATCCCTGTCGCCGCTAGTGCCGGCAACACCGGTCAGTTCGGTAATGGTCCGCTCCACGCTCCGGCGGTGTCCGGCAATGGCACTGGTGGCCTTGTCCCCCCAGTTCCGACCATCTGGCCCGTGCCGGCACTGACCATGGACGACGGCCGTCGACACAACACCGCGGGAACGGTTTTACCTCCTGCGGGACCTGTCGGCACCACCCCCAAGGCCGACTCCCCTTCTCCGCCTGCTGTTGCCGTCCCTCTCCCGGTCAATGAGCTTGGTGCGAGTACATCGCCATTTTCCCCAACACCGCCACCGCCGCACGATACACAGGACGGCAAGACCTCCGAGGCCGACGGTGGCGAGGTCTCGAAGACAGACGCTCCTGCCGCCACTTCTGAGGAGCCTGCGACGGCCCACATCGAAGACATGGAAGCCAAGTCCGATGCCGGGAGCGATCCTGACGCCGATGGACAGGACGAGCTGGGCCCCAATGCCGAAGTGGAGGGTGAGATTCGTGTCGGTATTCCGTCGGTAAAGGAATCGGTAACGTTGTCCCAGGAGGCCGGTGAGGAGCAGGACATGGACATCTCCGCTTGAGTAGTCGTTGCTCCGTTGTACTATATATATTGCATTCTCTCCTCCTGGTGTCTACTTAATATCGAACGTTCATTAAAAAACGTTCACTAATGCACTCTGTTCCATGCGCGATGAATGCGGTTGTGTCGGCTGATCATTGTCCAACCTTTCAATTTCTGAGCGAGAATCCCGAGGACCGGATGTCAATACCGAACAACATGGAACGTTCCCGGTAACAGTCCCCATGGAAGGCACCGTATGTGTACGGCCGTTCCGGTAACGTTATGTATGGCCGGTAGCCGATCCAAGGGCATTGCCCTGCCCTTTGCCAACTCTGTCAAACTCTCAGCATTGCACGGATACATGCACGGCCTCTTCGGCATAGAGGCATGTCTTCCGACGGCCTTCGGCTCACCTCCCGTTTGCGCTGCACTACGGGTCGGACCGTGCCTGTGCCGTCTTGCCAGGCTTGCCGAAACACTCCATGTGTAACAACGTCGTCCACGGGCGCTCCTACGTCCACGACGTCCACGGGCGCCTCTACGTCAGTGGTTCTGAGCACGTTATATGCACTCCACCAGTATAAATATTGATTAAGAGGTTTTTGGATGACATGGGCCAATGCTTTAGTGCCTGTGGCAAATTCTAGTAGCCATAGCAAATAGCGTTCACCGCCTACGAGATATGTCATAGAAAAATGACATTGGTATCACCATATGCTGGCACACTCCCAAACGTACGCAGAGTAGCGGATAGGCCAGTATTATATTGAGCTAACGTCTCCGGGTAATATACACCGCCCTCGACCCCGCCAATATACGCCAAATATACCAATTGTTTTCTTTGCAGTAGAGATGCACACACCATGGCTGTCCTCACATTCAGGCGACCCTGGTGTGAAATAGCGAGTTCAACACATTATAAATTGCCTTGAGAAACCAATGTCCCCATTTTAAGGAGCATCTGTACAGAAATGCGTGTTGTATTGCGTTTGTTTTTATTTCAAAACATACTCAGTACTGATGGCCTCACGAACTATTCCATATATCGAACAATGGCAACATGTTTCCTTGGATAGTATGTACAATATGCAGCAAACATTTTGTCAAAAGGCTTCGAACTCGCGGAGATATGCGATTGGTGTCGACGAAGTGCTTTGCCATAAAGACGTCGGGTTTCCTCTCCTGTTCACTCCTCAAACGCAACAATGTGCCATATATCACCGCACAGTGCTCTGATCGCCGAGATTTTTGCGGCATCGGAACACTGTGGCATGTGTCTTACAATATCCAAGGTTATACGCATCCCTCTGTGTTGACACGCAGGGGATACCACAATTCATGGGTTTTGAACAAAGGTCAGGAAAAGAACGCTTGGAGCCATTAGCGATGTCGCGTCTATTCGCCGGTTATCTGAGTGCGGTAGAGCCCTAGTGGCATACGGCTGAACACATACCGATTTTCATATATGTTTATTACCTATCTGCAAGCAGTACAACCATCCCACCACGTTAGAAAACGTTTGTGGGAGGTGAGATCGTGTTTGAGAAGCTCACAGTCGCTCCGACAGCAACATCAAACCTTGGTCTACCAAATTGTTCCCCCATTCATGCTATGGAATTTATACGGTGAAATGATTTGAATGAGTACGTAGTCAATGACCTCTGTACGTGTTGAATGTGTCCTCCCTTCATGTGTTCAAAACTCGAGAGGGCGCAACACCCTGAGCGTGCAGGCCGACTGCCGAGAAATGCATTGCCGGGTTTATCTTGCACTTCCGATATTACCGGATTTGATTCTTCCGGTCGCAGTTTGAACGGCGGCGGTTAAGCTCCAGTCGGCAACCCTCAATGCCGGAGTTGACCTTCATTTCCGGGTCCCAATATATTCTCTATCTCATCCAATCGTGACCGGCCTCGTTCACGATGCTACAGATAGAAGGTGGCTCAACGCGTTATCATAATCTGTTGGCAGACTCATGGCATGCTCGTCGTCCTTCTTGCACTCATGTCGAACGACAACTGTCGACCAGGGAGTAATCTCCACATCCTCATTCTCAACACCATGCAAGAGGCTTTGGCGGCACGTCTGCGATACAATGCAAGTGATAATGTTCACCCCTTTCGCGAGGTTCAGTCTCCTGTTGGGTTGGATCACCGATTATTTGCTGCCGTTCTTCAAGCTGCGGATCGGATTCATGCAGCGTGCAGCTGCCAATGTGAGAGTCGTCTTATATTACATGCGCGTACCTGCGACTGAAGTTGGGCTAGATAACGTGGACTGGAAGCTAGAGGAGTACATGAATATGACTCCGAAGACCCGCGGTGTAGCCACGGAGCAACAGAATGACCAACTGAAACAGGCGTTTCCGGTGGATCTGCCGGGAGAGTCCGGTGTTCCACCGGCAATCCATGTCCCAGCTACCATCGCCGATTCTGACGGTGTCATTCTCGCATGGATTCTTCCCAACCTCCTCCCAGTGGATATACAGGTTTGTAACATCGAGACGTATATTAAAACTTGCTAATCAACATCCATTCAAGACAGACCTGTGGCGGTCAACGGACGGCCTTGCTCCAATTCTTGACAAGCCATCACCGAACACCGATTCGTGGCGTCTCTGGAAGGAGAACTTCAAGCACGACAAACACACACTCTGCGGTCTTCTCAGTATCGCACCGCAGATGGTTCCTCAAGGAGTACGTACTCTGTAATATTTGGTTGGAAATACTAATGAATTTTCGCAGGGACGAAACGGGCCAAAGCCTCGAAGGGCTTTGCTGAGCGTGAAGTGCAGGAATGGCTGGAACGCATTACCGAAGTCGGGGCTATCCTCGACGCGGTGATGCAAATCGTCGCTCCAACGCAGTACCGGCAGATCACGGAATTCCTGAACGAACATGTCGCCCCACACATTCCCTGGCCGGTCACCGGGATTGCACTGCAAATTATATGGAACCGGAAGACCACCTATCATCGCGACCAGAATAGCTTCCATTTGTGGTACGACCTCCTGGTCACTGTTGGCAACTACGGTGACCAGGCATACCTCGGACTGCGCGGTCTCGGTTACTCGGTCCCATATTCGCCTGGCACTGTAGCCGTTATATTGGCCAAATACGTCGAGCATGGAGTGCCCGAAGTGCAGGATACTCGAGTCGCGATTTCATGGTACAATCGCCGGGAGATGGTCAGGGTATGGGGTGGGAAGGAGATGTCGACGACTGCCGAATCAAATGTTCAGTCGCTGATGCGTTCGGTAATGGACTCGGTATTCGCTCGTGGACTCTGAAACTTATCTGACATGCTGGAACTCATCATCAAACACGCATTACAGCGCAGCTAGGGACATGTATCACAATGAAAACCGTCACTGGGTCTTTGTACGCTTCCGAAGTTGGCCACCCTCGCCGGCTGTCCCTGACCTTTGGCGTGTTGTCCGCTGCCTTGCCCCTGTATCATTGCCGGATGAACCACCTGGCGCCTGCTTCGGTACATCCACTGCTCTGGTTGGCGGAGTGGACGTGATCTTGACTCCCGCCGCGAGCCCCGCGGCAGTGACCTGGACTGCACGTGTGGACCGCCGCTAGATAAGCCACATTAGCGCACCGGTTATGCCGAGTGACCGTGTACTATACCGGTGGTTGTTGAAGCTGCTTGGGCGCAGCCCCCGCAACCTTCGTGCCGGTGGTTCCCTCGGTTTCGTCGGTTGTTCCATTGCCGGGCAATGTCGAGGAGGATGGTCCAGCACCTAGAGAGATTAGCGGTGCTGGTTATAAGCCATGAGACATTGTAGCCCTTATTACCGAAGCACTCACCGTTGTCCGCAGCTTTCCCCTTTTTCTTCACTGGGCGTGGCATCGGACCGGTCCGTTTCGGCTTCCACCCAGCTTCGAGCGTCAGCTCCATCATATCGCAGAGGACATTCATGCGCTCGGGGAAGGATCCTTTGAGGAGATTACCTGCGCCGCAACGCAATAGTGTCAAGGCGCTCTGCCCGAAATCATCTCCGCTGTCGAATTCCGGCGGAGGGGACTCTTCTCGGAAGTCGTTCGCTTGACGGGAGTCTCGGGCGAGGAGTCCGAACACCAAGCAGATCCTTTGCACCGAGACGCGGTCAAGATCCTCGCGGACCGATTGATCGCCGATCCAGTCGAGCAGTCGGACCACCTCTTGTGCGTCGTTGTAGAGATCATGGCCAACAAACCCGTGGACGTTAGCCCATGTTGCCCACGGAGCGGCTGGAATGGGTGGAATGTCCACCTTCGTCTCGAGCTATGATAGTGATATTATTATTATGTCTTCGGCACTGAAGTCGCCCACTCACCGCCTTGGCTACACGGGTCAGGAGGTTCTGGTACTGCGTCTCGGCGCACAAGCTCTCGAGGAACGGGACGACCCCGCCGGGTTTGACACCATACGGTGCCGGACGCTCCGCCGGAAGTACGGTTGTTCGACGCACAACCGGCGAACGGAGGCCTGACGGCGGTGGTGTCCTCACGTCGACGTACCCTGGGCCGTCATAGTCTTCCGACGCAGCAGTGGGTGTCTCGTCAATGCCGGTGTCCTCGAGCGACTTCCGAACCTCATCGCCGTCGCCATCCTCGTCTTCCTCCTCGTTCTTCCGACCCTCCTTGTCACTGTCGGTATCGTCCCCGGACTCGTCGTGATCACCATCACCAGATTGGAGCTCTTCGAACTCGTCCTCTTCTCGGTCCTCCTTATCAGCCTCGTTCTCGAAGAAGTTGTCGTTCTCCTCGTCGGAGGAGGAGGGTCCCTTCCCTTTGCCCTTGCCCTTGCGCTTCGCCGTCTTGCCCCGTTTACGACTCGTACGCTTCCCGGTGGAATACTCGCCATCCGTGTTCCTCTTGGACTTGCCGCCCCGCCTAGACTTTTTGGACGGACCAGCTTCGGCACCGTTTCCGGGAAACGCTCTCGGTAACGTCGTCCACATACAGTGCTCGGTACTGACCGGGATATGATCAGCGGTGGGCTTGTGCAGTCCGCGCAAGAGGTGAAAGCGGCCCTCCGGAACTTGAAACACCTCCCCCGGGCAGGCTCAGCGTAATCTTCCGGTGCCGGCAATGATGCCTCTGTCTGGAGGATGTACTGGAACCAGTTATTCTGAGCCTTGATCGACATCTTGCTCATGCAGTCGAACTTATCCTTGAATTCGGACGTTAAATAGTCTTCTGGGGATGTACTTTTCGAGTTCCGGTTTTAATGGTGCTCCATGGGACAGAGTTGAGCAGCACACCGTCCCCAGTGGCAGGCCTATCACCGAGACTTAGTCGGTAATACACTAGAATTGTGGTTACTGACTGAGATGGAGCCGGAAAAAGTCGCAACCGTGGGCGTAAACTTCTTTGCTCGTCATCTTCTTGCCATTGTGACTAGAGTGAAATGGCTGCGGTAGACCGTACATGTGTTTGATGCCACGGTGGATGAGCGATCCCGCCGTTGCCGACGGAATAGGTTTTGGTCTCTGAGCGCCTGTGTGTTCGGCAATAAGCGGCAATGAATCGTAAATGCGCAAGACCTTTACCGGAGGGTCAGCATCACCGATCATGCCGAGCAGCCTACTGAAGGTCTCCAAGCAGGCCACCTTCGTGTTCGTGTCCCAGAGTTGGTGCTTTTGCAAGGCGTCGGCCGTCTCCATGTACTGTGTGGTGTCGTCGCTGCCGACTGATTCAGTACTCATGAAAGGGATTAAGGGATTTCTTTACAAATGCGTATTGACCTGACCGCCAATAGCTGGGCGGGTGGTGTATACAAAGACCGCGGCACCACAAACGCGGAACATGAATTTGATGAACTCTTCGACGATGTGGACCATATTCTTGTTTGCGTAGCTAAAATATAATCAACACCGACAGTGGCACACTTGCAAACGCATCCATACTCTCGCTGAAAGTCCGGAGGCGGTGGCTTCGTGTTGTACTCGGCAGCCAAGTCCAGCCACTCCTCTTGCTCCTCCTCGTCAAGTTTCTTCCACATCTCCGCCGCCTGGCTGTTCTTCATGCCAAAACTGGCGTCCTTGCCGCCTCTCCTCAACGTCTTTGAAATGCTTACTGTACCAGAGGCCGCGGCCGGTGAACAGCCTGAGACCGCACCAGTCCGGTGTTCCCTCCTGGCGGTCGGCAGTGTGGTTGCTGAACCACAGCGAACATTTCTACGCAGATTAAGAAAGAGTTTGTGTCGAATCACGTAGGACTCACCTTTTGCACGAAGCCCGCCAAGAACGGGGTGTCAAGCCCCGCGCTGCAGAAAGACCTCCACAAGTTTTTCTCGATTGTCCGGCGGGTTGCCGTCTGTGCAGGCTTCCACTTCTCTATCCTTTTCGCATCTCCGAAACCTCGGAATTCTTCCACTGGAAATCCGCAAATGGGTCTTCGGGAACGTTTTCGGTAGTCGACATGGTGCAAGCAGAGTGAGAAAGATGGTGGAGTGAGAGATCTAGGGAATAATTGATGCGTCGAGGACAGTCAATCCATCTCAGACCGGAATTTTTTGTATACATTTATTTGGTCCTGTTTCAACTCAGCGAACAGTAGGAGTATATCTCTGCCGATGCTTGATACCATCGATATCAGTGAGCTTTCCCCTCACTCATCTGTCCTCTCGCTCTCCCATCATGCCCCTCGCCAACCCCCAGCAAGCTCGAGTAACTCAATACTACAACTTCGCAACATATTACACAAAGGACGGCTCCAGCGCACAAAGAAACGCAGGATCGACCCAGGCCCGCCGGTTTACGCACCGGCCGGCCAAGAGGACTACCGGAGCGGGCCCTCACGAGTGCCGGATCCGACACCTCAATCAGACACACGTGACGATGAAACCACTTGGGAGATGCCTGAAGTTACCCAGCTGGGGCCCGGTGAGAAAAAGTCTACATACAAGGCAATTATCCTCGGCATTGTCTGGCTCCCTGCGCTGACAGTTCGTGTAGAAGCAAGTGACCATGCACGAAGAATGGTTACCTCTGGCCCCATTGTTCTTGCGAAGACTCATAGAACGTTGGAAGCCGGTAGACAAAGAAGACAAGTGCAAATGTGGTGGAATATTGGCCTGGCGTTGTCGAACGTGCTTGGGTCTACCAATGTTCTGTTCCAAGTGCTGCAGGCAGGCACATCTCCACCTAGTGCACCACCGCGTTGATGTGTG